GGTGCCTTTGCAGTTTTTGATGGGGGGCTGTTTTCTCAGTTGTAAGGGACAGCATGGGAGAAAGTGCAAGAATGCATTTGAGGGAGAAGCTGAGAAAATTATACAGTTTCACTGTGGGAATATTTAAAATGCAGAGGTTCACTGGGCATAGGATGTTTATTTTTATTTCCATCAATTGCAGAAAACTACTGGGCAAAGGGACAGACAATGATATGGTCTAATCGTTCTTGGAATTTAAAAAATAATAATAAATTGTGGATATAGAGATTGAAAAATTGTACCTATTAGTGCCCCAGGTATCCCCTACTTCAGTAGGCCCCATGGGAGTGACATGAGGGACATTTACAGGAGATCATCTCTGCAGGCGTCTCCTCATCCTCACAGAGATTCTCCCACCTGCAGCCAGTGTCATCATAGAGAGGTTCTCTATGTCTGCCCTAGTTGTGGCTCTCAGCTGGCCATCTCCTTGGCTCACTGACAACACATGTCCACTGGAATTGCACTACAAGAGACTTCCCCTAGCTGCAGCTGCCCCCAGGACTCCTTGGAGGGTTCTGTGGAAAAAATAATACAACATCAGGCTGTATGATCTTTTCTGGGTAAATTCTGCAGTTGGGGTAGCAGAAACAATGAGGTCCCCCTCTCAAAGCATGTTCAATCTTTGCTTCCTCCTCCAGCACAAAATTCTGGTCTTCAGGGGAGGCCCCCATGGTGTCTGGAGGCAGGGAGATGTTACTACTGAGGTAACTGAGCCCCCTTCCATGTGTGTGTCAGATGAATACCAGAACTGTTTAATAGCAGTTTATTGTTGAGGTCGCACAGTGTACTCAATGCAGTTTTAAATCTGTTGGATCTCATGGCCCCAACTATCCTTCAGCTTCATTCTTTTTCATTGATCAAAACCTAATATAGGATTCAAAAAAGAGAGGGAAAGAGGAAGGGTCACTGTAGTTCACAATGACAATATATTTGGAGAACACCAGTTACAGGTGAGTAAACTTTCTCCATTATGCTATTGCCACACAGATTCTCATTGCAGGAAGGATAACTGGGGAGGTGAGGGGAGCACTACAAGTAAAAACATGTTATTTTTGAAGTGTAAGGGGACTGTTGTCCCCTTACTAAAACTCAGTGCGGGTGTTTTGGTTGGCTAGCTCCCAGTACCAAAAGAAAGTGGAAGGGTCCATGGGAAATCGGAACCTTGAGACTGACAGTCCCCAGAAAAAATGGGGAGAGGCCAATGCTCCAGGTCAGCCTGACTGATGGGGGGGAGGGGGAGGCTAATCAGGGGTGACCCATCTTCCTCCATGTGAGCTGGATTGCCTGGTCAGATAGAGTGGGGCCGAGCTAAGGAAAAAGCAGGGGCTCAAGCTGAGCTGGAGAGCAGAGGTGTGCCAGATCCAGGGGGCCAGAAAAGCAGCCCAGGAAGCAGGTTAGTGCTGGGAGCAGGCCTGTGCTGGGAGGAGAGCTGTAGCGACCAGAGGCAGAGGGGCCCAAGAAGCAGCCCAGGGAACTGGAGGCAGAGTAGCAGCAACACTGAGGCAGAGTGGAGCTGGAGCAGTCTGGAGCCGGGTGTGGTGAGCAGCTGGAGAGAGTGAGGGGGACCCTGGGAAGCGGGCCCAGCACAGGGAGATGCCCCCAGCCAAGATGCCTTGCAGGCCAGACTTGGAGGGGGATTGTAACCCCGATGGGGCGGGGGTGACGCTGGGAAGAAGGGTCCTGCCACCTAAAGCCTGAGGGTGTGTGGCCACTGCCAGAGCAAGTGTCCGACCCACAGCATCCCTGCAGCACAGCCAGGGCCTGAGAAGGAGGCCTGGGACTTGTGAGGAACAGACTGAACTTCCCTTACATTCCAAAGATGCTGGTTGTGATATCTCCATGCCACAGAGCGGAGTTATGTGTTTTCCTTTAACTTTCCCATTTTTCCCTTATTTTTTTTAATTGATTTCTGTTTAATAAATGGTATTTGCTTTGAACTGCATGTAATTATCAGTGGGTCAGGGAAGCATCCAGTGCAGATAGAGCACCCCAGAGTGGGGACATCCTAGCCCCTGCCCTAAGTGACCATAACAAGGTTAGGGGTTGAGCCCCCCAGGAATCCTGGGCCCAGCCTTGTTGGGTTTACGAGGACTCTGCCACACTGGAGAGTGGAAGGGGAGCCCCTGAGGTCAGGCAGGCCTCTGGGAAAAGGAAGTGGGAGCGAGGACTCAGATGCTTTTGCTAGCCCACTTCACCAGGGTAGTATATAAACCAGGAAAGTTCCCCACAATAGTGGGAGCATTCCCCTGCTTACAAAACCACTAGAGGATGTACCCATATTATTCATTAATCCAACCGTCACCTCCGTGGCAGCCCATGGGAGAGTTACTCCAGTTTTAGACAAGCATAACTTTCACTTACCTCCCCAGGTTGAGGGTTTGAAAGACAAAAGAACATGGAACTGTTCTTCTCTGGTGTTGCTCTACGACTTGACACCATTGAGCTGTGGTTGAGTTTTGGTTAAATTCATGGAGCAGAACCTTTTCGTTTTATTTATGTTTACATTTATAATATCTAAATATTTCAAATCTGCTGAAGAGTCGGGATTTATGACTTTCCAGGACTTGTGCATGTATTTTCAACTACATCAGGCCCTATGTATCTATCTTTATATGGAGACATGGTCAGATAAATAATACACCTCCTCCACAAATACCTATTATGCTGTAGAATATAATTACCAAAACTATAAATAATCCAATCCTTGGTCTGTATGGATTGTATGAGTTACTGCAGGATGCTATGTCAATTCACAGATAGAGAATGTTTTAACTATTGCTAGGAGGAAAGGAATGGAACTCTATTACCATTAAGATTATGAGACAACAATTTCAGTGATATTCAAAAATAATAGAGAAAAGGCCATCATGTCCCCTCCCACCACTGCATATATGTAGTGCAACATATTATTATTTTATACACTAGCTAAAATAACACGGGGTTCAAATATGCAATAACCAATCACAATACAGAGGGTTAAGGACAGAGTTTCAGTAACTCCAATTTTTCTGTCAGAATTCTACTGTTCCTCAAGTACAATTTTGGGTATATGTTTTAAAGTTGCTTTGCATTTTTCTATATAAACAAGTAGGTAGGCTGAAAGACAAAGCAGTAAACTCAAGGCAAGACTGCCTCTCAGTGGTAGTATGCTTTTACACACTATGACTACATATCAATATTTTTGTTAGAAAATATTCTGAATGTGTAGTTTCATAATTCAGAGGTAAAGCACCATTAAATCATCTTCTTTTAAAATGACACAATTATTAGGAATCAATACTTTTTAGTACATTAGATTTAATACCAATCAAGGAACTCTCCTCTGCATATTATTTGACATAACTGACTCCTGCTAGAAAATTACAGTATTCTAATATTACTACGTTTTTATCTACTACAGTGGAATGGTTGGTTGGGGGGGGGGGGTGTTTAAACAAGGGAGGTTGACTTTTGTAGCCAGGTTTACTGTCGCTATTCTCTGTTACTCAGAATCTATATTTAGTTTTGCATCTTAAGCAATAAAAATAATGTAGCAGGCCATTTGCTATTATGAATCTGTATTTAAAAAAAAAATAGAGGACTCTGAAGTGCCTGGTAGGCCAGCTGAATGTTCCACATTGCATTTTAGTTCAGTCAGAGAAGACACTGCATTAAAACCCTGCAGTTCTTTGGAATATTTTTCATGCTCAGAGGCTGCTTTCAAATCCAATCATAAAACCCTACCTGTGACGGGTTTCCTTCTGACCACTTTGGGGAGACTGGAGAGATGCATGTCAGCCATATACAGCACTAGACACAGGACTTGAGACCATTGCTCCTTGTTCTGTCATCTGCCACCACTCAGAACAGCCTAGCTCCATCCTCTTTGGAACCCCCCCTTCAGGTAGTTGAAGACTGCTATCAAATCCCCCCTTACTCTTCTGCATACTAAATAAGACCAGTTCCCTCAGCCTCTCCTGGTAAGTCACGTGCCCCAGTCCCTTAATCATTTTCCTGGCCCTCTGCTGGACTCTCTCCAATTTGCCCACATCCTTTCTGTAGTGGGTGTGTGTGGGTGCCCAAAACTGGACACAATACTCCAGATGTGGTCTCACCAGGGCTGAATAGAGGGGAATAATCACTTCCCTCGATCTGCTGGCAATGCTCCTACTAATAGAGTCCAATATGCCGTTAGCCTTCTTGGCAACAAGGGCACACTCTTGACTCATATCCACCACCTCCCTAGATAACCCATTCCAGTGCTTCACCACCCTCCTAGTGAAAAAGATTTTCCTAATATCCAACCTAAACTTACTCCACTGCAACTTGAGACCATTACTCCTTGTTCTATCATCTGGTGCCACTGAGAACAGTCTAGATCAATCCTCTTTGGAACCCCCTTTCAGGTAGTTGAAAGCAGCTATCAAATCCCCCCTAATTCTCTTCTTCTGCAGACTAAATAATCCCAGTTCCCTCAGCCTCTCCTCATAAGTCATGTGCTCCAGCCCCCAATCATATTTGTTGCCCTCTGCTGGACTCTTTCCAATTTTTCCACATCCTTCTTGTAATGTGGGGCCCAAAACTGGACACAGAACTCCAGATGAGGCCTCACCAATGCCGAATAGAGGGGAATGATCACGTCCCTCGATCTGCTGGCAAATCTCCTACTTATACAGCCCAAAATGCCGTTCGCCTTCTTGGCAACAAGGGCACACTGTTGACTCATATCCAGCTTCTCGTCCACCGTAATCCCTAGGCCCTTTTCTGGAGAACTGCTGCCTGGCCACTCGATCCCTAGTCTGTAGCAGTGCATGGGATTCTTCCTTCCTAAGTGCAGGATTCTGCACTTGTCCTTGTTGAACCCCATCAGATTTCTTTTGGCCCATTCCTCTAATTTGTCTACTCTTGAAGTTTGGTGAACAAGGCTGGTGAACAAGGTGAACTGGGCTGAAACCCACTGTGGCCACAGAAATTCCACTTACTAACTGTTACTTTGTCTTTATCCCCCAGCATGATATTGTTTGGAGTGAGATCTCTATGGACAATCCTCTTCTCCTTATGCAAGTAACGAAGAGCTAGACACAGCTTTAAAACAAAAAGACATATAAAGAATTTTAACTGCAACCCAAATAAAATCAGATAAAATTATGTTCACATTTTATGACATTTAGTGCTTTGGCACTATAAGTATTATTTTATAAATTTATTAGTCCAGCATATACAAATGGCTCTACAAATTTCATAAAGAAAGGTTACAAATTAAAATGCAGGTCCTTACTTGTATAAATATATTCCATATTCTATCTTCTGTAAACTGTTGTTGCTTTTCCTTCAAAGAATGAAAGTGTTCTCCCAGCGGTGCCCCTTCTATGAGCTCCATTACTATGTACAGCCTGTCATCTATGCACAACAAAAGGAAATGGCAATCCCAAAAAAATATTACATTCATATATCCAGCATATCCTCAGAAAACATGATCTTAGTCAAAATATACATATATGATTGTTAGTTTATTACTCTGCTTAAATTATCTGTATGTTCAAATATATTTTAATGACTACTCTTGTTCTTGTCATTCAAATGCGTTCTTCAGAATCACATTTGCTGCAACACCTACAAGAAATTAGATCGCTAATAACAACAGCCAGGGAGGACAGCTGCCTATAGTGCATGCATACAAAAAGGGGGAGGGGGATGGAATGAATAATTCACGTATCAGTCACCACCCTGTATCATGATATATCTTTCCCCAGCATCTGAATTTTGTTTTTCAGACTGTAAATTCTTTAGAGCAGGGTGTGTCTTATATGTTTGGACAGGGCCTAGCACATTATGGGTGCTACTGCAATGTAAATCAATGTAAATAATAGCTATTGTTATTTACAGTCTGCTGTAGCCAATATTTAAACCAACACTTAGGTCTAAATCTGTTGGAGCTATAGTGCTATTCTTAAGAGAAAATTAGTTCCTACTGTTCAAGTTGGATAGGATCTTTCCTGGATCTACTAAGTACTTTTATTATGCTATTATTTCTTCATGACAAACAACATGGTTTTTAGTCGCTAAGTTTTTACTTACTTTCCAGGAAGGTTCTGTAATACCGTACAACATTGGGATGAGAAAGCTACAATACGAAAAAAAAATAGACAGTTGGAATTAATGTTAGATTGAGGGCACAATATTGATAACATCAATCTATAAATTGAGCGGAATAGCAATAGTTTTATACAAATATTATAAAAGTTTCCGAAACTTGTATTCCAAAAAATTTCTGGATTTCAGAGGGTTGTAACTAATTCTGTCTGATAAATGTGCCCTTGCCTTATATGGGGCATAGCAGACAGGATTTCCTCCCGCCATTTGCACAGATGGCATAAGGACTCCCTAATTGCAGTCACTCTAGGAGCTGACAGGGTAGGATGAGCCATTGTTGCCCCTTCTCCCAATTTCAAACTTGGAGGGAAGGTATATTCCAAAAAATGGTGTTGAAGATTACTCTCCTTCCCCAGCAAAACCAGGAAGTGGGAGACCAAACAAGATGATTCTGACTTAACCCCTAACAGTGGAAGGAATGGAGCAAAGAAATAGAGGGGCAAAGCTAGTAAGCCTGCACAAAGTCCCCTTTGCTTCAGCAGACAACCCTAAATCCGATTTGCATTCAATATTGTTTTTAATTTAAAAATCACACTTTGAGAACTTGTAAGTCACAGCAGTGACTTTTTCGGACTAAAATCTGACGATTTCAAAGCCATGAAAACTTAATATGGAATAGAAACACTGACCAACTTTTCATTAGACTGTTGCTAACAGATTATTCTTTATTAAAGGAATTTTTTTTAATTGTTGAATACATCAGTTAACAATCTCAGAGTTTCCAAGTAACAATAAGGTCTTGTTTACAGTGCTGCTAATACTGAAATGTTTGCAATGTTTAGAGTGGTGTAGATGGGCCACTGGCATTTTTTATATTGTGTTGATCAGACTAAAACCACCACCAGCAGCTGGCAGCCTATATACAGTAGGGCTCCCAAAAACACAGCTGAGCTGCTTTTACTAATGGTGAGAAATTTTTAGAAAATGTCTCCTAGTGAAGGGTTTATGACACTTACCTGTTCTTTAATGATTGTTAATTCAGAGACAATGTTCTTTACACTGCTGTCTCTGTCTTTTTTGTCCTTTCCAAATGCTGGATTATGTAAATTGACTTCTTTCATTGCTAGTAGATTTTGGACACTATGTTTTCTAACCTACAGGGGAAAAACCGTGTAAAAATTAACAAAAAAGAATGGGGGCAGAAAGGACATTAATCATATAGATGTGGTGAGTTAACTGAGTCTAAATCTTTCTCTTCAATTCAGTTGCATCTGATGAAGTGAGTTTTAGCCCACGAAAGCTTATGCCCAAATATGTTGGTTAGTCTCTAAGGTGCCACAAGGACTCCTCGTTGTTTTTGCTGATACATACTAACATGGCTACCACTCTGAAACCTTAAATTCTAAAGTAACTATTCTTTCTGTAGTTAGTGTGATATCAGCTGAAAAGTGTTGGAGACCAATGATGCAGTTAGCAGTGTCCTGCAGGGTTTGCTTAGATGTTTTAAAGAACTTCATAGATGCTCTGTGTGGGGCTTTGCAGAAACAGTGGTGTGAATCCCTTCAGATTATACAGATTTATCACACTTTCTAGCAGACAGAACTGCTGTCTGTGAAAAGTAGTACAAAGAAAAAAGAGTAGTAATAAAGATCACTGTTGTTCTGAGAAACATATTGGCCATTTTTACAGGCACAAATGTTGTCAGACAGATTCAGAATAAACCTAAAAAATGGTGGAAAAAACAGACAAATGTCAACAGAAAATTGTTGGTTAATATCAAAAAGCAAGTTTACCTTATAAACACTTCCAAAAGCTCCACTGCCAAGATGATCTAAAATCGCATAATTGCCTATGTATTTTGATGGTGCTTTATTTTGATTAATGCTTTCAATACTTTCAGCAATTTGCTTGAGTTCCTCCTCCTAATGATAATATTTAAAAAATATGCAATTTTGATGATTTACATGTACAGCAAACTGAAAACAATAGTTATTTTTTAACATGATGAAAAAATTGGAAACTTTGTGCTTACCAGTAATGAATTTAGCTTTGATACCAGCTCTTCATAAGCACTGATATTACGAACATAATGTCCAATATCAATGAAGTTCTCAAACAAATCAGTCGGGAAGAGTCTAAAAACATTTAACATTTTTATAAATTTAGGGAGTGTTCATAACAGATTACTCACCGTGAAGACTTTTTTAACTAATGTATTGCTACTCCTTATTTTATAACCTTCTAAATAATTATTATTTTTGACCAGCCATTCAAATGTTCCTAATCACAAATAGTCACCATGTGGGACTACAAGGAACTTCCAAAGGTCCCAGCTGGGATTGGGACATCATTTTGCTGCCCACTGCATAAACACAGATCCTACTCCATTGAAAGGTAGAGATTCACTGAAGTCAATGGAGCTCCCCTTGGATGCAATGGTGTATCTATGCAATTCTGTATAGGTTCTTATATTGCCCCATCACTGTATTATCTCTGCAACTTCCAGTAGAGCATTCAGTGATGTGACTAATACCTGTTTACGTGCAGGATTGGGGCTATAATCCTTTTCCCACGATTTACAATCAAAAAGACACAAAACAGACAAAGGGTAGGGAACGGATTTACAACAAACAAGCCAATTAAAATAGTGAAGAATTGGCAAAGCCTCATTAGTTACATGTTTGGTTGGTGTTTTGTTGTTTCCTTTTTTCAAAAGGAGCTATAGGTAGGGTGAGGAATGGCAGGAATGGAAATCAGGAACTGTAAAGGAGTTGCAAAACGAAGGATGAGGAAATGGCTCAATCACAACTCAAGCCCTAGTAGTACTGTACAATCTTTATAGGCTGGAGCCCTTCCAGGAAAAGGAAAACTGGTCAGGTCAGCTTTATTAAAATAAAAGTAAGATGAAAGGTGTGTGTGTATGTTCATAATTCTATCAGTTTAAGTCTTTTGATAACAAGTGATGGATAGGTAAGAACTACCAAAAGTTACAGCCAATTTGCAGTTTGATTGTCATTCTTATTTCACAGTTAGGCATTTGGTTACACATGAACTTCATATTCTAACCTTCTGTTAAAACTCTGGCAAAACATTTCTAGTAGAGATGGTTATTGGTGGCAGACATTTTTCTTCATGTAGGGTCATATATCCCAGCACCCAGCCCAAGTAAACAGGCTTGATGTAGGATCAGTTCTCAAAAGGGGTGGGTAAAGAAAGAATCCACTCCTCCCCAACTGCTCCATATCTGGTACTGTAGTTCTGAGGTTCCATGTTGCTTCTCATACAGTTACGCTAATCTTCTGGGAAAAGGCTGATGGACCTACACAATGGCAGATGCAACAGTCCTAACTTCACTCTACCTCCAGCTTGCTCCAAAGCTTGCTACATGGAAACACAAGAGCAGCCTCTGTAGGGCTGGATTCTGTTGAGTTCAGTAGAGTTCCTACGAGGCAGGCCCCCTCCACTAACTCTCTAAATCCTGCCTCATACAGCAGTACTGCAAATCGTTCAACTGCAGGCACAGCCAGCCATTTGCAGCTGTGGAGAAGAGTGGAGGATATGCACTCTTAGATTTTGTTTGTTTGTTTTTTCTTGTTCTCTGGAAATCAATTACTACATTTGAAAACTGAGCATGACATTAATTGAGAATTTACCTGAATGATGGTTTGTAAATGCTACAAATGCAGTCCCATGTAGCATTTTATTACCATACCTTTTAAAGAGATGTCTATTTCTTTCCATACTGAAGAGAAACCGCAAGGCTCTGAAAGCATAACACTGGGGTGACAGAAATGCTTCAATTAATAACAAATTATGTACAAATTAAAACGCTGTTCATAAAACAGTAAGGACCCTAAACATATTTTTTTAACCTTCATATTTAAGTAACTAAGTAGGCCAGGCTATTAGCATGGTAATCATCCTCAATAAACCAAAATTAAACATTTCTACACTTTAGTCACAAGCCATCTGCTTCAGTGCATGCTGTATTTCCAATGCGGGCAGGCCCTCTTCAAAAAAACCTACGGATCAGCATAGCTACATTAGACACCGAATAATTTTATTTCTGCACTGCTGAAGTCTTTGAGCCACATTCTGCTCGATGATTCCAGTGCAGTCCAATGGAAGTCAATGGGGTTACACTTAGGTAACAGGGAGCAGAATTTGGCCCTTTTTTCTGGAAAATGAAGTGTAGAGCCCTAAAAATGTCAACAGGAGACAAAAACAAAAACAAACCAACAAAAAGCCCTAAGTTTACAAGAATCTGAAGATCAGCCATAAGAATACACTTGATCTAGTTTTCAGAAAATTATCCATATAGCTGAGTTTCTATATAATCACTATTAGAGAAAATAAACATTAAAAAAATAATCATGACAGCCATGGGTGAAATTAGAGTCTCTTAGTTAATACAGAGATTTTTAGGTAACTCATCTTGAGTTCTCTCCAACTATATCCATCTATCCAAGCCAATGCAAAAACTAGCTTACCAAACAAAGATGGCTGCAATGTGTAAGCCAAAGGAAAATGAGTTACCAAGACTCTAAAACAGTGGAAACAATAATATAGATCTAAATAATATTCAAACTGTTAGATTACATTCGTGACTAAAAATCCTATTATGGGTCCAATCCAGTGGTCCTTACTCAGACGGTAGGAGTTTTGCTGGAGTAATGACTGCAAAATAATGAAGGAGATAAAAGCTAACCACTATTTTTGAGGGAAGCAGGACATCAGTCACCAATACTGCTAGGAAACAGTCTTCTTTAAAGAGAATTGTTTTTTCTTATTCCAAAATAATTGCCCTTTGAACACAGGATAAACATCCGGTGTTGTCGTTCCAATATTCTTCTGAGACCGGCACAGTCAGAGGGGTCTGTCAGTGTGGAATAACTTTCAGGATTGGAGCCATAGTTATTACTTTGAAGGTTTCCCTTTTTAGTGACTGTGCCTAGTCCCTAATGTAGGAAGGAATCAGGGTTATATGACTGAAACACAGGACTAAAAATTAAGAGATCTGTCCTCTGTTCACAGCTCTCCCACAGACAGTCAGTTACCTCCCTATTCATCTATTTCCTACCTGTAAAATGAGAATACTACTACTTTCCTTCCTCACAGAAATATTCTGAGCTTAACACTTTTATGTCTGTAAAAAGCTTCAGATTTAAGGGCAGCATATTCTTTACATACTGAATGAATGGGGAAATAATGATTGTGATATCATAACTACTCCCCAAATAATGAATTGTGATTCCTAAAGAAATAGAAAGAATGAAGAGACTGATTAGCAAGACAAAGATACTGGGCCAAATTGTAAGAAATAAACCCATGAAATTCATAAAATTCACAAATATCCTAGAAATCAATAATTATGAGAAAGGAACAATAGAAAAGCAGCATGAGATGTTAAACATGGTTTGGATTAAAGATAGATTTCTTATCATTTTCCTGGATGTGGTTTTCCGGGATTTCTGTTAAGTGTATCAGCAATGTCATAATCAAACCTTTGTTACTAATAACTGATGTCACCTTATATTTAAACCATACTACATTCACTCATGATCTATTGTAAAATATAATCTCTTGTAACTTTATGCTGAATTGGAGTTAACAACACACTTGGTAAATTAATCTAATTAAAAATATGTATATATTTGAAGCTACTGTTAAACAGATGCCTAACTGCATTAAATTAGTTTCATAAAAAGATTTTATAAATTTACTCCCTCTTTAATTTCCTTCAAAGGATAATGTTACAAAAAGTTTTAAATTAATTTAAGTATTATAAAAAAAAAACTTTAGTGCAGATGATAGGCACTAGCTAACATTTGAGATTGCAGTCTGATCTGTTAATCCATAAAGAGAGCATGCAGCATACATCAGCAGTGCAAGATCCCCAAACCACTTCTCCAGTGTGTCTCAAGCCTGATCTGGAAGGACTACTGTGGTAAAAGGCAATAAGAATGGCCATCTTTCCCTCTCTACTAAGAGTGCCCATTAGGTGACAGTTATGGTGATGATTTTAGTGACATGGACAGCTACTCACTAGAAATCAGAAAGACACCAAACTCATTTCTCAGACGCCACAGAATAGCTGTCAGATAGTTAACAACTACTGTACTGGTCACTACCAACCTGGGTTGACTCTAACCAATAAATTTACATAAAATTTCATAACAAACACAGAAGCCACCCGATCTTTAGCAAACAAAGATTGATCATCCTGCATTTAATTTACATTACTTTATGTTATGTTTTGCTATGCTTTATTTAACAATCACAGCAAGGTGCTCCACCCCAAAAGAAACGAAGTCAAAAGGCGCGCAGCGTAGCCGCTGTTGTCGGCTCTCCTGCCGACAAAAAGCTTCCACCCCCAATGAGCGGTGGTAGCGTTGTTGGCAGGAGAGCGCTCCTGCTGACAAAGCACTCGTAGCACTGGCGCCTATCATTGACCAAACTTTTGTCGTTCGGGGGCGTGGGGGGTTAACACCTCTGAACGACAAAAGTTTGGTCTTTCACTTGCCAGTGTAGACATAGCCTCAATATCCATGTTCTTCTATGTTAGGTAGGGTACAAGAAGCATAAAGTGTTTTATAGCAGAACACCACGCACAAGGTCATGATTTGACTTTTACTTTCCTGTGGTGTAGCAATCTGCCATTCGTTTCATGTATTTTTTAATAAAGTGGTTAATAAAGTTGCTACTGTATATTAAAATACCAAAAATCATAAGATACATTTCCAAAGACTGTGTAAAGCTTTCAGCGTGAAAGAGAATTACCTGTAATAAATGAGCTTTTACTGCATTCCTTTGTTTGTTTGGTAAAATCAGTTTTGCTATTGTATATACCCCATTTTCCTGGAAAAGAAACATAAAGGAAAGTCATCAATGTAGGTGCTGCTTTAGGACAGAAAGTGCAAACAACATTAAATGTTACTTCATGTAAACAATTCAGAAGTTAATGTCAATTTGAAAAGTTCTTAGCCATCTATTATACACTAAGTTTTAAGGTAGTATCAGTGAAATGTGCATAAGAGCAAAACCATCGTTACATTCACTGTAAACTGATCCTGCACTTGAACCTTTGCAGATGGACCCTGAAGCCGTGTTGAGCTGCACTGAAGTCAAAAGGATTGCACCACTGGAGCTGCCATCATCCACTGTGTATTTTGGAACATCATGATCAGAGATTTATGCACCAAAAAAGCCCTGAACTAGAATAAAACCCTGTGTGATCGTTTTGATATATGCAGTGATGAGCTGCCAAAATGTTAACAACGGGTTCCCTCCTTACCCCACAAAGGGGTCGTTGCCCACCCCCCGCCCCCCAGGACTCCTGCCACATCCAACCCCCCCGCATTCCTTGACGCCCCCCCCCCAGGACCCCTGCCTCATCCACCCCGCTCCCCTGTCCCCTGACTGCCCCCAAAACTGGGCAGGAGGGTCTCATGGGCCACCGTAGTGGGTGCCCACCCCACCCCTAAGAGCCAGAGGCACCTGCCGGGGGGCAAGGTGGGGAGTCCCAGCGGTGCTTACCTGGGCAGCTCCCAGGAAGCATCCGGCAGGTCCCTCTGGCTCCTAGGGGCGGGGGAGCATAGCTGGGGGGGAGCAGGGGGAGCAGCCTGTCCCCCCACTGATCACATCAAAAGTGGCGCCTTAGGTGCCGACTCCCTGGGTGCTCCGGGGCTGGAGCACCCATGGGGAAAATTGGCAGCTCCCCACCCCGCGCCCGGCCCCAGCTCACCTCCACTCCGCCTCCTCCCCTGAACTCACCGCCCTGCTCTGCTTCTCCGCGCCCCCCGCCCCCCCCGGCTTCCCGCAAATCAGCTGTTCGGCAGGAAGCCGGGGAGGGCTGAGAAGCAGGCCATGGCTTCACACTCAGGCCGAGGGTGGCGGAGGTGAGCTGGGGCAGGGAGCAGTTCCCCTGCGCGCACCCCCCTCCTCGGGTTACCTGCTGCGGTGCAGGCAGCCCTCCTCGTGCCCCCCCGTCCGAGCTCAGCCTGCCCTGGCTTCCCGCGTGAACAGCTGATTCGTGGGAAGTGGGGACGGGGCGGAGAAGCAGAGCAGGGCGGCACGTTCAGGGGAGGAGGCAGAAGTGAGCTGAGGCTGAGAGCTGCCAGTGGGTGCTCTGCACCCACCAAATTTTCCCTTTGGGTGCTCCAGGGCTGGAGCACCTGTAGAGTCGGCCCTTAAGGCACCACTTTTGGCCGGTTCAATTTAGAAGCCCAACCGGTTCTAAAAGGGCTTCTAAATTTAACCACTGGTTCTAGTGAACCGGTGCGAACCGGCTCCAGCTCACCACTGGATATATGTCTATGTCCGAAAATCATGTTGCAGTTCAGTAAAAAAAAAAACTAACAACAAAAAGAGATGTACTGTTTTTAACATTTAATCTGACTTAAATACAAAAACAAAAAAAATAGATTCCACTTAAGAAAACATGAGCTTCAGATAAAAATGGTTCCCTAAACCTATATGGTTTCTATAATTCTAGTGTTTACAGTGGCAGATTAATTTACGGGCCCAGAGAGCTTATATCCAGGGGCCCTGCCCAATTTGGGGCCCCCCGCAGGAGTGCTAAAACCTGGATAGAAGTGGATGGGCCACCGATGCCAAAACTGTGACCCCACACCCTGCTTCTATTCTTCCCCTGAGGCCCCGATCCCCACTCCTCCTCTTCCCCCTGGGGCCCCACTCCCTGGCCAGGCCAGAAGCCAGAGCCGGGCCATGGTAAGAGCCACCATGTGAGCCCTAGGTGCTGCGGGGAGCCCTGAACCCTCCAGCTGCCAGGGGCACACCACCCAGAGCAGGTGGAGAGTCCAGGGCTCATCACAATGGCCCGGACTCCCTGGGCAGCCGTGGCTCTGGCTTCTAGCCTGGCTGGGGGCAGGGCTTTGGAGGGGGGAGGAAGAGCAGGGTGTGGGGTCCCATAGCAATGGGTTGTGGGAGGCCTAAAATCTCTTTGTGCCCAGGGTCCCCATAAATCTTCATCTGCCTCTGAGTGCTTAAGCTATACAAGGAGTTAATTTTTTCCACTCCTCTTCTTTCCCAGTAGGCACCTAAAGTATTTCAACACCCTGTGCCTATTCTATCTAAGAACTTTCCTTCCCTTTACTCCAGCGGTTCTCAAACTGTGGGTCAGGACCCCAAAGTGGGTTGAAACCCCGTTTTAATGAGGTTGCAAGGGCTGGAGTTAGACTGGCTGGGACACAGGCCTGAAGCCGAAGCCCGAGCCCCACGCCCAGGCCCAAAGCCAAAGCCCAAGCCCAACCCCCCAGGCCTGAAGCCCGAGCCCCACCGCCCGGGCCCAAAGCTGAAGCCCGAGCCCCACCGCCCGGGCCCGAGGCTGAAGCCCGAGCCCCACCGCCCGGGCCCGAAGCTGAAGCCCGAGCCCCACCGCCCGGGCCCAAAGCTGAAGCCCGAGCCCCACCGCCCGGGCCCAAAGCTGAAGCCCGAGCCCCACCGCCCGGGCACAAAGCTGAAGCCTGAGCCCCACCACCTGGGCACAAAGCTGAAGCCTGAGCCCCACTACCTAGGGCCAAAGCCCAGCCCCACTGCCCAGTGCTCAGGCTTTGGCTTCAGCTTGGGGTGGCAGGGCTCAGGTTATAAGCTCCATGCTTTGCGATGAAGCTCTTTGGCTTTGGGGCAGCGAGGCTTGGGCAGACTCATGCTTTGGTCTCCCCTCCTGGGGTTGTGAAATAATTTTTGTTGTCAGAAGGGGGTTGCAATGCAATGAAATTTGAGAACCCCTGCTCTACTCCCTTTAGCTATGACTCTGGGTTTAAAATGAATGTACTGATGATTTCACTCATGTATCATTTATGGTCTTGACTTAAAATTTAGTATATAATAGATGGCTATGATTTTTTTATTTGGCGTTAATTACTGAGTTGGAGCATCTTGGGGTGTACATAGGATCCATAAAAGAGTCCACTAATTAAAACCATTTTAGAACCATAAATTCTAGCCAATTAAAATGATGTCACTTGTTAAAATCCACAAGCCCAGCGATGAAATGCCAGAGCGTTCACGAGCCTTAGAATTTATGTTTGTCAGTCAATTCCACGAAAAAAATTTTCTATCCTGAATATGTCAAAAAGAAGGAAACAGATTTATGAGCTGACAGTTGTTAACCAAAAGAAACTCATATCTGAGCAATGCTACCTATACTCTAAAATACAGTAATATTGGCCACATTGCCCAGCCAATTTTTAATGAGCTCCATATAAAACTAATTATATGATAGTGACTAATAAGAGTTAATAAGCCAAATGTCTACAAATAGGCATTTTGCATCTTTGTTCAATACTGGTAACCACACTAGCATCAAAGTAGGGTCCCTTCATAAGGTATTATCCTGCTCCTGAGAGTTTTGCACTTGACTTCAGCAGAAGCAGACCCATAATATTTAAGTGGATGGCATGCACATCAGTGTGCCCTGTCCAGCGCTTTGAGACCTATGGATGAAAAGCACTATATAACATCTAGGCATTGTTATCCCCAAGAAGGTATAGCCTGCCAGTTATGGGCACATCCAAGCTAGTATGTATCCTGAAGTCAGCAACACACACTTGCTGGGGCCATATATTTAGGGTGACGATACCTCCCGTTTTGGCCGGGACAGTCCCTTTTTTAAGCCCTGTCCAGTCTGTCCTGACGTTTTTTTTCTAAAAGGAGGCATTTGTTCCATTTGCCCTTGCCGACTTGATCAGTTGGCAAGTGCAAACAGGACAAATGTCCACTTTTGTCAAAAAAAGTGGGGTGCGGTGTGGAGGGGGCAAGTGGAGATGCCAGCCCCCGGCAGGTTTCCAGCACCCAGGCAACAGCCTCATGCGGGGCGGGGAGGAGGAGGAAGAGGAGGGCTCCAGTGATCAGGCAACAGCATGGGGGGGGGCGCCTTGGGTGAGCAGCTGAGGGTGTCCCATTTTCTCCTTGGGAAATATAGTCACCCTACATATACTGTACTACTTTCATAAGGGCAATAAGCTATACATTGTGGCTGCATGCCTTTGGTTGTCCTCCCCTGCAACTGCAGGCCAGGGTGACTTCTAAGCCGGATGTACAGCTGGAAATGCTTTATTCCCACCTCCACATGACTCCCTTGGACAAAATCAGGAATTTGCAAAAGGTGAATGTAATAAAGTGGCTTGCCCTGTGGGCTGGAGAGCCTGAGGCTAAGTCAACCCTGATTACGGAATGAGACCCACCTACGGAGAATTAGGCAATTCCCTATACATAGCAGAAGGTGGCTGCATTAAGAAGGGGAAGCCCAGGGAGCTGCAGCTATGCTGGTGGACGCTTCTGGGCCAAAAAGGCTCCTGCAGGACGTGAGCTTGGTGAATAAAGCTCAGTGTGACTAGGAGGCTGCTGTAGGGGTGGGAAACCTTGCCTGTGTTTGGGACTGGACATCAGAGCCCCAGTGACGGAGACCTTGGAGGACTGGCTGGGAGATCATACCAGGATGGAAGAAGAGCTCTAGGGGTGAAAGACAATGCCAGAGGTTATGGGCCTATTACTGTGAGGTTCTGGGGCCTGTGATGTACAAGAGGTCAGACTAGATGATCATGATGGTCCCGCCTGGCTTTACTGTCTATGAGTTTACAAGAGTTATAAACCACCAGTAAAAATGCACAAGGAGACACAAGTAAATAAACCAGAGATATGAAAGTGATACCAGTGATACACTTAAATGCCTTACCTTAACTGAATAAAGTCTTCCTACCTGTACTACTTGGTGAGCATTAGTGTCATTGAGCACTAGTTCTGTAATTGCAGCACAACACGCTAGAATGAAAAGTCATATATAAATATTCAGGGCCAGATTCACAAAGGTACTTAGGTGCCTAAAGATGCAGATAGGTGCTTCACAGGATTTACAAAAGTACTAAGCAAGTTAGGTGCCTACCTCCCACTGATTTACACTAGGAATATTAAGGAAGCAGTCATAAAAAGTACACCAGAAATATGTTCCAGACAGACTCTGATGTTAAGTGCATGCTATTTCTTTGAGAGGACCGTGATACTGAGACCTACTAAGCAATGTCACCTCAGCACTACTGGGATCTGAGAATGAAACTGAACATCTAAACGAGTTCTAATGTATTATCCTTAGGATAAGCACATTATGAGTAGGCTTGGCAGAACTCAATTTGTATTTAATAATTTTGACAGATATTATCAATGTTTATTTTAAGCATTTTTAAAATTTTTATCAATTTAAATTGTCACAGTTGTGTAAAATTATGGGTTTAAAACATTTTTTCAGTTTTTAGCTATTTACATTTTCATAGCTGCAGGAACCATGGGGGAAGGGTCACAAATGTGGGGGGGAGTCAGACAATTATTTAATGACAGTAGATGTTGAGATTTTAAAAGTTAAACCTTTATAACAGTTAAAACACAAATTGTCAACATGACGTCCAAATATACAACATATATATCTTTAAATCAAATTCTAATAAGTTCTCAAGCAGCATTTTTCTTACTTTGCTTATCTGTAAATTTTGATTATTATTGATGGAAATATGTGTTGTCAGTTTGTGTACGTATGGTGGAATCGATATTTACCAACATTTCCGGATAAAAATCAAATCCTTTCAAGGCTATTTCTGAGTGATCTGGTACACTGAAGCTGGATATGATGTAAAACTTTAATAACTGAATTAAAATGTTCTTGAGTTAAAGCAGGAGTTTAAAACAGAAACACCAGTTGAGCTCCTGAATACTTCTTCCTTCATTTTGTGATGAAAAATACATTGATATTGCACATCTAAAAAAACGCCACAGCTGATCTGATTCTCCCCCTCTGTAGAGTGAGTGTAAAATGATACCATTCTGATCTGATAACATTGTGCCCCACTTTGCACAGGTATAAATAACTATACAAAGTGCAAAGCTGTGGAATATCAGGCCCCATATACATACCTGCTTGAAGGGAGAAAGTATTTTCTTGTATTTCTTGAGGACTTAAATCTTCTGACAAACAAAGGTGTTGGATTCTCCCTGCTGCATTTGCACTAGATAAACTCCCAATAGAAGAATGATCAGAAACTAGATTTCTATCTCTGGAAAAACAAATCATAGCGTAAAATAAATATTTAATAAATATCTGTGTTAGTCATTTCTGAAATTTGCCTGGATTCCTATTTCTGCCTCTATTCTCTATATCTACATACATTCCACAATGAAAAATTTAAAAAGCACGTACAAATTTCAAATTAGCATCAAAAGCATCAGATATAAACCACACAGTGAATGGGTAAACAGTTTAGCCCCCTTTATAGTTTCAAATAAGACATTGTTGGGAAGACTTTAAACTGTAACCTAAATTTACTAAAGCAAGTACTGATTTAGGGTGCCCAACTACAAATATTTTAATGGGGCCTGATTTTTGGAGGATTTTCTGAAAATTAGGCCCCTTGAAAATAGCTTAACTTGGGCATCCACAAACTCAGGTATCCAAAATCATTAGTCACTGTTGAAAATTTAGGCCCATGGTCTTATCACTAGACTAAAAATTTAAGATACTATACAAAAATTCATAAATCTAAATAACGAAATAGATGTCCCTTTTTACCTGCCTAATCAACATGGAAATTATATGGACACTAACTATATATTTTATCTCTATTTAATTTGTTTAACACAGCAAAGCCATGTTATACTTTTGAAAAGCATAGTATATTTGAAAAAAATACACTTTATAGTCATTAATGTTTGAACTATCCACCTGAATTTCTTGTAATTTCTGCAGTACGCAAGGTCTGCAAATACCGTCAGAAGCAGAGGATGAAAGCTTTTATTACACATTGATATATGGTCAAATGGTTGTGTGATAACCTTAAAATATGAGGCAAATTCATTGACAATTATAATGATACTGAAGACTGAAGACCTACCCCTGTAATATATGAAGGAGTTGCTTGATACCGCCCCAAATACGGATTTCCACACTAGTCTCAGGGTCTTCACAAACCTGTACCAGAATCCAAACTACACTCCACAAAAGCTTGAGATGATCTGAATGGAGCAAACTGAGCAGGACAGGAACTCCTTCATACAGTTTCACTTGCTCTTTGACTTGTGACTCAGCACAGAGGAGGCGTAGCAGCTCTGCGGTCAGCCTAGAAAGAGATCAGCAACAAATTATAACCACACCATACAGTTCACCTGTGTTAAATCACCCAGACAGTTAGTTATTATTGCAATTCCTATTACACTCTTGTTACTTAGTGCTACTGTATATACAAAGATGCCCAAGTAATCTATAATACATTTTCTGTTAAGTTACATTCAATTAAGTGTCATATTTTATTCACCCATTAAAATGGCCCTAAATTTTATTAAATGAAGCCTGTCACATTTTTGGTGTGCAGTAATTCATAACACTAATAAGTTTGTATCACTTTCCTGCACTGTATTATCTGTGTCTGTTCAAACATGTCTGTAAGCCTCTCTGAATTCACTTCAGATGGGGCTCTGAAATCAAAGATGGTGCTATAGGGCACTTAGCATGAAGCAATTCATACTCCAGACCCTGTGACACTGCAGCTAATACAGTATACGCAGCCCATGAATAGGTGGGGACCCATGTCGTAGGGGTCCCTGCAGTTGCAGGGCTGGCAGCACCAGCCCTTTGCATTATTGTGTTAATATTCAACGAAGCTTGACTGTGGTTCCATCGATAATGCTTTCCAGGTGAACTCGTCAACCACTGCTGTTGTTTTTTTGAATTCCTTCTTTGTTTTTAATGGATTACAAGTAGTGGTGGGTGAACTTCAGAAGGTTCATAGGTTATGGTAGAATAACCTATGGTAGAATGTGGATCTTTCTCCACACTTATGATCACAGAATTGGCTGGAAATGTCACAAGAAAAAGTTCTCACAAGATTTCCATTACTTCCTCCCTCCACAATATGGCTAGAGATACCACAAGAAAAGGGTATCTCACTTTGTTTTGGCTCTTCTACTTCCATCTGGAATCACAAAGCGCTGAAGTGTTCAAAAATGAAAACCCATATTTTGAACTTTCAAACTCAGCTAATTTTTCAACTTCAATTACTTCTTCCTTGAATTTGAAACTTAAGACTACTGTAGTCACATAGCAATATTCAGCAGAGAACCTTTTCTGTTATGGTCACACTTTTTTTTTTTTCATAATAAAGTAGTTTTTTTTTTTTTAAGTTAACCAGAACTTTTTTCAAATATGCCAGAAGATTCAGTTTGTTCCTTTTATTTGGTTTCCCTGTCCCTAATTATAAGTTAAATAAGCAATAAAACCTCTGTTTTAAAATGTATGATATTCTTTGGTGACTGGAATGGAATCACATTTGAGAGAGTGTTTTTGTCTTCTTGATGTTTTGTACTTAATACCCAGAGACCACTTTACCACCAGTTTCTTCCAAATATGGACTTATCAGCCCCAATCGTCAAGTCCAACTGAGCTGTGATGACTTTAATGTAGGTGGGAATATCTTTGTGCACCTCTGATCCACAAGACTGTTGGGATCTGAACCAGTCCCAGATATAAACTAAGGCAATCTCAAGGCTGCTGTAATTTATGCCAGGTTATAATGGCCCCCAAGTGAAATACCACAGTCCAGCATGCTCTTGTGGTCTAGTGCCCAGGGAATTCTCAGTTATCCTTTAGGGCAGCTTTACAGTCCATTTATGCTGAATTGTAGGCTAGGATATAACCTATCAATGGGAAGAAAGACAATTAACATGTACTAGATAACCACCAAAGAACATTTTACTGCATCAATATCTGATTTTAAATGCCACAACTTTGAAACTTTACTACTCTAATTAAATAAATGCAGTATGTCTGTATATGAAAATAAATTTTAAAACAGAAAAGTATTTAACATAATTAGTCTATAAATAAGGTCCTACCTTTTAGATAGCAAGTCATATTCATGTAATATCACCAGCAAGTGTTCTACAATGGCGAGCTCACTGATCTTCTCCCTACATTCTGGGCTACAAATGGAAAAATTTTGGATATTTATATAAACTAAAATTATATGAAAAACAAGTGTTATTTCTATTTAACTTCATCATCCATTGCTTTGGCTCGCTGTCTTTCCTTATGGCTCAAGTATTGATGTCATATTGTATATGAAGGTTTAAAAATACAAAAATAAGTTGGTTCCACACTGAAACTGCAAAAGTTTACTCTTATTTTTTTATAATACAGATTGTTTTAGTGAAACATTAACATGGTAAATGAGGAAAAAAGCTGAAATATTTAATATGCTTAGAAAACTAACTTTGAAAAAACTAACTACAAAAGCTGAGGTTTAATTTTTTATTATGCAAATATGTCTTCATATTTTTATTATATTCTATTACTATTTTGCTTATCCCATGTAAGTGTAAATAAAAGTAGTTTATATGAGGAATACTCAATGGAAGCTGCAACTTACAAGTGAATAACTGAATTTACAGGGCATCATAATCACCAAATTCTTTAACTCTAGAAGATTATAATAATCTACACCCTGATTTGAGAAAATATCCATATTCAGAACAACACTTAAATATGTGCTTAAGTCTCACCGACTTTTTGCTTAAAGTTAAGAACTTACTTCTCTCCTGACAGTGCCCTAATTTGAAATAACTGCTTACCCATTATATAGGATGTTCTTCTCAGATAAAATTAAGAATCCTTAAAAATCATTTAAAAGAGAGTATTAAAGAGTACTCAAGTGAGGGAAAATCAGTTTTAAATTACTACAAGGAAAAGAAAAACATTCAAATGTACTAAAAGAAGCAGAGTTAACTGAAAGTGGTCTAATTATTCTGACAAAGATAACAGCAATTTTGGAGAGATGCTGAAGACAATAATGGATTTAAGAAAAGCATAGATTATAAATTCAGCCCTTATCTTCACTAGTAGGGATTTGAATAAGCATTCTTCTGATTTGAGAGTGGATTTTACATTTAAGTGATGTCAACACTAGCACTTATGTTGGCAAAACTTTTGTCGCTAAGGGGTGTGAAAAAACACACCCCTAAGGGACATAAATTTTGCTAGCATAAGCGCTCATATGCACAGCGCTATGTCAGTGGGAGAAGCTCTTCCGCCAACATAGCTACCACCACTTGTTGAGCTGGTTTTATTATGTCAACAGGAAAGCTCTCTTCCTGTCAGCCTAATGCGGCTACATGAATGCTCTTACAGCGGCACAGTTGTATCGGTACAGCTGTGCCACTGTAAGCTTGTAAGTGCAGACATGGCCTAAGTAAACCGGAGAACTTACGTGTTCTTTTGGGGGTGAAAAAAACTGGTCTTTACAGGTGTGATTTGTTCAATGGTATTTGAAAACGAACAACCTTTCAACATCAGGTTAAAGATATTCAGGCAAGATAAACTTATTTCACTCCTAGTGTAAAATTAAATGGAAGACCAAAATATCTATAGATTATTATTCTGATTATCTCGGGGGCGGGGGGGAGGGTTAAGAGAGAATGCAAACTAAAATACTTTTCAAATGCCTTCTGTTTTGACAGAAGAGAAGAGAGATTATAGCGAAGTCTCAATGAGGACTTCTCACAATTGATTGTATCAACTTTTTCCTCTTTTCACTTTTGTCTCTCTCTGTGTAAAATCTCTAAAGCATAAAGTTGCTCTCCATGTTTGGAAGTCAATAGACTAATAATGGAGAACATCAACTCCAAGGCCTGCACAGAGACTGCGGGATGGGATTGTATGGCCCCAATCTTGCAAAGTGCTCCAACATGGGTATAGGATCTGTCTTGAAGGATCAGGGGCTATGTGTATTTAAACAACTGGAAAGAGTAAGGTCCTGATCCTGAAAAGGCTTATACATGTACTTTTCAAACTGTGAGCAGTCCCACTGGCTTCAATGTAAAGTTAAACTGTAATGCTGGTAAACCAAGTGCCAGCTCTGACCAACGCTGTAGGCATTAGATATGAACTGACAAACTCATAGCAGCAGAGCAGACCAGTTGACTTATGTGTTAGTGTTGCTCAAAATAGGTATTAGTCTTATAAGACTTTTTAGTGTTTAGACTCTACGGAATATTTGTAAATTGTTGCATGCATTTATCTTATTTGTAATTTCTGTATTCAATGCTATAAAGGAAATATATAAGTTTTGCTTTAGGACTTTGAAAATGTTTGCTCTAAACATATGAAATCAGATGGGAAGAGTGTTTCTCCCGCCCATCCAGAAGAACAATCAAAATTAATTTGGGCTTGAATAAGGACTGCGAATGGCTGGCTCATTACAAAAGCAGCTTTGCCTCTCCTGGAATTGACACCTCCTCATCTATTATTGGGAGTGGACTGCATCCACCCTGACTGAATTGGCCCTGACAACACTGGTTGTCCACTTGTGAGGTAACTCCCTTTCCTTCATGTGTCATTATATAATGCCTGCATCTGTAATTTTCACTCCATGCATCTGAAAAAGTAGTGTTTTACCAATGAAAGCTTATGCCCAAATAAATCTGTTAGGGTATGTCTACACTACGGAATAAGGTCGAATTTATAGAAGTCGTTTTTTTAGAAATCGGTTTTATATATTCGAGTGTGTGTGTCCCCACAGAAAATGCTCTAAGTGCATTAAGTGCATTAACTCGGCGGAGCGCTTCCACAGTACCGAGGCTAGAGTCGACTTCCGGAGCGTTGCACTGTGGATAGCTATCCCACAGTTCCCACAGTCTCCGCTGCCCATTGGAATTCTGGGTTGAGATCCCAATGCCTGATGGGGCTAAAACATTGTCGCGGGTGGTTCTGGGTACATATCGTCAGGCCCCCGTTCCCTCCCTCCCTCCGTGAAAGCAAGGGCAGACAATCGTTTCGCGCCTTTTTTCCTGAGTTACCTGTGCAGACGCCATACCACGGCAAGCATGGAGCCCGCTCAGGTAACCGTCACCGTATGTCTCCTGGGTGCTGGCAGACGCGGTACGGCTTTGCTACACAGTAGCAGCAACCCCTTGCCTTCTGGCAGCAGACGGTACAGTACGACTGGTAGCCGTCATCGTCATGTCCGAGGTGCTCCTGGCCACGTCGGCTGGGAGTGCCTGGACAGACATGGGCGCAGGGACTTAATTTGGAGTGACTTGACCAGGTCATTCTCTTTAGTCCTGCAGTCAGTCCTATTGAACCGTCTTATGGTGAGCAGGGAGGCGATACGGATTGCTAGCAGTCGTACTGTACCATCTTCTGCCGGGCAGGCAAGAGATGAGGATGGCTAGCAGTCGTACTGTACCATCTTCTGCCAGGCAGGCAAGAGATGTGGATGGCATGCAGTCCTTCTGCACCGTCTGCTGCCAGCCAAAGATGTAAAAGATAGATGGAGTGGATCAAAACAAGAAATAGACCAGATTTGTTCTGTATTCATTTGCTTCCACCCCTCCCCCGTCTAGGGGACTCATTCTTCAAGGTCACACTGCAGTCACTCACAGAGAAGGTGCAGCGAGGTAAATCTAGCCATGTATCAATCAGAGGCCAGGCTAACCTCCTTGTTCCAATAAGAACAATAACTTAGGTGCACCATTTCTTATTGGAACCCTCCGTGAAGTCCTGCCTGAAATACTCCTTGATGTAAAGACAACCCCTTTGTTGATTTTAGCTCCCTGAAGCCAACCCTGTAAGCCGTGTCGTCAGTCGCCCCTCCCTCCATCAGAGCAACGGCAGACAATCGTTCTGTGCCTTTTTTCTGTGCGGACGCCATACCAAGGCAAGCATGGAGGCCGTTCAGCTCACTTTGGCAATTAGGAGCACATTAAACACCACACGCATTATCCAGCAGTATATGCAGCACCAGAACCTGGCAAAGCGATACCGGGCGAGGAGGCGACGTCAGTGCGGTCACATGAGTGATCAGGACATGGACACAGATTTCTCTGAAAGCATGGGCCCTGCCAATGCATGCATCATGGTGCTAATGGGGCAGGTTCATGCTGTGGAACGCCGATTCTGGGCTCAGGAAACAAGCACAGACTGGTGGGACCGCATAGTGTTGCAGGTCTGGGACGATTCCCAGTGGCTGCGAAACTTTCACATGCGTAAGGGCACTTTCATGGAACTTTGTGACTTGCTTTCCCCTGCCCTGAGGCGCGTGAATACCAAGATGAGAGCAGCCCTCACAGTTGAGAAGCGAGTGGCAATAGCCCTGTGGAAGATTGCAACGCCAGACAGCTACCGGTCAGTTGGGAATCAATTTGGAGTGGGCAAATCTACTGTTGGGGCTGCTGTGATGCAAGTAGCCCACGCAATCAAAGATCTGCTGATATCAAGGGTAGTGACCCTAGGAAATGTGCAGGTCATAGTGGATGGCTTTGCTGCAATGGGATTCCCTAACTGTGGTGGGGCCATAGACGGAACCCATATCCCTATCTTGGCACCGGAGCACCAAGCCGCCGAGTACATAAACCGCAAGGGGTACTTTTCGATAGTGCTGCAAGCTCTGGTGGATCACAAGGGACGTTTCACCAACATCAACGTGGGATGGCCGGGAAAGGTACATGACGCTCGCATCTTCAGGAACTCTGGTCTGTTTCAAAAGCTGCAGGAAGGGACTTTATTCCCAGACCAGAAAATAACTGTTGGGGATGTTGAAATGCCTATATGTATCCTTGGGGACCCAGCCTACCCCTTAATGCCATGGCTCATGAAGCTGTACACAGGCAGCCTGGACAGTAGTCAGGAGCTGTTCAACTACAGGCTGAGCAAGTGCAGAATGGTGGTAGAATGTGCATTTGGATGTTTAAAGGCGCGCTGGCGCAGTTTACTGACTCACTTAGACCTCAGCGAAACCAATATTCCCACTGTTATTACTGCTTGCTGTGTGCTCCACAATATCTGTGAGAGTAAGGGGGAGACGTTTATGGTGGGGTGGGAGGTTCAGGCAAATCGCCTGGCTGCTGGTTACGCGCAGCCAGACACCAGGGCGGTTAGAAGAGCACAGGAGGGCACGGTACGCATCAGAGAAGCTTTGAATCCAGTTTCATGACTGGCCAGGCTACGGTGTGAAAGTTCTGTTTGTTTCTCCTTGATGAAACCCCCCGCCCCTTGGTTCACTCTACTTCCCTGTAAGCTAACCACCCGCCCCTCCTCCCTTCAATCACCGCTTGCAGAGGCAATAAAGTCATTGTTGCTTCACATTCATGCATTCTTTATTCATTCATCACACAAATAGGGGGATGACTACCAAGGTAGCCCAGGAGGGATGGTGGAGGAGGGAAGGAAAATGCCACACAGCACTTTAAAAGTTTACAACTTTAAAATTTATTGAATGACAGCCTTCTTTTTTTGGGGCAATCCTCTGTGGTGGAGTGGCTGGTTGGCCGGAGGCCCCCCCCACCGCGTTCTTGGGCGTCTGGGTGTGGAGGCTATGGAACTTGGGGAGGAGGGCGGTTGGTTACAGAGGGGCTGCAGTGGCAGTCTGTGCTCCAGCTGCCTTTGCTGCAGCTCAACCATGCACTGGAGCATACTGGTTTGGTCCTCCAGCAGCCTCAGCATTGAATCCTGCCTCCTCTCATCACGCTGCCGCCACGTTTGAGCTTCAGCCCTCTCTTCAGCCCGCCACTTACTCTCTTCAGCCCGCCACCTCTCCTCCCGGTCATTTTGTGCTTTTCTGCACTCTGACATTATTTGCCTCCACGCATTCGTCTGTGCTCTGTCAGTGTGGGAGAACAGCATGAGCTCGGAGAACATTTCATCGCAAGTGCATTTTTTTTTCTTTCTAAGCTTCACTAGCCTCTGGGAAGGAGAAGATCCTGTGATCACTGAAACACATGCAGCTGGTGGAGAAAAAAAAAAAGGGACAGCGGTATTTAAAAAGACACATTTTATAAAACAGTGGCTACACTCTTTCAGGGTAAACCTTGCTGTTAACATTACATACATAGCACATGTGCTTTCGTTACAAGGTCGCATTTTGCTTCCCCACACCGCGTGGCTACCCCCTCAACCTTCCCCCCTCCCTGTGGCTAACAGCGGGGAACATTTCTGTTTAGCCACAGGCAAACAGCCAAGCAGGAATGGGCTCCTCTGAGTGTCCCCTGAAGAAAAGCACTCTATTTCAACCAGGTGACCATGAATTATATCTCACTCTCCTGAGGATAACACAGAGAGATAAAAAACGGATGTTGTTTGAATGCCAGCAAACATACACTGCAATGCTTTGTTCTACAATGATTCCCGAGTACGTGTTACTGGCCTGGAGTGGTAAAGTGTCCTACCATGAAGGATGCAATAAGGCTGCCCTCCCCAGAAACCTTTTGCAAAGACTTTAGGAGTACATCTAGGAGAACCGCGAATGCCAGGGCAAAGTAATCCTTTCACATGCTTGCTTTTAAACCATGTATAGTATTTTGAAAGGTACACTCACCAGAGGTCCCTTCTCCGCCTGCTGGGTCCAGGAGGCAGCCTTGGGTGGGTTCGGGGGGTACTGGCTCCAGGTCCAGGGTAAGAAACAGTTCCTGGCTGTCGGAAAAACCGGTTTCTCCGCTTGCTTGCTATGAGCTATCTACAACCTCATCATCATCATCATCATCTTCTTCTTCGTCCCCAAAACCTGCTTCCGTATTGCCTCCATCTCCATTGAAGGAGTCAAACAACACGGCTGGGGTAGTGGTGGCTGAACCCCCTAAAATGGCATGCCGCTCATCATAGAAGCGGCACGTTTGGGGCTCTGACCCGGAGCGGCCGTTCGCCTCTCTGGTTTTCTGGTAGGCTTGCCTCAGCTCCTTCAGTTTCACGCGGCACTGCTTCGGGTCCCTGTTATGGCCTCTGTCCTTCATGCCCTGGGAGATTTTGACAAAGGTTTTGGCATTTCGAAAACTGGAACGGAGTTCTGATAGCACGGATTCCTCTCCCCAAACAGCGATCAGATCCCGTACCTCCCGTTCGGTTCATGCTGGAGCTCTTTTGCGATTCTGGGACTCCATCATGGTCACCTCTGCTGATGAGCTCTGCATGGTCACCTGCAGCTTGCCACGCTGGCCAAACAGGAAATGAGATTCAGAAGTTCGTGGTTCTTTTCCTGTCTACCTGGCCAGTGCATCTGAGTTGAGAGTGCTGTCCAGAGCGGTCACAATGGAGCACTCTGGGATAGCTCCCGGAGGCCAATACCGTCGAATTGTGTCCACAGTACCCCAAATTCGAGCCGGCAAGGCCGATTTAAGCGCTAATCCACTTGTCAGGGGTGGAGTAAGGAAATCGATTTTAAGAGCCCTTTAAGTCGAAATAAAGGGCTTCATCATGTGGACAGGTGCAGGTTTACATCGATTTAATGCTGCTAAATTCGACCTAAAGTCCTAGTGTAGACCAGGGCTTAGACTTTAAGGTGTTACCAGACTCCTTGTCACTACAGCTCTGTCACTCTTAGAATTTAGATTGTAACTCACTTGGGTGTATTTGTTTGCTTACTTTAACCTGTAAATAACTCTCATTTATTTTTCCTAGTTACTAAACCTTTAGATGGTTTATTATGGGATTGGCTACAAGTGTTGCCCTTAGTGTAAAATCTAGGGTACCAATTGCTCTGGGGTAAATGACTGGAAACAACCTGAATATTTCATGTTTTTTTGGCGAAAGTGAAAATTCATCACTAAGTCCTGCTTCCATAGGTGACAAGATAGACTGGAGAGTCTAAGGGGACTGTCTGTGACTCCATGGTAAGACTTGTTACAATGATCTAGGAGTTCATATTTGTCACTGGCTTGGTGAAATCTAATTATAGAATTTACCACCTGTTTTGGGTGTATGCCCTGTTTTTGACAATCTACCCTGAGGTAGGCACTCACGGTGGTGAGCCACTCCGGACAGACTAACATAAGCATATGCATACGTCTCTTCAGGACAGAGACTTTAGCTTGTACAGCAACACTTATCCCCCAGTAAATGTCAGCTTCAATATTTTGGCAAGAGCTGAGATTAATTGCAAACAACAATTATTAAAATGAACTTACCTTTCTGCTAAGCTAGTAAGAGCAAGGAGTGCGCCCAACAGCACATTACTGTCTCTGGCTCCTAGCAAATTTACTAAAGTCTGGAAAATTAGAGATTTAAAAAAGATAAATCTATATAAATGATGTGTTTTTCAATTAGGACCCTAAACATCCATATTTGTTCAGTAAAATTTAAATGCCATTAAAATAAATAAATATACAAATCTAACAAAGACACTAAATCAATACAGAATGCATGACTAACCTTAGAGATTTCAAATAAATATATCAGAAAAGCATTTTGGTCTTTTCCATACTTGCCAAGTTTTAAGGAGAGGAATGCGTGTTTCTCCTCCAATAGTCAACACAGTATCTGAAACAACTCAAGCAGGATAAAGCATCCGTCCTACTTAAAGTACTAAGGGTGGCATCTGCTGCTGCAAGACACTGAGAACCCTGAACTTAGGTCCTACCAAGTAAAAAGTTTTTTAGTTTATATTTAAAATAATTATGTTTGTAATTTTAAGGCCTCACATGTATTCTGTTAATAACTCATATCTTAAAGTGATGTATGTATTTAATATTTTTATAAATGCAGTTGTGGTTTTCTAAAATATAACCAGTTTTCCATTTTTACTTGTTGCAAGCTTGGCCTACTTCATGATCTGCTTTTTTCTCTCCTGAACCATCTGATATAAATAAAATTGCCTTCATTTTGCAGCAGCAAACTTATACCATGAACCTCTAGTTGCACTATTACTGATCTCAACTGTTTCTAATTTTAGACCCAAATCTACAAACAGATCCACTAAATGCACATCCCTGCCATCATGATGAGCCCAAATGAGGTCAATAGTGTTCCACACACGCCTATGGGAGGGTATGTCTATACTGCAATTAAAAATCCGCAGGTTGCCTGTGCCAGCCGACTCAGGCTTGTGGGGCTTGGGCTAAGGGTCTGTTTAATTGCAGTGTAGATGTTTGGGCTCACGCTGGAGCCCAGGCCCTAGGGCCCTGTGACATGGGAGAGTTCCAGAGTTTGTGCTGCAACCTGAGACATACCCTTAGAGACCCAACTGTAGGATCAAGACTTTTGTTTACAGCAGATATTTCAAGACTATTTAAACCTTAATAATATATAGTTTAACAAAGTAAATTTGATGTTGCCTTTATAGGAACAAGCTTTACCAAAATGTTTAAAGGGCTAAATTAACTCAATGAAATGATCCACAATTTGTGCATACGGCCAACACAAACATCTCAGCAGCTGACATAAAAAGAGACAGTTCAGATGACATAAAGAGAGACCATTCAGATGATCTTAGCCCAGACTGACAAGTCAAAGAACTGATGTCAGCTTATGTTACAATCATTTGGAAAATGGAGGGAGTTTGATCCCAGCTTGATCAAATTTGGGAAGCATAAATCATTCACACAGGTAGCTGATTGTGATTTAAACCACTTACTTTATGTGCTCCACTGCCTATAACCCATTCTCTTTGATCTTTAACAGCAGAGAGTTTTTGAAAAATATCTGTGAAATGAAGGAAATCACATAAACTGAGTGTCTCAAATTTAAGATTTTTCATTTTGTTAATAGAGTAATAAAATAACAGGTCTAAAACATTGACTTACACTCTGAAATTGCGTATGTTCTTGACATGACAATTTATGTTATTCAATATTTGAATGTACAAAGAAGTGTTAATTTCTTCAGAAGCAATATTACAGATGTACAAGAGTAAGATCTGCTAATGCGCTGTGCTTTCGTCTACTCAAGCACTGTTCTCTTTTGCATGACCATGACTGGAAAGTGTCCAGGAACACCACAATTGCTAAACCATTTGCAAATATTTTAAGCATCCCTAAGTCTGTCATATCAACTTTTCTCCTCATCCATATTAAGGTTATAAGTGCATATGTCAGTTACAACACTCACAAGTCATGTTGACCAATTTGTCTACATTATGCTGCTCTTCTCCATATCCAAGATATCCATTTGCTACTGTTTCCATATACTGTAAGTGGGACAAAATACAACGTTAACATATATATAGTAGAACCTCTATTTTACAAACTAATTGGGGATTGACGAGTTCATATATGGAAAAGTTCATAAAATTTAACATCTCAAAATTACAGTTGGTAGGGTGCATACGTCACAGTATGCTGCAATCTATCACTTTTTCTTGTCCTTCAAACTACTGCAAAATGATTTGCAATGAACTGAAGGCATCTGAATGTGAAAGGATGCCAACTTGTTCTTCATCAATATTACTTTCATTATGTGATTTTTATTTTTCCATAGAGAAAAATGGTTTCTATAACTGGTCATTTGTAAGATTGGTGTTTGTAAAATGGAGGTTCTACTGTATAGATTTGAAAGTGCTATTCACAAGCATTGCCTTTAGGTGGTGCACCAGATTCACAATAGACTATAAACTGCTACGACTGCAGGACACTACAGCAGTGCTTCTCATCCAGGGGTACATGTACCACTGGCCCTATGGGTAAACACAGATCTTCCAGGGAAAAACACTAGCGAAGTCAGTACAAACTAAAATTTAATACAGACAATGACTTGTTTATACTATTCTATATACTTATACACTGAAATATAAGTACAATATTTATATTCCAATTGGTTTATGTTATAATTATATGGTAAAAATGAGACACTACGTAATTTTTCAGTGTTGGCGTGCTGTGACACTTTTTTATTTTTATGTCTGATTTTGTAAGCAAGTAGTTTTTAAGTGAAGTGAACCCTGGGGGAACACAAGACAAATCAGACTCCTGAAAGGGGTACAGTAGCCTGGAAAGGTTGAGAGCCACCGCACTACACCATTAGGAAGAGATATTACACTCTCCACAGTTATGGTAGAAACTAGTTTTTTCCATTACAAGTCTGATTATAATAGTCATTGCTAATTAACAATACCTACCTGAGTTAATTGCCGTCTTCCTGTTTACTACTTTATGACGAAAGAGAGCTCAGTCAATGCTCTGGAGATTCTGGACTAGTTTTTAAAATATATTTGTAAATAAACAGACCCATCAGTTACTGAATTGACTGTTCAAATAATCCAGCAATAACCTAACAGGAATTAACTAACCTCCTCTCCAGAATCCCACACCATTATTACCCAGCTCTACCCATCACCCATCTCCTATCTCCTTAGGTGCAAAGGACAAAAGACGGACGGTGTAGCAGGGACATCAGAACAGGACCCCGTTCACTTTTTGCCCCCGCCTCTCCTCTTCTCCCCAAGGCCCTGCCCCCTGGCCAGGCAAGCAGCTGGATCCTGGCCTGGGTAAGAGTGGCCCAGGGAGCCCAGGCAGCTGTGGGTGGCTCTTACTATGGCCTGACTGATACTCTTCGGCCCCCAAGGACCCACCCCCATGCCAGGCCAGAAGCCGGAATCGGGTCAGAGTCAGAGCCACACAGACAGCTCTGGGGATCTGCGGACCTTCCATCTGTCCTGGGTGGGGGGGCTGGGAGGCAGGGATAGAGGCCAGGGGCTGCTCTTGGGCCCCCTCAACCTCCGGCTCCAGCTTCTGGCTTGGCCAGGGGGCGGGGCCTCAGGGAAGAGGAAGGGCAGGGCCACCGAGTGGACAGGACCTTGTGTCTCCCCGCCACACTTTTAGGAAGAATCCGTCGTCCCTGCTATATAGTACAAGCTGAAGATTAACAAACTTTGGCTGTTATGTACCAAGAAGAGAAGAAAGTTCCAAAGGCACCTTACTATATCAGAGGTGATTATTTGAAAATCTTGACGTATACTTGAAGTATAGTTAAAGTTCTACAGTAAGTTTAGGAACTGCATATTTGAAAACTGTACGACGCACCATACATAATCAAACACTGCAACAGAAGTACTCTTTTATAAGGATAAAATTCACCTCAGTACAGAAGGCCTCACAAAACCCCTGCATCACTTAAACATTAGCCTGGCAGACAGTGGGATCTCTTCAACTTCTCTATACATTGAAGAGGAGGTTCCAAAAACTTGGTGTGGATGGACTATGGCTGATATTCTAGCACCTGTTTTGTTCAGCAAATTCACATGAGGCGAAGCACATCACATCAAGAATATGCAATGATATGTGTAATAATAGTACCACCTAGCTCTTATGTACTGTTTTTCATCAGTAGATCTCAAAGTGCACTACAAAAGGAGGTCATTGTTTAAATTCCCATGACAACTTTGAAAGTTTGAGCCTTACTGTTTAATATTTTTCCAAGACAATTTCAAAGCATGGAAAAACCATTCACCCCTCCAATCCAAAGCCACCCCCCACAGTACACTGCCATACTGAGAACCCCAAAAGTTCAAAAATAGTAAATCAGACCACAAAAAATTATGAGATTGGTCCAAAAAATATGAGTTTTTTTTAATTAAGGATAAAATTTTCCAGAACTCCTATATGACTTAGGAGCCCAAGTCCCCTTTTCACAACAGACCTAAGTACTTAGAAGCCTAACTCTCACTGAAAGTCAGTGGGACTTGGGCTCGTAAGTGCCTATACCACTTTTGAAAACAGGACTTAGGCTCCTAAGTCACGTAGATGGTTTTGAAAATTTTACAATAAATTATGTTTTTTGGTTTGCTGATTCTTGAACTTCCCCAGGCCTCCTCCAATGTATGTGTGACAGGTACAGTGCTGCCAGTTCACAAATTTATCAGTAACATGATTTTGACTCCTGATGTAGGAGATTTCACTAACAGACCCTTCCAGCGTCAGTGGTCCCATTGTGCTAACCATTGTACAAACACATAGTAAGAGAGCTACTGCCCAGAAGACACTGAAATCTAGTGCAAAGCACATCATCACATATATGATGTGGGAGCTGGAACTGGAACCCACTAAACTCATCTCATATGGGAGCCACCAAACATCCATTAGATGGGAACAATTTTTAATTCCTGCTGAATTGGACAGGTGTCAAACAAACTAGTGACCTATAAGTGAAAAGCTCTATAATGTATTAGCAGTGCCCCAAGGCATCCAGTCCCTCGTAAATGCTAACGTTACACCACCCAGAATAAGGATTGCTTTCTTGAAAGATAAGTGTATTAAATTAAGTTCTGATTTTTGGAGCAAAATCTCCTACACATTTCTCTCAGACTCACAAACATTCATGAAGTGCCACACTTTATGGTTAATGGGATAGTTCCCATTAATCAAAGCAGAAACACTAAAAATGCAACAATAAAACAGTGTTAACATAACATCTACATTCACTTCTAAATACAATGTTTTGTAATACAAAATCACTCGAACATTGATTCCAGACTGCTTAAACCAATTTTTATATTACATACATATATAGTTCCGAAACACACATCCAATGTGGGTCAGCTGCAGAGAAAGAACTACAGTCTCCAGGTCCATAGCACAAGCTTCTTCCACTTCAGTCACAGGAGTAAATAGTGGGGAGAGCTTATATTATCCTCTGTATGGAACAGCCAGAGAGACTCAACACACACTTACTTGTCCGCTGGGCTGCACAAATATTTGTGAGACAGCAATCAAATGCTAAGCATCAGATTTTTTGCTTCTGTTCCACATTAGAAGAGCGGAATATGGCTTAGTTATTACCGATAGCTTAGTTAAATGTATAGAGCCCTGCAAATACCCATGGACCATGTTTGCGGCTCACGGATGGATGCAGAGCCACATTTTATATCTAGAGCCCTGCAAATCTGTGGACAGCCGCATTATAATCGCAGATATCCACATCCATGGATGCAGATAGCTGCGGATCGGATGTGGATACAAATTTTGTATCCGTGCAGAGCTTTATAAATGTACTAATGCCCATTTGGGTCATCTCCAGCAACTGAACTGGGCAACCTCTGGATCTAACAACATGAGCCACAACACCTGAGCTAACACACCAGACACCCTAGCACAGAAGACACAGCAGAATCATAAATTTCTACATGTGGTCTAGCTAGCCACTGGAGAGTGACACAAAACCTTACTATATTAGTGTGGATTACATAAGCGACTAATTTGGCATGTTCTTTCTAAAAGACTGAGGCTAAGTAGATGAAACATGGCTCTTTTATATTAAATATCCAGGATCTATTCCCAGCTCTGCACCACCCTCTTTTGGGAGTAAGCTAGCTCATTCCAAGCCCCTTGAAGGCACAGGTGGGGTTGTTGGCAACTTGCAATCCTATTTCATGTGGACTAACTGCCAACAGGGGTTATGCTGGGGAAAAATGAATCCGATCATGGTACAGTCTGCAATAGCAGGTGTACTTTTGGGTGCATTTGTGTTTCATTTGGCACATAATGCTATTCAAACATCCCTGAAACTATTCTGTTAGTACAGTGTTGGGTTCCTATGAGCAGCTACAGAGGGGAGGGATAGCTCAGTGGTTTGAGCATTGGCAAGCTAAACCCAGGGTTGTGAGTTCAATCCTTGAGGGGGCCATTTAGGGATCTGGGTCAAAAACTGGGGATTGGTCCTGCTTTGAGCAGGGGGATGGACTTAAATGACCTTCTGAGGTCCCTTCCAACCCTGATATTCTGTACTGCAAACTGTATGATGACTATTTCAGGTAAACTGAGCAATTTTACTTCTGATCTTAGACTGGGGCTTGACATCAGGTTTCCAAAGGTGAAGAACTGAACTATTGTATCACCATTTAGCAGAGACTGCCAGATCCCGTTGTTCAGACTGCCAAAGCGACTTTAAAAGCTTTTAAATCATACAGCAAATAACTACAATGAGGAACACAACAAGAACATATAGTAGAGGAGAGAGCTTGAATTAATGAGAAACTTCATTTTAAGGCTCAGCATTTCTGATATCAATAATTTAGTGACACTCATAGCATACCAGATGTTTCCTGGACAAAGGCATATTTGCATCTAAAATGAGCAAATTTCTCATAATGAGACACAGTCAAGGGTTATGCTACAAACCATGTTGAAATGTGCAGTGCTTTTGTGGTGTGTACCAGTATCTGGTAAGACTATTACCAATCATTGTCTGTTTTAAGAAGAATCTCTGCCATGAGTTTACTCTTTTAGACTGTTGCCTTAAGTAAGATGAGTGCAATTTTCTTTCAAACAACCAGCTAGCTACGCAATTTAAATGTCATAGAATATTGATGAGGCAGCACATAGTAATGATTTCAGAATCCAAAGTTTTAGACAGGTCTCCACATGACTTTTATGAAAGCTATTGGGAGGAAATATGGGGGCTATAAACATATAACCCAAAACAGCATATCCTAGGGTGTCAGTCTTTCACAATCTGTGCTGGAAGTTCACAATCACTTATGATTTCTTCTCTCTAGAAGCAAAATTAACATAGAATGGACCCTCACTAATACCAGTTTACTAATCTGCACACCCATACTTCATACACAAAACCTCTGAGCCTCTACTAACCTCTCAGCAACAACTTAGTAACTGAGTGCTGTAGTGAAATATCATACTGCTAAGATTTCATTTCTAAAAATAATTCACCTTCAGGCAGAGACCAAGTCTGAAATATTCAGCACAGAAGGTGAAAGTTTCAGAAAGCTATGAGCAAGTGAAAACGGGCTAGAATGAAAACTATTATGTAATTTTAACTATAAGCAGTGCAACTGCTGCCCCTATAATACAACACACAGTACATAGCCGCACTGTTGCCATTAGACTAATGGATTTAATGGTGTAAAAAAAATAGCAATAACTTCTGACATTTGGAGATATCTGTATGTGGGCAATTTGATGTGACAGTAAACACCTGAGCAAACTTCACTGTGAACCTTAAGAGCTGAATATTTTAAACCCTGAGCATAAAGGGAATCTAATCGAGAGGAAGGATTCAATACCAACACCAAGATAGCACGAGTGGGACGCACAAGTGTACTCTCAAGTGAGAGCTTTACTCTTTGAAATTGATTTTGTTTAGATTCGGAGAGCCAATGCGGGCACAGTGGGAGCAACAGACATGCACCCATGACCAACAGTCAAACAATTTTAGCTTTTTTACCAGGATTCCATTTTTACTTCCCACAAAATGGAAAATGAAAACTTTTAACATAAGACGCATTACAAAGGCTTTTTGGCTTCCCTGGATCATCAGACTAAATTAATCAACGCTGTATTCCAGAATGCTAGCTTCTGTGTTCCAAACAGTTCTATCATCACATAATATGTGCTACCCTTTTTGTCTGCAAGAATTAAACCTGGACAAATAAAAACTATTTTGTGCAGAACAAAACTAATGTTATGCATTTTGATTTTTTTCAAAATTATATTTCTGTTTATTTTGTCCTTTTCACAACAACTGCCCAGAGACTTTTCTTTTAATTTGCCATGACCAAAGTCACATCCAGCAACATGGAATGCTATGCAAAGGAAGCAACGATATAAAAAAAACCAAAACCTGACAGACTTCATTAATTAAAGCACAGCAATCTGTGAAAAACAGTCCTTTCAGTGTGCTTTTATTTCAAACTAATAGTGTTTCTGTCACTTTTGTTATTCCTTCAGAGAAGTCAGTTGGGGACTTTACACACCCTTCCCTCAAAATCCTAGAACTTATTCTCATGACTGAGCCAAACATGTGTTGACCTTTAATAGTCTTTTTCACTTTAGCAAACTAGCTACTGGCTAATCCAATTAGCTGGAAGAAAATGTCATTGGTGCACCCTACTAAATTACATGTACAGTTGCTTTGGGCATAATGGGTAACCACATGTACTTATCCAGGTGCTAATCGGAGAACAAATTTATTTCTCTCCATGTGCCAACAGAATAACACTTTTACAACACATTTCATTCTTTCCTTTGCAAAAACAAACTATTGTGTAAGATAAGAGACAAAAACAATAAAGAATATTTTACCTGGGCTAGGTTTTCAATCCCACCCAGGTTATGGAGCACTTCCTGAACAAAAATAAAGAAGAAAACTAATTAAGTTTGTCATAACACAAACACTGGGACAAATGAGTACTTTAATATAAATGGCCTATTTTTGGCAGTGCTGAGCTTTCCCAAAGCACAATGGAGTTAATGGAATTTGTGGGTGTTTGGCACCTTCAAAAATCAGGCTGCTTACATTTAATTTTGAACATCTGAAAATTGGGACAATAATGTATGATTAAGCTACAGAATGCATGGAACTGCAGTATGCTGAAGCAAATAGCTTAAGTTTCTAAAGAGGATTAGAGATATGGAACCATAGAAATGTAAGACTGGAAGGGACCTCAAGAAGTCATCAAGTCCAGGCACATTGCACTGTGGCAGGATCAAGTAAACCTAGACTATCCTTCACCAGTGTTTGACCAATCTGTTTAAAAACCTCCAGTGATGGGGATTTCCTAATCTCCTTGGAAGCCTATTCCAGAGCTTACCTCCCTTAGAGTAAGTTTTTCTTAATAGCTAACCTGAATCTCCCTTGCTGGAGATAAGTCCACTACTTCTTGTCCTACCTTCAGTGGACATGAAGAACAATTGATCACAGTCCTCTTTATATCAAAGTCCTTAACGTATTTGAAGACTGTTATCAGATCCACCCTCAGTCTTCTTTTTTCAAGACTAAACATGCCCAGTTTTTTTAAACCTTTTTAACCCATATGAAGAACAATCTATAATCATAACAGGTATGATACTATTAATGGCACCCAGTCATTATATTTCAGAATACCAGATGACCACCAGTGGGAACAGGATGGTATTTCCCCCAATTTTATAGGTTTCTACAAGTAATGCATTTGCATTGTGAGGGTTCTATATGTCTCTCTACAGAGTTGGCCAGTATCAGGAACAGGATTCTTAGACTCGACTGTTCATCTCTTCTGCTATAGCAATTCCTATGTTCTTATTAAGACTTAATGACTACAGATACTGTACAGGAAATATCAGAAGTTGAATAAATGCATTCTGCAAAAGGCACATGTATACAGCAAAATGTTTGTATCAACTGCAACAGTTTTGCAGTTTCAGTACTCTAACTTGGTTAAACTTTCACTACTGGAGTTTTGTTGAATGTTTGTAGTTTACTGTTATGTTTTCATATTACATATATAGTTTATATGTGTTCTGTCTTTCAATAAGAAACGATATTTTGGCAAACCAACCTGATAGCATGGATCCCTCATTAATAATCTCAGACAGATTAGTACTCTCAGGAAATGGATGGATGGGGCTCGATTAACCCACTCCCTGTAGCAGAAACATCAAAAATATCCAGTTATAAACCCGAGACAATAACAAATGCGTAACAGTGAACATACATAATACAGTTTTTCAATTTTGGTCATGAGTCATTATGAGATTAAGAATATTTTAACAAAACAGCATATTTTAATACTACTTGTATTCAAGCACAATAAATACAACTTAGCTGACACAATATGAATTCCCTGTGAACACATTAGATTTCATTAAACTGCACATTACTAACTATCACTTGTTACACCTAATAGACACAATATTCACTCAGGCCCTAATCCAGAAAAGCACATGCTGATCTTTAAGCGCAAGTAGTCCCCCTGATTTCAATAGGGCTGCTTGTGTGCTTAAAGTGAAGCACCTCGACAAAACAGTATGACCAAGTTCCAGGACTGAGTATCACTGAGCTATAACTTTTCAAGATAGGATACAAACAAATGGTTTTCCATTGTCTATGAAAGTTATATATTCTACATTCTTATAAAAAAATCTTTAGACACCCCCCCTCCACACACACACACCTTTTTATAGATAGATACACACTCCATATATATAAGGGGTGAGTATCTATCTATATCTCTCTATAAAGGGATGTGTATCTGTATTTCTCTGGACAAGTTATCCAGAAACAGAATAAGCCTACGTGATATGGCAGTTCTCTTCCCTTGTTATCATTTGCTGTTGGGAATTAAGCCAATGGCTAAAAATATTTTGATAACAATAACGGCTGTGCTGTAATAGATGCAAATAGAACTCCAGCATCAACTTATTTGGGACAGCCTCTTTGCATCCCAGCTCTGTTAAGAGTAGTGGCTCTATCCTAGGTTTTCACACTTGCCTCCCCAGAAAAGTGGTGCTTTGCTTTCAAGGAGAATTGATGGCTTGCACAGAATGCTTTTGCAAGGTGTGTGTGTGTGGGGGGGGGTTGTGCTTTGTAAATAAAAAATATTATTATATGCTGTAAAATGACCTCTATTCTCTGTTTGGCAATAGTGTGTGGAATAGAAGAGGAGTGCTCTTCAGCATGCCTTAAGAAGTGATTCCTTAAAGTCTCAGTTTTTCAGGAGGCCCAGACCCCTGACAGAATCCATAGGCTTTAAGAGGGCAATCTGTCTCTCATGTTCCCCTGCAGGGGTAGTAATTATCCGATGCAGCCTCTAGAGCAGTGGTTCTTCACCTGGGGTGCACTCATCCCCTGGGGGTGCAAGATGCCCTTTCTGGGGGTGCGAGATAGGCCAGATTTTTTTTGAAGGTAAATCATCGAAAACACAAATTAAGCACAGGCAGGTAAGTACAACTACTTTGTTTCATCAAACCTATGTATCTGTTAACATTATACATTTTTAAATGATTACTGTAATATACAAACAAAATATATATCTAGCTTTAAAGAACTGACCTATTTCAACGATTTTTGAAAAGGGGTGCGAGAACATATTTTGATTTTTGATAAGGGGTGCGAGAACGTATTTTGAAAACCAAAGGGGTGCAGGCTGTAGTAAAGGTTAAGAACCACTGCTCTAGAGGCTTTGACCTTCTGCAATGGCAGTTGTTCTAAAGAGAGGCTGTCAACATACGAGTAGCAATGTACTTACAAAAGAGCATGTAATCCCCTTGTGACTGCACTTGTGTTACTGGTTTCACAGGGCTATTAATATATGCTAGCATTATTAACCTTATCCAGGTCTTTCATTTTCAATACAAGGTACTTACTTCATTATAACATCATCAAAGGGATGGAAAAACAAAAAAAGTCAGAAATAATTAGGTATGTCGCAATGCATAAATAGTGTTTGGAAAGAGATAACATACGGTTTCCTTGAATTATCAGCAAATGAAGTTGTCTCAGAGTTCCTCTACAGGAATACAATGACACATTGCACTGTACCCAAAATAGAAGGGGGCTAAAATTTTCAAAAGTGCCTAAGTGAATTGAGAGTATAAGGCCTGGTCTACACTACGAGTTTATGTTGGATTTAGCAGCTTTAAATCAAATTAACCCTGCACCCGTCCACCCAACGAAGGCATTTTTTTTTTGACATAAAGGGCTCTTAAAACTGATTTCTGTACTCCTCCCCAACGAGGGGATTAGCGCTGAAATCGACATCGCCATTTCAAATTAGGGTTAGCGTGGACGCAATTCGAAGGTATTGGCCTCCGGGAGCTATCCCACAGTGCACTATTGTGACCGCTCTGGACAGTGCTCTGAACTCGGATGCACTGGCCAGGTGTACAGGAAAAGCCCCTGGAACTTTTGAATCTCATTTCCTGATTGGCCAGGCGAGCTCATCAGCACAGGTGACCATGCAGTCCCAGAATCACAAAAGAGCTCCAGCATGGACCAAACGGGAGGTATTGGATCTGATCGCTGTATGGGGAAAGGAATCCGTGCTATCAGAACTACGTTCCAAAAGACGAAATGCCAAAACATTTCAAAAAATCTCCAAGGCCATGAGGGACAGAGGCTACAGCAGGGACGCAACACAGTGCCGCGTGAAACTTAAGGTGCTCAGACAACTGTACCAGAAAACCAAAGAATCAAATGGACGCTCCGGGACAGAGCCCCAGACATGCCGCTTCTATGCTGAGCTGCATGCAACTCTAAGGGGGGCCGCCACCACTACCCTACCCCTGTCCGTGGACTCCAATGATGGGGTACTCTCCGCCATACCTGAGGATTTTGCAGATAGGGAAGATGAGGTCCTAGGAGGAGGACAAGCTTGAGGAGAGCACACAGCACACCATTCTCCCTGACAGCCAGGATCTTTTTATCACCCTGACTGAAGTACCCTCCCAACCCAACGAAGTCGGAGAAGGGACCTCTGGTGAGTGTACCTTTTTAAATATAATACATGTTATAAAAGCAAGTGTTTTTTAATGATTAAGTAGCCCTGAGGACTTGGGATGCATTCGTGGCCAGTACAGCTACTGGAAAAGTCCATTAGCGTGTTTGGGGATGGAGCGGAAATCCTCCAGGGACATCTCCATGAAGCTCTCCTGGAGGTTCTCTAAAAGCCTTTGCAGAAGGTTTCTGGGGAGAGCAGCCTTACTCCGTCCTCCATGGTAGGACACTTTACCATGCCATGCTAGTAGCAAGTAATCTGGTATCATTGCATGACAAAGACTGGCAGCGTGTGGTCCCGGTGTTTGCTGGCATTCAAGCAACATCCGTTCTTTATCTCACTGTATTATTCTCAGGAGAGCGATATCGTTCATGGTAACCTGGTTGAAATAGGGAAATTTAATTAAGGGGACATTCAGAAGTGGCCGTTCCTACTGGGCTGTTTGCTTGTGGCTGAAAAGAAATCCTCTCTGCAGTTAGCCACGCGGTGGGAGGGGCCATTGGCACTGAGCTGTTCACGTTTGGCTACCAGGGATCTTCCCTGATACCAGCCACGCAGTGGGGTGAGGGGTAAAGCAATCATCCCAAAGAATTGGAGTAGGGATGGGGGGTTAGTTTGCTTTCTGCTGCTGCAGAAAACCGCAGCACTAAACGGAAAAGGAGTACTTGTGGTACCTTAGAGACTAACAAATTTATTTGAGCATAAGCTTTCGTGAGCTACAGCTCACTGAATGGCCAACTCAACGTGCTTTGCTTGGTATGGGAGAGGAGGGCGCTGCTGTTATGAAGTTTGCAGAAGCCAAAAGACTATGGCTTACCATGGCAGCCTCTAAGCTGAATTCTGTTGCCTGGCACTGCGTGTGTGATCTTTAACACCAAAGCTGCAGGCACTCAATATAAGATGCAAAATGCGACCTTGTACCAAAATCACATGTGCTATGTAATGTGAATAGTGTTGCTCACCGTGAAAGAGGATAGCCATTGTTCTGTAAACTGTATTTTTTTAAATACTTCACTCCCTTTTTTTCCTTCAGCAGCTGCAAATGTTTCAAGCCTCCCTCCTCCGTCCCAAAGGCTATCTCAGATAAGGTGGCGAAAAAAACGCAAGCGCAATGAAATGTTCTCTGAGCTCATGCAGTTGTCTGGCACTGACAGAGCTCAGCAGAATGTGTGGAAGGACACAATGGCAGAGTACAGGAAAGTGGCCGATGAACGTGAGGAGAGGTGGCAGCAGGAAGATCAGAGGAGGCATGAGGCAACGCTGGGGCTACTGCGGGATCAAACGGACATGCTCCGGCATCTGGTGGAGGTTCATGAACGGCAGCAGGATCACAGACTGCCGCTGCAGCCCCTGTTTAACTGCCCTCCCTCCTCCCCAAGTTCCATAGCCTCCTCACCCAGATGTCCAAGAACACGGGGTGGGGGGAGGCTCCGGGCACCCAACCACTCCACCCCAGTGGACAGTCCAAGCAACAGAAGGCTGTCATTCAACACATTTTAAAGCGGCCTTTTCCTTCCATCCTACCCTCCTCCCACCCCCCACCCGGGCTACCTTGTGAGTTATCTCCCTATTTTTATAATCAATTAATAAAGAATATATGTTTTTTAAACGATAGTGACTTCATTTCCTTTGCAAGCAAGCTGTGATCGAAGGGGGAAGGGCGGGTGGCTTTCAGGGAATTTAGAGTCAACCAAGGGGGCGGGTTTTCATCAAGGAGAAACAAAAAGAAGTGTCACACAGTACCGTGGCCAGTCATGAAACTGGTTTTCAAAGCTTCTCTGATGCGTAGCGCTTCCTGCTGTGCTCTTCTAACTGCCCTGGTGTCTGCTGCACATATTCAGCAGCCAGGCGATTTGCCTCAACCTCCCACCCCACCATAAACGTCTCCCCCTTACTCTCACAGAGATTGTGGAGCACACAGCAAGCAGCAATAACAGTGGGAATACTGGTTTCGCTGAGGTCTGAGCGAGTCAGTAAACTGCGCCAGTGACCCTTTAAACGTCCAAATGCACACTCTACCACCATTCTGCACTTGCTCAGCCTCTAGTTGAACAGCTCCTTCCTACTGTCCAGGTGCCTGTGTACGGCTTCATGAGCCAGGGCATTGTGAGCCAGGGTAGACTGGGTCCCCAAGGATAACTATAGGCATTTCAACAACCCCAACAGTTATTTTCTGGTCTGAGAAGTAAATCCCTTCCTGCAGCCGTTTAAACACACCAGAGTTCCTGAGGATGCGAGCGTCATGTACCTTTCCCGGCCATCCCACGTTGATGTTGGTGAAACATCCTTTGTGATCCACCAGTGCTTGTAGCACCTTTGAAAAGTAGCCCTTGCAGTTTACGTACTGGCTGCCAAGGTGGTCCAGTCCCAAGATAGGGATATGCATTCCGTCTATGGCCCCACCGACAGTTAGGAAATCCCATTGCAGCAAAGCCATTCACTATGACGTGCACATTTCCCAGAGTCACTACCTTTGATAGCAGCAGCTCAATGATTGCGTTGGCTACTTGCATCACAGCAACTCCCACAGTAGATTTGCCCACTCCAAATTGATTACCGACTGACCGGTAGCTGTCTGGCGTTGCAAGCTTCCATGGGGCTATTGCCACTTGCTTGTGAACTGTGAGGGCTGCTCTCATCTTGGTATTCCTGCGCTTCAGGGCAGGGGAAAGCAAGTCACAAAGTCCCATGAAAGTGCCCTTACGTATGCGAAAGTTTCACAGCCACTGGGAATCATCCCAAACCTACAACACTATGTGGTCCCACCACTCTGTGCTTGTTTCCCGGGTTCCACAGCATGAGCCTGCCCCAGTAACACCATGATCTCCAGATTGCTGGGGACAGCGGTTTTAGAGAAATCTGTGTTCATGTCCTCATCACCGCGCTGCCGTTGCCTCCTCGCCTGGTTTTTCAGGTGCTGGTTCTGCATAAACTGCACGACAATGCGCGAGGTGTTTACAATGGTCATAATTGCTGCGGTGAGCTGAATGGGCTCCATGCTTGCCGTGCTATGGCGTCTGCTCGGGCAATCCAGGGAAAAGGGCGTGAAATGATTGTCTGCTGTTGCTTTCACGGTGGGAAGGAGAGTTGACTGATGACATTTACCCATAACCACCCACGACAAATTTTTGGCCCCATCAGGCATTGGGAGCTCAGCCCAGAATTCCAATGGGCAGCGGGGACTGCGGGATAGCTACTCACAGTGCACCACTCGGAATGTCGACGCCTGCCACGGTACTGTGGACTCACACCACCGAATTAATGTGCTTAGTGTGGACGCATGCACTCGGCTTTTTACAATTTGTTCCCAAAAATCGACTTCGTAAAATCGGAGTACTTTCATAGTATAGACATGGCCCAAGTCCCATTTTCAAAAGTGACTTAGGCACATAGGAACCTAAGCCTATGTCTACACTAGGAGAGTTTTTCCTGGTATAGCTATACCTCTGTATCTACCAGCAAAGTGCTCCTTGTGTGGATGCAGCTATACCAGCAAAGCTGCACTTTTACTGCCATAGTTTATTCCACACACTGCCCTGAGCAAAATAAGATATACTGGCAAAAGTGTAGTTTTGCCAGTATAACTGCCTCTGCGCTAGGGGTTTCTGTCAATACAGCTGTGTTGGTCAGGAATGACTCCTGGAAGAGCTATGTCAGCCCAGAAGTCTGCAGTGCAGAAATGGCCAGTCCCATTGCAAGGAGACTTAGCCTCCTAAGTGCATAAAACACTGCTGAAAATGAAAAGTAGGACCAGACTTACAAAGGTATTTACATGTCTAAAGATGCAGATAGGCATCTAGTGGAATTTACAGAAGGTTCCAAGCAAGTTAGGTTCCTAAACTCCCACTGACTTTCATGATTTTCAACGGAAGATGGGTGACTAACTTGGTTAGGTTCTTTGAAAATCCCTCTAGACATCTAACTGGAGCTTTAGGTGCCTAAATACCTTTATAAATCTGGCCTTAAAACTCCTAAATCACTTGGGTGTTTTTTGAAAGTTTCGCCTGGGGTTTAAATAGAAAATTTTGTTTAAATATAAAATATACATTTCTTTCAGAAAATAAATCTCAGTGCCCATATTTTCTTGAATATCTTTCACTTATTTCTGTAAAGATCTGTGAGACTAGAACCCAGGTCTGTGGAGCCTGGGATGGCTGACATTCCCATATTGCCACTGGAGAGGATGGCGGGGGACATGCAGAGCTACATCTATTGAGCACAGTGACGGTTAGGCACTGCAGGAAGTACTGCTCAAAGGGTCTAGAGTGACAGCACCCTGCAGCCCTCTGATTGGCCAAATGCAATATTTAATCCTGGAGGGCACTCCAGGAAGTTTCCTGGACAAAACACAGAGACTTCTGGCCTTTGGCAACTCCAGACTGCATCTTGCTTCTGATCTCAAATCTCTAACCCCAGCCTGACTCTGACCCTGGCTCTTGTCTCCTGATTCCATCCTGGTAATTAACTCTAACATCCAGTCTCAGACCCCAGCCTGACTCTCACTCTTGCTTATTGATCATGGCTCTAGCAATTACTCTGATCCCTACCTTGGCCATCCTTACCTCTGGACACGAGCCTAGCTGTGACCGTTAGGCCAGTCCTTACAATTTCATGTGAAGTTTTGATATAATTCTATGAGAAATGGTATGAAAAGGGTTTCCCCTCTATCAGCCTTCAATGGTCAAGTAAGTATGAGTAGTTTTACAGTGCTGATGCAATTGAAATGAGTAAAATGTCATTGGAGCCTGTTTTTTCTGTAGATGGGCATGCCATCAATAACAGGTGAAATCAAAGAATCAACTTCCAACAAAAAAATTACAGAATTTTAAGACAACAGGTTCGCAGTGTGTAAATGAACTCAGGAAGCAGAGAAGTATTATCATCATCTGCCCAGATTTAGATTGGGAGACCCAGGTTTTTTTATATTAAAGATCTCCCAGCCCCATATTGTGAAACCAACAGTTTCTATACCACAGGGACCGTTGCTGGCATGTACAAGCCACACCTTACTCTCTCTTCTTGGATCCCTGTGTAATCCAAGCAAATGAGTAGTCTCCTCTATTACAGACCTACATGTATCACATGGTCTTACCTGCAGATAAGTCTGTTCTTAACCAAAGCTGTAAAGATCTCTTGAAACTGTTTGTGTTGAGCGTGCTTGCTAAAATGTCTCTCATTCCTGTAGTTCATACTGCGGGGGCCGAGGAAGAAAAATGAAGTTTTGTTAAATACATTGTAGTACGATAAGTTTAGATTACTGAAAGTCAATGAGGAGAAAACAGACTTTATTAGCAGTTAATTGTTGAGATTATAATAGTGTATGATAACAAACTATTTGACTAACATGCCTACTACTTTTATTTAAATTAGCATTTAGCAGATCTCAACAGCCTATGCAGCAGCAAGTGGGAGCAGCCATTCGGTAACTGCCTTCATACACTGTCACTACTGGTATTGTGGCTCCAGCTCTGCCCCTCTTTTTTTACTCACTGAAAGATAACACTTTTAGATGTATTAACAGTATTAAAAAATACTCATAAGGTAAAACCAAATTACTTAAAAGAAACACCAATCGCAAAATGCATACAGAAAAAGCTAAACACATGATTCTGAACTGCTGACTTAATGCATGATCCTAAGTCGCATGGTCCTAATCTTACTCCAGTTCCCACCCTATTGTCTACCATCACTTTTTATTATGTAATGTTGAATGTATGGTGTAAGCTTTATGGGGCAGCAACAGTGCCTTCTGTCTGGAAAGCATGATGCACGCTTGAAGTGTTACATAAATAACAATGCCAAACGAGAGTGAAGTGGCACGGAACCATTTTGGGCCAGTGACAGGGACCAGACAGTCATGAAGAAAAGGTCTTGAAGGACAATAATTCATAATAATTAAACACACATGCTATTAACCTAAATGTTTAGAAGATGTAGCACTTTTTAGCAGAAGCAGAATTAATCTGACATAACGGGGGTTTTTGAAGGTTAAAAAAAGCCGTATTTCATCTTTCTGACATTTCCTAATGATGTTAGATTTAGAGATGTTTTAATATTTTATATGATGTTTTAAAAATTAATTAAAATGAAAACACTGAGATCTCAATTATTCAACTCTCATTTAGCTAAGAGGTCCGATGTGTCTGCCAAGGTTTGAACAAAGCTTCTAAACTCTGAAAGATTGGTGCTTCTGTCCTCCAAATCTTAGCAGCTGCACGTCTTCTATCCTTTGAAGAGGAAGCCCAACAGACTTTGAAGAATGTGCTCAGGATCCCCTGATTATCCAACCTCCTGATTTTTCTGATGTTGTGTGTGCTCGTTCTCTTGCACAGCCACGACACTTCTACACAGTACAACCCTGATGATATAACAAAGCATTTCAACCACTTAAATGCAATATGTTCAACTTTTCAGCTAGCATGGCTGGCAGAACTTTCTTAACCATATACATTTAAATAATGGGTGCCCCTAAGAACACACAACATCAGAAGAACACATCAGATTCTACCTTAGGTATCTTATGATTCCTTCCTGTGTTTATAACAATGCAAATAAAAAAATCCTAAATGGAACAGCAATCTGAACTGCCAAACTGCCCTTGGGAAACCTTTAATCTGATTATCTATTGCATTTTGCAAACCACATATCTATTCTTTCCTTTAGAAGTGAATATGTATGATTTAATATGTCCTTCAAACATTTACCACTTAAAAAGCATGAGATTCTGGGGTTGCAAGTATCAGTTATATCTTTAGCACTGTTAACCTCACCTTTGCTATTTTTTAAAAATCCATCATTAATAAGATAAGAAGAAAAACTGTTGTAAATTTAAAGGTGTGATTTAAACCCATGGAAGCAGAGTTAAGATTAGAACTCCAAGTTCATGCTCCATCCATACTTTGCATATTTGATTAAAAGAAAGGTACAATCTTTACCTAAAGTTTTCAAGCTCAACAGCTTCAGTTGATTCTTGCCATTGACCTCGGCTTCTTTGTCCATCAGTCTTGTTGGTGTATTGTTCTGACTTGGTCATAGTATTTTGAGCAGTTTCAAAATTAATGGCTGGCAGCTGCAAATGCAAGGGAGGCTGTGCATAAGGCAAACAGTATATAGAAAGTAATCAAGCAGAGAAAAGCTTTTGTCTTCTCAAATTCTTATTGGGATTTCAGATACTGTCTAACTTAAGATCCAACAATTGCCATTATAAAGGTAATGCATACATCACACAATACAAACAAAGCTATTTTAATGCTCTGATCCAACACAGTGCTGGATCAAACTGGTAGATGAACAAATATGACAAATTTTGAGATCAGTGACCCTCCAGGCCAGCCTGCTACAGGTTGTATTAAACCACTGACATTATACACTGTTTCAGAAATGTTACTGTCAATCCCACTTACACAGCTGTACAGAGGTACAATATTTCCTGTCACTTTAGAGGTCTATCTGTATTAGGTGACTCAGCCATTTCAACTTTAAATGCTCAGTATTTCTACCACCCTTAGAACAACGCTTCCTCAGCTCTCGTCCCCTAATGCCCCTACTCTACTTACGCTACATTGATGACATCTTCATCATCTGGACCCATGGAAAAGAAGCCCTTGAGGAATTCCACCATGATTTCAACAATTTCCATCCCACCACCAACCTCAGCCTGGACCAGTCCACACAAGAGATACACTTCCTGGACACTACGGTGCTAATAAGTGATGGTCACATAAACATCACCCTATACCGGAAACCTACTGACCGCTATTCCTACCTACATGCCTCAAGCTTTCACCCAGACCACACCACACAATCCATCGTCTACAGCCAAGCTCTACGATACAACTGCATTTGCTCCAACCCCTCAGACAGAGACAAACACCTACAAGATCTCTATCAAGCATTCTTACAACTACAATACCCACCTGCTGAAGTGAAGAAACAGATTGACAGAGCCAGAAGAGTACCCAGAAGTTACCTATTACTGGACAGGCCCAACAAAGATAAAGCAGAACGCCACTAGTCATCACCTTCAGCCCCCAACTAAAACCTCTCCAACACATCATCAAGGATCTACAACCTATCCTGAAGGACGACCCATCACTCTCACAAATCTTGGGAGACAGGCCAGTCCTTGCCTACAGACAGCCCCCTAACCTGAAGCAAATACTCACCAGCAACCACACACCACACAACAGAACCACTAACCCAGGAACCTATCCCTGCAACAAAGCCCGTTGCCAACTGTGTCCACATCTCTATTCAGGGGACACCATCATAGAGCCTAATCATATCAGCCACACTATCAGAGGCTCGTTCACCTGCACATCTACCAATATGATATATGCCATCATGTGCCAGCAATGCCCCTCTGCCATGTACATTGGTCAAACTGGACAGTCTCTACGTAAAAGAATAAATGGACACAGATCAGATGTCAAGAATTATAACATTCATAAACCAGTCGAAGAACACTTCAATCTCTCTGGTCACTTGATTTCTGACCTAAAAGTGACTATTCTTCAACAAAAAAATTTCAAAAACAGACTCCAAGGAGAGACGGCTGAATTGGAATTAATTTGCAAGCTGGATACAATTAACTTAGGCTTGAATAGAGACTGGGAGTGGATGTGTCATTACACAAAGTAAAACTATTTCCCCATGTTTATTTCCCCACCCCCACCGCTCCTCAGACGTTCCTATTAACTGCTGGAAATGGCCCACCTTGATTATCACTACAAAAGGTTTCCCCCCCCCGCCCACTCTCTTGCTGGTAATAGCTCATCTTAAGTGATCACTCTCCTTACAGTGTGTATGATAACACCCATTTTTTCATGTTCTGTGTGTATATAAATCTCCTCACTGTATTTTCCACTGAATGCATCTGATGAAGTGAGCTGTAGCTCACGAAAGCTTATGCTCAAATAAATTGGTTAGGCTTTAAGGTGCCACTAGTACTCCTTTTCTTTCTACCACACTTAGTTACTGTAAGGATGTCTACACCTACTAGCTTGATTTGTGTAAACAGGTGCAGTGCATCCACACACAACACTCCCTCCAACCACTGCTATCCATTGTGATAGTATCCTGGAGAGTAATTTTTCACATTTTAGAAATCTGAGAGATACAGCTAGCTGCCTCATAGCTTGCAAACTTCAGCCTCAGTAAAGCAAATACATAGCCCTGTATGTTACAAAGAATTCTCTGGATCAATTCTCCATACCTTTGTACAGCATTGGCAATGGATTTACAAGCAGTAAGGATGCTCCTTGCTATGTTACATATCTAGCTACATTGCGCTTTGGATGGATTTCTCAGCACTGCCTCCAAAATGTCAGTACTTTCAGCCATGTCACAGCAGTCAATCCCATGAAAATCATGTTGAATAGAATGTAGAACAAGAGAAATGGGCCATCCAGCTATACCACAGAGTAACACCCACAATTATGTGGATTCACTTGAAGTAGGGATTAACATGATTTTCCCAATTTAAAAATATATATATAATTTTTCAAACGGTAGAGAGAAGTCCCAACAGGGAGTGGGGGGAAAGAAGACTTTGCTACAAACACTAGAAAACTTATAAGCAAATAACTACCAGTGTAATCAATTTTCTTGACACAGTTTTAACCTCAAGTTTTCATTCTCTAAACACTATTTATACATGATGGAATTGCTTACTTGTGGTTTTGCGTCCTTCACTTCCTTTCATCATGTTATAATTAACCTGCCTCTTGCTGAAAATGGAGACTACTTCCTCATGACATTATCAAAGGGTGTGGAAAAAGACAAAGCTGGTAAACTGTTTAACTATAAATAACTGTGACAGCATAAACTCTGCTAGATATGTTGACACAGCAAACCAAATGAAGATCATTTTGCTGTTATTTAAAAAAATGAATATGACATACCAGCATAAAAAGCTGATTGATTTAATTCCTTTACACTGTGTAAATGGGATTTTTCCTAGAGAAAAACTCTGCTATTGCCAAAAAAAAGAAAGTTTCTAGTGAATTGAACTGCACATGAGCTCACTAAAACTTCTTTGACTATTTCTGACAATGCACAAAATTCACACTGACTACCACAATTATTATTTTGCATGATCATACAACTGTTCAGCATGTTGAATAATGACTACTAAAAATACCTGCTGTTTGCTTGACTGGACATTTAAAAGAGACTGAAGTCTTTTAAGATCAGAGTAATCCCTAGGATAAAACATAATAATGTATCTATTAATAACTCATTAGACAAAGTTATTTATAACCATGTCAACAAGTAGTCTGCTCAATATAAACAAGGTCAATTTGTGTGATCAACATTGGTGAGAGAAAAGGCAATTCTCTGGCATTGCCTTAGTAGTCTATTGTTTTATTTTTGCATACAGAAGTTTCATAACCATTGATTTGTTTCTCCAGAAGGCCTGAAATCACCAAAGGTCTAAATAAACTCTCTGACCAGAGTAACAGTTGCCATGTGTATAAAGCATTTAACTTTGGCAAATGGTACAAATTCCAGAAAGTCACTGTTGAGGTTCAAACAAACTAAACCATTATCAGATACTATACCTTGCAGTGATCCCTTGAGGTTTTTTATCGGTTCCTTTTTCTGTGCTCTTCACCTTTTTGTCTTGATCAGGCATTGTAAAACATCAATACTGCAGAATTAACATCTCATTCCCTTAAAAATAAAGTGAACGACAGAATATGATTGTGCTATAATGGCAGCAAGTAATAGCACACAGTAGAACCAACTTGAGAAACCAAGGTGTGAAAAAGAATAGATGCACTGTATGCCCAACCTGAGACACTAGGTTTTAAACAGAGGACATCCCTTAAAATACAGGACATAAAAGACAAGATAAGTAAGTCCTGGCTCTTAAACACCTGTTTTTTGGGAAGAGGATAGAGAGGACGAAGAGGGATCCCAAGTAACTTGCTACCACCATCCATTTTTACTGGCTTGTTCCCTCCTCCAGCATATTATTATTTCTTGCTGTGGATTTGGCTGTTTACATTATGGTAGTGCCAGGAGGCCCCCCTCCCCGTTGTGGACCCTGCTATGCTAAGTGATGCTGGGGGAGGTAGATGAAGGCAGTTGGAAACCAAGCTCACCCTACAGTGGTGGCGCCTGTCCTGCGGGATTGGGATTGGCTCTCCAACTCCAGGTATTACGACCAGGAACTCAGGGTTGCAGCACCACTGCAGGTTAGATTGGCTGCTCCTCCGCATGATGATAGGGTGGTTGGGCCAAACCTGAGTGGTGCTGTGACCCCATGAGCCAGGTTGCAACTCCTGGAAAAGGGAGCCAAGACCAGCCCCACAGGACAGCACTCACTGCTGCAGGATGAGCTCATTCTCCAACCCCCTTCACTGGTCCACCGCCCCTCCCACTGGGCCGGGATTAGGGTTGTGGGGCTGGGGGTGTGTATATGTAATGATGGGTCACAAAAAAAAGACAAAATGCTGTTGGTCGCTGGCCTTACTAACAGTTTGGAAACCACTGTGCTATGCCATAATGACATAGTCAAGACTAGAAAAAATATCAACTTGCCAACGAGAGTAGGAAGTTTTCCAAAGCTAGTGCCATCAGTTTCTACAGATACCTAAACTCTCTAAACTCTCTCTCAAAAAAAAATCTAGGGGTGAAATCCTGGCCCAACTGAAGTCAATGGCGAAACTCCCATTGGGACCAGGATTTCACCCTCACTTTTAGCCTTTATGGGTGATACGAAAACCTTACAAATGAGAGGGAGGCTATGACAGCTTCAGAGGCAGCAGTGGTAGTGGCCCAAGAATGGAAGAAACAATGAAAATGACTCGATGTGGAAGCTGCGCATGTACATTATCTTGGAGTAATAATGAATTAATCCAGGTTAAACTAAATGGAAGGAAACAAAAACAGGTCTGCAACAAGGGTCCTTGATTTCAAAAGCACAGTCTTTAAAAACTTAAGGGAATTAGCAAAGGTAATGGATTGGACTGAAGAACTCAAGCGTCCGAATGTGGAGGAGGCTTAGAACTATTTTTAGGCAAAGTTGCAGAAGCTATCTGAAGCTTGGATCTCAAACAAGGGGAAACAATTCTCAGTGAAGGGTTGCAGGCCAAAGTGGACAAACATACATCTCAAACAGGTTATTAAGAGAAAGCAGAAAGCCTACAAGGAACTGAAGATTGGAAGAATCAGCAAGGAAAGCTACCTCTTGGAAGTCAGAAAGTGCAGAGGAAAAGTGAGAACTGCCAAAAGCAAAGCAAAGTTGGACCTTGCAAAGGAAATTAAGAACAACAGTAAAAGATTATATAACCTGTCAAGGTTCCTTCCCCACTCTGAACGATAGGGTACAAATGTGGGGACCTGCATGAAAAACCTCCTAAGCTTATCTTTACCAGCTTAGGTCAAAACTTCCCCAAAGTACAAAATATTCCACCCTTTGTCCTTGGATTGGCTGCTACCACCACCAAACAAATACTGGTTACTGGGGAAGAGCTGTTTGGAAACGTCTTTCCCCCCAAAATACTTCCCAAAACCTTGCACCCCACTTCCTGGACAAGGTTTGGTAAAAAGCCTCACCAATTTGCCTAGGTGACTACAGACCCAGATCCTTGGATCTTAAGAACAATGAACAATCCTCCCAACACTTGCACCCCCCCTTTCCTGGGAAATGTTGGATAAAAAGCCTCACTAATTTGCATAGGTGACCACAGACCCAAATCCTTGGATCTGAGAACAATGAAAAAGCATTCAGTTTTCTTACAAGAAGACTTTTAATAGAGATAGAAGTAAATAGAAGTAAAGAAATCCCCCCTGTAACATCAGGATGGTAGATACCTTACAGGGTAATTAGATTCAAAACATAGAGAACCCCTCTAGGCAAAACCTTAAGTTATAAAAAGATACACAGACAGAAATAGTTATTCTATTCAGCACAATTCTTTTCTCAGCCATTTAAAGAAATCATAATCTAACGCATACCTAGCTAGATTTAGAACTTTTAGTAAGTAGACTCCATTCCTGGTCTATCCCCGGCAAAGCAACATATAGACAGACAGACCAGACCCTTTGATTCTCTCCCTCCTCCCAGCTTTTGAAAGTATCTTGTCTCCTCATTGGTCATTTTGGTCAGGTGCCAGTGAGGTTACCTTTAGCTTCTTAACCCTTTACAGGTGAGAGGATTTTTTTCTCTGGCAAGGAGGGATTTTAAAGGGGTTTACCCTTCCCTTTATATTTATGACATAACCAAATAAATAAAAAGAAAACAAGGAAAGAAGAAGTGGGACCGCTAAGCACTGAGGATGGGGTAGAGATTAAAGATAATCTAGGTATGGCCCAACACCTAAATGAATACTTTGCCTCAGTTTTTGATAAGGGTAATGAGGAGTTTACGGGTAGTGGCAGGGTGGCTAATGGACATGAGGCTAAAGAAGTAGAAATAACCTCATCTGAGGTGGAAGTCAAACTCAAACAGTTTAATGGACCAAATTGGGGGGGGGGGGCTGGATAATCCCCATCCAAAAATATTAAAGGAACTGGAACGTGAAATTGCAAGCCCTATAGCAAGGATTTTTAATGAAATGGGATGAAATTTAATAGTACAAAGTGATGCACTTAGGGACTATCAACAAGAATTTTTGCTACAAACTGCTATAAACAGTTGGAAGTGACAGAGGAGGCAAAGGACTTGGGTGTATTGGCTGATCACAGGATGACTATGAGCCACCAATGAGATGCAGACGTGAAAAAGGCTAATGCAATCCTAGGATGCATCAGGTGAGGTATTTCCAGTAGAGATTGTGAAGTGTTATTGCCATTATGCAAGCCACTGCTGAAACCTCATCTGGAATAGTGTGTGCAGTTCTGGTCTCCCAGAAATTTAAGAAAGATTAATTCAAACTGGAACAGATGCAGAGAATGGCTACTAGGATGAGGTAAACCTTATGAGAGGAGACACAAGGAGCTTGGCTTGTTTAGCCTGACAAAAAGAAGGCTGAGAGAAGATATGACTGCTCTCTAGACATAAATCAAAGGGATAAATACCAGGGAAGGAGAATAATTATTTAAGTTATGTGCCAATGTTACCACAAGAATAAATGGATATAAACTGGCCATCAACAAGTTTAGGCTTGAAATTAAATGAATGTTTCTTACCATCGGAGGAGTGAAGTCCTAGAACAGTCTTCCAAGAGGACTAGTGGGGGCAAAAAAATCTAACTGGCTTCAAGACTGAGCTTTATAAGTTTATAGAGAGGGTGGTATGCTGAGATTGCCTACAATGGCATATGGCCCATCTTCAACTACTAGTAGCAAATATCCCCAATGGATGGAGATGGGGCGCTAGATAGGGAGGGCTCTGAGTTACTACAGAGAATTATTTCCCAGCTGTCTGGCTGGTGAGTTTTGCAACATGTTCAAGGGTCTAACTGATCACCATATTTTGGGTTGGGAAAGAATTTTCCCCCAGGTCAGATTGGCAGAGACCATGGAGGAGAGGTCGCTTTCCTCTGCACCATGGGGCACAGGTCACTTGCTGGTTTAAACTAGAGTAAACGGCAGATTCTCTGTAACTTTCAGTCTTTAAATCATGGTATGAGGACTTCAGTAATTCAGTCAGAAGTTATAGGTCTATTACAGGAGGAGGTGGGTGAGGTTCTGGAAAGAGAATCCAAGATGTTTTTTAGTAACATACGTATAGCAATGTGTTCACTGCAACATACAAATTTTTAAATTGAGAGTGTCAGAAAGTCAGGGACTACAAAAAAGGTAGATCTCATTAAGGGAATGCCCAATTGAGCTCTGAATAAAAGTCAAGCTTTCTGCCCAGTTCACAGAGATATGAACCTTGGCAATAAATGTACAGGCCCAATCCTACTAGATGAGCGTGGTCAGCGTATATCAGGAGGTTGTCGGCACTTTATAGGATTGGGCCCAAGGACAGGAAGGAGTAGAAATTAGAAGAGAACTGAACAGCTGATTTGAGAAAGTCCTGAGAGTCGCTTATTTATTTGCCTTTGTTATTTCATTGCTTTTATTTTTCTTTTGTGGTCATGGCTGCCTGCCAGTAAGTCACTACTTCAAAATATACAGGACAGATTATTTTTTCTGCCATCTCCTATAGCTAATATTGATCACAAAAGGATTTATTTTTCTTCCTTGAAAACTTGATACATGTACATATTTTCCTTTTATATTAACAGATGGCATGCACCACGGGGTAGGCATCACAGAGCTTTGACAATATGAATTATCACAGTGACAAGCTAGTAAACAAAAGAACCTTAACTTTGAATTAGTTATTAAATGCAAACAAAAAGACAAAGTGATGGTATGGTTGGCATTTTAAATGTATAGCAATCAATATACTTTTTTTAAAAAGTGACAAACTAGCTATATACCAATATAATGCCCAAAGGTTAGAAAAAAAGGATGAACCCTGACATGGGAAGTATCAAAGATACTGCTCTGCACTCTGAGCTCTCTGCTTCTTTTCCAGTTAGAATGGTTGGGGCCACTTCTTCTATAATACCCAGAGAAAGGAAGTTAAACTGTGGGCCCTGTGGACAATGTTTGCCAAAAGATTCCAAGCTCATGTATACATTTAGGCATTCTTCAAGAGCAACTCATCTATTTTCAATGAGTTTTGCAAACTGTATCAATCTAGAAGTCTTCACATTCATCTACGTCAAGTATTTTTACAGATCAGCAGGTATAATTGTATTAATATTTAATTTGGATTAATCATTTATTTAGAGTTGTTTTGATATTGTATATTAGAGCAAACCTGATACTAATAAACAACACTTAGCACTTCTTTGGTCAGAAGTCTCCAAAGTGTTTTACAAACATTGCTGAAGTCTCACAACACTCCTATGAGATATGGAAATATTAACATAAGAACATAAGAGCAGCCCTAGTGGGTCAGACTAAACGTCCATCTAGCCCAGTATCCTGTCTTCTAACACTGGCCAACGTCAGGTGCCCCAGCAGGGAATGAACAGAACAGGTAATCAAGTGATCCATCCCCTGTCACCCATTCCCAGCTTCTGGCAAACAAAGGCTAGGGACACCATCCTTGCCAATAGCCATTGATGGATGTATCCTCCCTGGACTTATATAGTTCTTTTTTGAACCCTGTTATAGACTTGGCCTTCACAACATCCTCTGGCAAAAAGCTCCACAGGTTGACTGTGCGTTGTGTGAAAAAAAAGACTTCCTTTTGTTTGTTTTAAACCTGCTGCCATTAATTTCATTTGGTGACCCCCAGTTCTTGTGTTATGAGAAGGAGTAAATAACACTTCCTTATTTACTTTCTCTGCACCAGTCATGGTTTTATAGAATTCAATCGTATCTCCCCTTAGTTGTCTCTTTTCCAAGCTGAAAAGTTTCAGTCTTATTAATCTCTCCTCATACAGAAGCCATTCCATACCTCTAATAATTTTTGTTGCCCTTTTCTGAACCCTTTCCAGTTCCAATATATCTTTTTTGAGATGGGGCAACCACATCTGCATGCAGTATTCAAGATGTGGGCGTCCTGCGGATTTGTATAGAGGCAATATGATATTTTCTGTCTTATTATCTATCCCTTTCTTAATAAAAAGAAAAGGAGTACTTGTGGCACCTTAGAGACTAACCAATTTATTTGAGCATAAGCATAAGCTTTCAGATGCATCCGATGAAGTGAGCTGTAGCTCACGAAAGCTTATGCTCAGATAAATTGGTTAGTCTCTAAAGTGCCACAAGTACTCCTGTTCTTTTTGCGAATACAGACTAACACGGCTGTTATTTGTTACTCTGAAACCCTTTCTTAATGATTCCCAACATTCTGTTTTTGACTGCCGCTGCACATTGAGTGGATGTTTTCAGATAACTATCCACAATGACTCCAAGATCTCTTTCTTGAGTGGTAACAGCCAATTTAGACCCCATCACTTTATATGTATAGTTGGGATTATGTTTTCCAATGTACATTACTTTGCATTTATCAACACTGAATTTCATCTTCCATTTTGTTGCCCGGTCACCCAGTTTTGAGAGATCCTTTTGTAACTCTTCACAGTCTGCCTGGGACTTAACAATCTTGAGTAGTTTTGTATCATCTGCAAATTTTGCCACCTCACTGTTTACCCCTTTTTCCAGATCATTTATGAATATGTTGAATAGGACTGGTCCCATTTCAAACCCCTGGGGGGGACACCACTATATACCTCTCTCCATTCTGAAAACTGACCATTTATTCCTACCCTTTGTTTCCTATCTTTTAAATAGTTACCAATCCATGAGAGGACCTTCCCTCTTATCCCATGACAGCTTACTTTGCTTAAGAGCCTTTGGTGAGGGACCTTGTTAAAGGATTTCTGAAAATCTAAGTACACTGCACTGGATCCCCCTTGTCCACATTCTTGTTGACCCCTCAAAGAATTCTAGTAGATTGTGAGGCATGATTTCCCTTTATAAAAACCATGTTGACTCTTCCCCAACAAATTACGTTCATCTATGTGTCTGACAATTCTGTTCTTTACTATAGTTTCAACCCGTTTGCCTGGTACTGAAATCAGGTTTACTGGCCTGTAATTCCTGGGATCACCTCTGGAGCTCTTTTAAAAAATTGGCATCACATTAGCTATCCTCCAGTCATTGGTACAGAAGCTGATTTAAATTATAGGTTACACACTAGAGTTAGTAGTTCTGTAATTTAACATTTAAGTTCCTTCAGAACTCTTGGGTGAATACCATCTGAACCTGGTGACTTATTACTGTTTAGCTTATCAATTTGTTCCAAAACCTCCTCTAATGACACCTCAATCTGGGACAGTTGCTCAGATTTGTCACCTAAAAAGAATGGCTCGGGTTGGGGAATCTCCCTCACATCCTCAGTAGTGAAGACCGATACAAAGAATTCTTTTAGTTTCTGCGCAATGGCCTTATCATCCTTGAAAGCTCCTTTAGCATCTTGATCGTTCAGTGGCCCCACTGGTTGTTTAGCAGGCTTCCTGCTTCTGATGTACTTAAAAATGTTTTTGCTATTACTTTTTTAAGTCTTTGGCTAGCTGTTCTTCAAATTCTTTTTTGGCCTTCCAATTTTTACACTTTTTACACTTCATTTGCCAGAGTTTATGCTCCTTTCTATTTTCCTCACTAGGATTTAACTTCCACGTTTTAAAGGCTGCCTTTTTGTCTCTCACTGCTTTTTTTACTTTGTTGTTTAGCCACAGTGGTACCTTTTTGGTTCTCTTACTACGTTTTTTAATTTGGGGTATACATTTAAGTTAAGCCTCTATTATGGTGCCTTTAAGAAGTTTCCATGCAGCTTGCAGGGATTTCACTTTTTGCGCTGTGCCATTTAATTTCTGTTTAAATGAATTCCTCATTTTTGTGTAGTTCCATTTTCTGAAATTAAATGCTACCATGTTGGTCTGCTGTGATGTTTTCCCCACCACAGGGATGTTAAATTTAATTATATTATAGTCACTATTACCAAGCGGTCCAGATTCTGTGCTCCACTTAGGACTAAATCAAGAATTGCCTCTCCTCTGGTGGGTTTCAGGACTAGCTGCTCCAAGAAGCAGTCATTTAAGATGTCAAGAAACTATCTCTGCATCCCGTTCTGAGGTGACATGTACCCAGTCAGTATGGGGATAGTTGAAATCCCCCATTATTATGAGTTTTTTATTTTAATAGCCTCTGTAATCTCCTGAGCATTGCAGAGTCGCTATCGCCATCCTGGTCAGTTGGTCGGTAATATATCCCTACTGCTATATTCTTATTATTAGAGCACAGAATTACTATCCATAGAGATTCTATGGTACGCTTTGGTTCATTTAAGATTTTTACTTCATTTGATTCTACTCTTTCTTTCACATATAGTGGCACTCCCCCACCAGCACAACCTGTTCTGTCCTTCTGATATATTTTGTACCCTGGTATTACTGTGTCCCATTGATTATCCTCATTCCACCAAGTTTCTGTGATGCCTATTGTATCAATATTCTCATTTAATATGAGGCACTCTAGGTCACCCATCTTATTATTTAGACTTTAGCATTTGTATATAAGCACTTTAAAAACTTGTCACTTTTTAGCTGTCTGCCATTACATGATGGAACTGAATGGGACTTTTTTCATTTGACTGTTTCTCATCAGATCCTACCTGTATTTTATCATCTTCCACTCTCTCCTCCTAACAGGGACATAGAGAATCTCCATTAATAGATCCTTCCCTATGGGATGCCTCTGTCCAAACCACATGCTCCTCCGCACCTGTTGGCTTTCCCCCGGCCCTTAGTTTAAAAACTGCTCTATAACCTTTTTAATTTTAAATCCAGCTAAGGACTAAGCCTAAACAGGCCTAGATTTCCCATAACAAATCAATATGCTCATGGCACTGCTGATTCTCTGCTCTTCCAAAGCAATCTCCCCAGTTCCTACGGTGGAATCCAACATTCTCTGACAGTGTCCCTCCATACAAATAATTCAATCCAAGCACTGGGGGTTTATGTGCACATTTATCCAGCTAAAGACCCAGATCCTGCCTGAGTCTATCCTGGTAAACCACTGCTTACAGATGTGGCAACAGATACAAAGAGGTTAAGTGGTTGAAGAAAGTTATAGAGCAAGTCTGTGACAGAGAAGGGATAACAATCCAACTCTCTTAAGTCCATTTTCTGTGCTTTAACTATTAGACAGACCTTTTGGGGAATGCTGTTGGTGACTGGCAGGTTTTGGAAATTATGATGGTAAATTAAAGCATCAATGATTTGGTCCCTTTTCAATTTCCACAACGGGGATTTGGGGTCGCATGGGGGCAGAACTACGTAACTAGACTGTGTTTAGAAGGTAAAAGTATTATGGAATCTCTATTTTAGCAGTGTTATCTTCTATTAGCTGGTCTGCCTCACCTCGGAGATATCTTCCCTTGAGTTTGCTGATGTTACTTTACTTTTTTAGACTGTTCAGACTGAGTTTGTACATATTCTCAAGGGGTTAATTGCAAAAAGTTATCAGATTGCTTTTTTTCCCCTGCTGCTTTTCCCCCCTGCTGTATAGCGTTTCGAACCCAGTTTGAAATGCTATACAGAAACTGTGTATTTAACCTTAAACTCTCCAAGTCCCTCTCATTCCTCCAAACTTGTTAATACATTTCTGGTGAGGTGGGGCTCAGAACTGAAGGGAATCCCTCGGGTGCCCCCTCCCCCATCAGCGGGGACAGGGGCATCCCTTATCCTACCAGACCTCTGGGCAGACGTCTGACATCTCAGAGACCTGGGAGAAGCAGCTGATGCTGTCAGGGGTTCTCTGCTGGGTGTCCCCTCCGGATCCCTGATTTTCCTTTGATCTCACCGCCGTCCCTGTCGTTTCATAGGCTGCCCCCGGTGTTCAGTTGTGGACTGGGTCTGATGGCTCTTCCCCCAGCCCAATTTCAGGGGGCCTCGATCCCCGTCCCAGGACTCGCAAATAGCAGGGACAGGGGCAGCAACCTCCCTGTTTTGGGACCCGCCACCTTCCCTGCGATCCAAGACACACCGGTTCCTGCAGACCCGCACCCCGGGTCAGCCCCGCTGCCAGCGGCGGCCGCTTTGCCCGGCCTCTCGCCGGCGAGTTATTTCCCGACCTCTCTCGGGGGAGGGGAGCCCGCTCCGCTCTGAGGCCGGCCCCGGAGCCCCTCACCCTACCCAACCTGGCAGTGGGCTCCCGCCTACTCACTGCGCGGCGGCGGGAGGTGGCGAGGGTCTAGCCCTTGGGGAAGCCCCTGTTCGCTACGCTCCGGCGCTCCCCAGGCCCCGCTCTTCTCGCCGCAGCCCCCGAATTTGTTTTTGATCAACTGACAGCCTCACAGCCAATCAGATCACTCGTCCTTCAGGGACGCCGAGTTCCCCGGCCAATCGCTGTCCTCCATGCTACAAGGTGCGGGCACCATAGAGACGGCTAAACGCCGCCGCTGTTGCCATGGTCACAACTGTTGTGACTGTATTGGGGCCAGGGCCTCCAAGCAGGGGGATCAAGGTCTCCCCCAACCAGACGGGGCAGCGGCTTCCCCCAGGTGGGGCCCAGGAGCGAAGCGGCCCTGCCACTGGGGGAGCTCGGAAAGGGGAGGGAGGCAGCCCCGTCTGCTCCGGCCGCCTCAGCGCTGCGGGGGCGGCCTGCACTGGGACTGCAGGGTGTTGGGAGCAGCAAGGGCTGCGTCCCCTTCCCACCACAGCCCCTCGCCCTCTCCGACACTCGGCTCCCCGCAGCTCTGGAAGCGCTCTGACCCGCTCCCGCTGAACCAAGGCACAAAAATCCCACTCAGAGCGGGACTGTGCCCCAAAGGGGTCCGCTCTAAAACACTAATAATTATTGTTACTTGCAACTTATTGCCTTTAAATACAGCCATCTCCGGGCCTACCAGGCGTTACCGTCTTTAAAACTTCCATACAGTTAGTTCAAGCAGTTAAGACAAATCGTAAAAAATGAGACAAATGTTAAAAAAAAAAAAACTTGAGTTGAAATGATTAGGTACAGGACCTGCAACTCAAACAAAAGAAAACTTGAGGAAACATTATTTCCCTTCAGCATCTACATAGGTTTTCAATCCACACCAGTTTTCCAACTCATAAAGAGGCTAAAATTAAAATAAGTCTTTATAATGGAAGGTGGTGGTATGTGGAGGCATGCTTTTAATAACTGTATTGAAATTTAACCTACACTGTAAAGCAGAAGAAACTTGCCTTCCCTGGAAGCCATAGTCTTTGGTTATTTGGTTGGAAATTTTGGTTATTTCCTTTTAACATACCTAGTCCAGTTTTGATTGATACATTTAATACTTACAAAATCATTCTGTCACATTTACAGCACAACAAATACAGATCATTTGCTCAGATACTTAGCACCTGTCTACACATGGAGTTATTCCATAATAGCTATTCAGGAACAGCTATTCCAGAATAACTTTCATTTGTAGACAAATAGAGCACACATCATCCCATAAATCATAAAAGTCTGCAAATGTTAGCAAATGCAATACATGATTTTTCAAGGTTGTCTGTCCCTTACCAGAGAGCAAGAGAGAGACTGGAATAGCTTTATACCAGTGCCATTAATCCTGTACTTGACATTTGCATATTTGCACTGAAGTAAAAATTAACACATTTAATTCAGTTCAGCAGATTTTTATTGCTTTTGCCAACTTTTTGAAACATTACAAAAAATAACTTTCTTCTAATCACTATTAAACAAATTACAAAGGCTGGATCTTTTACATTAGAGACGTCAGAGAATTTTGTGTACTTTATATAAACTTAAAACATTGTTTCTCCATTTGGAATAATGTTTAACTTGCTTTGGGTTTTATTAGAAAAGTAAAAGCATTACTGTTTTATTTAGAAAAGCAGTCATAAAAAGCTGGAATTGTACTGTATGTAATTACATCTCAAGTGACCAAATATAATGAATACTAAAATTAAAAATTTTGTTCAGTTAAATGTGCTGAACACTGGAAGACACAGAAAAAGAATGTGAATCACGTATCAACAAAAGAAGGGAAAAACATGGTTATAAATGTCATGTCGTCTCTTACCAATAAATAAGTCATTATTTAGAAAAACCCTGGATGTCTGACACATTACTCCAAGAACTCCAAATAAGTGTCAATATGTACTAAATTCAATATGAAAAAGTCTTTAGATTAATATCAATTCCAACTAAAAGTTTTTCCTATAGTTGACAATTTTACTAAAAAAGTTACAAAATAAAATTCATTTTTAATTAAAATCACTAGGCAAATTTGTTTTGCATGTTGAACACTACTTTTTCAGAGACTCAAAACTGTGTGCTTTTAGTCTTAAATTTATTTTCTATAAAATAAATTACTGTTGATATAAACAAGCCACCCTTCACACACTAGTACTATGCTAGATAACGGATGGGACTTAGAGGAGTAATTTTAAAACATTAAATTACTAATCATATGAAACAAAAGCAAATTAGAATCAACATGTGGTGTTAATGGTTTACAAATTCTACGTTTGTGAATTTAAAACAGTATGAACCAATTAAGTTACTTTACGCATTTACAGAATTTATGTACAATATATAACCCTTTATAATGCTACAGGCTCTGTTACATTATACCTATTTATTATATTTGATAGCACTTTGAATCTGCCTTTGCAAAGGGCAAATGTTAGAAAACTACTGTTTACACAGATAAATGCATTTGAAATGAAAGATACTGGGACAGGTTTTATTAAACGTAAGAGAAATAGTTAATACGTTTGGCTGAAAAAAAACCAAAAATACTAGTGCTCTGAATTCCGTCCTACAAGTTTTGTAACGATAAACTTGGCAAACTGGAACATTTTGCATTTTTTACTTAAAAAACATATACATTAAAACAAAGAGGAAAGTATAATTAACTTGGGCACGTCTAAAACAGAATTAGAAATGTGTTTCTTGTAATACATAAGAAAATACTAAAAATGAGTTTTTGTAAAGTTAATATTTAAAAATGACTGCTTTGTAAATGAGACCTTTCAGGAGATATTTGAATTGAGTGGTCAAAATTAAGACCTATATTTATGTAAACATACATCTTTATAAATAAATTAAAAAGGATCACAAGGAATTTCCTGAGGTGGCTCTGCAGCCAGATACACAGTAGCATTAAGCTCCATCCCCGGCAAACAAGGCATCTAAAAAAGTGCAGGGCTGTTTTATTTTATTCTGTTAGAATGGAAAAATATTGGCTTAATTTTACGTTTTACCCCAAGGTAAATCAGTGTACAGTAATTATCACTGCTCATTTATACCTATTAAGGGAACAATTATATATATATATACGTACAGGAAACTATGTCGTTCACTATTTTACTTTAACCGTATACATGATTTTGTTTTAATGCAGAGAAGGAAACATTTATACAAAGTAAAAAATAAGCAGTAAATTACGTAAACACAAGTTACCACTGGGTTTTTATGCACGTAAAACCAGGTCTGATTCTGATGTCCAGTGGTTAAAAAGAAGTGAGAATATAAACACATTATTAACCAAGAACATTGGAACAAAATGTAAACAACTTTGCAAGTTATGGTAATTCTGGCACTGATTAATTATTTACATTATTCAACAGAATCCATGGAATACTGTGATTCTAAGATTTCAAATTTTTACTTTAAATAGAAAAATACCCACTTCCTGTAAAGTAGCCAAAACTTATTAACCCTTTGGCAATGGAAACCAGATGCAAAATGTTCAGTGTCATGAGACCCTAAACTCTGGCATTAAAGGGTTAAAAAATCTCAAAATCTGTGATGTCGGTTTTGGGTCTTTGGAAATTGTTGTGCAGCTGTGGACATGGAAGAATAAAATGCTAAAGGATGACCAGTAAGTAAAAAAGCACTGTGGATAATGCTACATACACTGGCAGAGGAGTTTTTATTCTCTTTCTTGACTGTATCAGAAAGAAGATACTTAACAGTCAAGAGTTGACTTGCAGACATGGACTTCATTGTTTGTGAGGTTTGAGGAGTATTTGGGAGAGACAGCCATAATTCTAGTGTACATCTTATTTCAACCAGAGGAAAAAACATATTCCTTGAAGGAGCATATCTTCAGGCTAAGAAACAGGCCATACAAACACCCAGGAATGAAGCAATACCTATACTGTGTCTGACTCAATATTAGTCAAATTGATAGTGCAGACCTTATTTGATTTTGCTCAGACTTCAGCCATTGTTGTGATGTCAGTTTCCACAGCGTTACTCATACTGCTTTGTATTGTTGTTTGGGTCAAAAAACTTATTTTTTCCCCTGGAATTCAGCCTAACCACATCAGCACCATTTTACTATATCATGATTACAATTAAAGGGGATGGTAATGTATGTCAAGTTTAACTTTTTAATATAACTTTAATGCCACTAGCAATATTTCCACCATACCCAATTACTGTTTTTAGTTTTATTGCAAAATGATCCTCACCCCAAATTGACAGCACCCAACTCCATGTTGAGTGGTACTTTCAAAAACATTGCCTTGGCTTAACTTTGCTCTCTTTGAAGTTAATGAGAGTTTAAGCATAAAACTCTCATTAACTTCAAAGGGAGCAGCAGAATTAAGCCAAAGGTGAGTGCTTTTGAAAATAGTGCCCTCTATTTTTAATATATGTAGTTTGTACTTAAAACTATTAGGAGCCTAACAAATGCTGTTAGCAGCTCAAAATTTAGATAAATCATTTGAGAAAATAAAGTAACACCAAAAAACCCAAAGAATAAGGCAAATAACATCAACAGTGAAAACAGGTAAGTGATCAAGATTTTGATCTTGACATAAAATTTTAACATTTCCTCAAATACAAATGCTCACACTGAACATTGCAGGGATTGGAGATACCAGTACAATAACTTGGAACACAACAACTGCATTCTCAGTGAAATATCTAAATGTCCAAGGGCCCCAATAAATCAAATTTACTTTAGTATACAAATATTAACTTTTTCAGATTTATTTTACACAGCATTAAGATTCATACCAATTAAAATAAATAAAACTTTTTTTAAAAATTAAGGTTAATATGCTACCAAATATGCCCTTTACAATGGAAAGGATCATAACTGTAAACACAAAACCCAAGGTAATTTGTAATCCATAAAATACTGGTCATAAAGCTATTTCAGAATTCTAACCAACTGCTGATAACTTAGTCAAATACTTTATACATTAAAAAAAAGAATTAAGCCTGATTCAAGAAAAAGACATTCTGATGAGGACAAGAGATGCTGGAAAGGCTCCAGTCTCCTGAGAATGTGGCGTCTTCCATTAAAGTCAACAGAAGTTATGCATGCACAGGGAGAGGAAAACATCTCTCTAAGAGTTCAAGACGATAATGTAATGAGCTCTAATAAATAGTTATCAACCAAATCAAATACATACTAAATTATTTCTGTTGGAGATCCATTTTACATTACTTAAACATTGAGGTTCCAGAAATATCAAATACTGATTTGAGATTAAAACTACATTTAAAGAGGACCCGTATTGCTATTGAGTAATCTAATAGGATTTGAAGAATAGATTTTTTTTTACAAGGGGATGGTACAGCATTATATATATTTTAAGGACTACGTCACGTATCAGTTTATGGCTGAAAGGCCAATGCCATGAAATATGAATCAAAGAATCCAGAAAGATCATCATCATATAGTGGAGAAAAGTCATATATGCAGTTTATGTAATGGCACATTAACATTTGTTCTATGGAAACTGACAATCTGTGCTTTCCCTGCAAAAAATCTCAAATGTAATTGCCTGCACTGAAAACAAAATTCTGTAGCAGAAGAAGTTACAACAGAGACGTATTACAACATACTAAGTAATGTGGACCAATAATTATCAGCAAAAGCTGATTTGACATTTATGCACATATTGATTACTAAAAAGAATATGCATTCATTTCAATCTTCCTATTTAAAAAATGAAAATAAAATTTCCAATAAAATAAATATTTGAGGCGTGATCACCACCCATCTTACTTGTATGAACATCTCATTATACACGTATAGTATCTACAGTGCTAATAACTGCAGTCCACGTGATACTTCTTAAAGAAACATGGAAATCACCATTCAATGGTCTGATATCCTACAGTCATATATACATATACAAACACACACATATATAATTCCCCTTGATTTCGTTCTATAATGATGTTTCAGCATCCACATACTTCATTACAGGTGAATCTTCCATGCTTATTTTCACACTTTCTGGTTTCTCAGGGCTGTTGAAAGCAAAGACAAAGGTTTATGGTCTCCAAAAAAACTGACAAAAAGATTAAGCCAAGCACTTCAAACTTTGGATGCTTGCATGCTAAAGTTTGGGATTTTTATAGATGGATACATTTATAATAAAAATCTCATACACACAGTACTAGTTTGAAAAGGCAGCAAACCTAAAAGTAAAATCTTGCATACCATTCTGCTCTTGCATTCCAACCCTGACCGTAAGATTCTTGTGAACTGTGATATGCCCTATCAGAAAATGATGTTTTTGGCCATTTAAATGTATCAACAGTAAAATGTGTACCAAACAATAGTATCTACATCATATAATTATTTTCAGGGAAATTCAGTTTTGTTAATTATATGGAAATGGAAAAAGTGTTTTGGTTTTTTGGAGGTGTGGGGGTTGAGGGAAAAACATTTGTCATAAATTCCATTTATATCACAGACATTTTGTGATGGATTAGTATATGTCTGCATTTATCTATATCAATCTGCAAGCTCCATTTATTTTGTGAACACCATCTTGATTGTAAAACTGTACTGTGCCTAAACTTTTGCTTTTTAACCTCCATATTGGATTGGGATTCCAGCAGATGTCTGGAGAAATGCTTGTGCCTAGCGGAGGGTTAGCAAAGGAGAACAATCAGGAGTTGTTCACCTGAACTGTCTTTTATTCAAATAAAAGACCCCATGAACAATGAGATGGCTGCCACCCAAAGTAGTCCTTTCTCAGGTGGGTCATAACTAAGCAACTCTTTACATGACAAGAACTTCAAGCAGCTCAGAGCAGTCATTTAGCAAGGGGAACTAGAACTTTATAAAAGAAGTCTTTTCAATGGCCTTTTTATAATCAACAAGAACCAGAAGGCAAACTGTGCAGGAAGAAAAGGAAGGATCTTGGGTTCCCTAGAAGACACTGACCAAAGCCCAAAGGGCTCTCAGAGTGGTAAGGAAACTGAGGCAGGGGTTTGAATGCAGGTACTTTTATTTTTTCTTAAATCAGTATCTCTCTTGTGCTTGGTCTGTGAGTGAAATGTGACTGGTTTGGAAGTTACTTTGAAAAGTCTCTGGGTTACTTGCTTTCACTGTCACATTGTGCATGAGGAAGGAAACTGTAAAGGGTTAAACTGTATGGTCCTCAGCTTCAATGGAACTCAGAGTATGCAAGCCTACTTAGTAAGCTTGGGAGGGCTGGCACTAGTTTCTATGTCTATGCAGTTGGATTGTGAAGTCCCATTTCTAAGGAGGGGTGCTAGACAAAGGATCTGTACCCCAAGAGTGTGCCCAGGGACAAAGGGACAGACAATGCCTAATCTCTAATCAGACCCAGCAAGCCTTGAGCATGTGGGATCCAGCGGTTGAGTCCAAACAGCATCCACCGGTGGGGGGAAGGAGGATGCAATGGGATCAGATGATTGTAACATTTATTTACCAAAAACATATTCTAAACTTTAGACTATCCAATGGGAAAATTATCCCTTTTCAATGGAAAGGAGAAATCTAGGATTTGATGAAACAGGAAAAGATGGCATGATTACTACCTATACTGTTCCAAATATCAGGTAATTGGAAAGGAAGAGTCACTGATGAGCAATACAAGGTACATCTCAACCTCCTCCAATCTCATTCCTTTTGGGAGGAACAGTTGACCTCGGGTATGCAATATCAAAGACCTGAACTCTGATGTGCTGCCTTTTGACCAGTCCTTCCAAGCTTATCCAAACAGTTCTTAAATGTTACTGTGAGATTATTGTTGCCTAATTGCTATTAGTTAATTAGTTGCCTAATTACTATTGCAGCCTAATTGTAATAGATATTGGGTTTTTTTTTTTTAGCAATTAGAATAAACTTCTTGGAAATATTTTAACTAGAGTTGGAAAGGGATTGTAATTTAGAGATACCTATATGCAGCAGGAAAAGGGAGTTACTGCTGATTTCAAATTAATTCAGGAAAAGCAAGGAGAGCAAACTAAAATTAGCAACAAGCATTCTCAATTTTATGGGTAAGAATGTGGCCAGAGCATTCTCAGGACATCTAACTCTTCTGCTCCTTTATTACAGACACAGACTGGCAAGTGCAGAGATCTTTGGATTAAAAATATGAGATGTATGCTTGATAGTCTTCTGAATCAGGAAACCAGGCATGCGCAGAGATGATTTTGGAAGGGAACACCTCATTTACACCTCTGGATTTAACTGATTTGGCATGAGCACAGTGCAAAGTTGCAATGCTTTACAAGTCCTTAATGCACTTGCTGAATTTTAGGCTAGCCTCTTTTCTTATTCTACTAATTAATTAATTAATTTACAGCTGCTCCTTTGAGCCTGTCCTTATTTGGATTGATATCTGACTCATTTATTGTTATGTATGATACACAGAATTGGTCTGTAATCTTAGCTTCATATTTGATTTGTTTGCTACATTTTAAAGGTTTTTTTTTAAATTCTTTATACTTTGCATGTAATAAGATATTAAATCAAAAAAACTAATTTATTTTGATTTCCTGGTTATTCAGTATCTTCAGGCACTAACTTTATGTGCATGTCTCCCACAAGAGCAACAGCCACTCTACCTGCTCGCTAGTTGAATTACAATACGAAAAACTACAGATGGCTAACTGTGCCATTCTACAGTGACTGGATTTTCACACTAACACGTACAGAAGAGAGAGGATGCAGAGAGAGGGGTGATATGGTCAAAGGAAAAGGGAAAAGGATCTTTGCAGCAGCATTCTGAATGGATGAGACTGGGCAAGAATACGTTTGTCAAAGCCAAAGAAAAGGATGTTGCAGTAACTCGTACCATAAAAATTAATATATTTTCTTTTGAAATGTAAGTGTAACAACATCCAAAGTGATGCATGAAGAGCTGTAACTATCAAAAAGAGAAACCCATAACATCAAGAACAGGACCATCGAACTCAAAGGTAAACAAGTGTCTGAGTGACAATCTCATAAGATCTTTGATGCAGAAGTACAATAAGTATTTTTCCTTCTTTAAAGACACCATCTGCACAAGATATTTATTCTTGGACATCAAATGTTATCTCACAATAGAAAAACATTACAATAGACAGCACCAAAAAAAAGGCCAATGACACTTTTATAATTATTGCATAAAGGAGCCATATAGCTTGGAGAATCAAAAAACAGAAACAAACTAATTTAAATGGAAGCTGATTGGAGGGTCAGGGATGAAAGGAAGAAATCATTCATCCCAAAAGTAGAGCTGTTTGTCAAGCAGTGCCAGAGTGACTATGGTGGGAGATCTCAAGCATCTCTTCTCCGAGAACTTCTTGCCTGACCATGATCAAGGAACTGGCTGGAAGTTTATTGAGGCATTGACGGGAAACAACATATGACCAATAAAGGGAGTGTCTCACATCTGCCACTACCCGAGAGGGCCAGAAAGCTTTGAATATTAAGAGTTTGAAAGCTTTGGTAGTTCTGGATTGTGAGCATGAGTAAGACTACTCTGAGGATAGCATCTTTAAAGAAAAGAAGAATTGTCTAGACTCCAAAAGAAAAAAGACAGACCAGCTCCTCAAAAGATTTGAGAGAAGGGTAACTGGAAAAAATAAAAATCAAAGAGCTTTGGTGTAAATGTGGTGAACAGGCATTAACTCAATTAAGAATGAGCCTCCTAATATCAGTCCTTTAGGTGAGCAGCAGACTGGCCTAGAGTGCACCACAGAGCTGAATGAAAGACTGTAGAATACATCCTATAAGAGCCTTATTAATCTGAAAATATCTATATGGACTGGTGGGGAAGAAAGATGGTTCCGCAGCAGACCAACCAATCCAGTGATACCAACAAAGGGAAAAATAAATGAATCAAATGCTTGGATGTATAAAACTTTACATTCTGCATCTGTGACAGGGAGAGAAGGAAGACAAAGTTATAGGAGGGGAAGGCCATATAATATTTTATTATTTTTCTCTTGGAAGAAATTGGCAAGATTCTGTGGGGGGAGAAAAGAGGAGCAGGGGAGGGGAGAGTTTGAGGAGTGAGTCTAAGATTGTGAAAAGGCAACCAGAATTTTTGGAGTGGGGCTGAATTAAATTGGAGAATTAGAGTTGTTTAGTAGGGAAGATAAGAAACCTGAAGGAGGAGAACACGAATGTGTAGTGGAAGAAGTCAGTCCCCTCATGGGATTTCCTGCCAGAGATACTCGACAGCATGAGAAGCTTATCTACTCTCCTCCTCTAATCCTTCCCCTTGCCCAGTGACCTCATTCCTTTCCTGATATGACTCACACTCACTCATCTCCTTCCTTACTCTTCTCCTTAACCTCTCTCTCTTCTCTCGCTCTTTCCCCTCAATATAAGCATGCTTCAGTCCTTCCTATCTTGAAAAACCCATCCTAGACCCCAGCTTGTCTCTCCCACCACTTCCCCATCTCCATTTCATCTCTAAACTCTGTTTGCAATTACTGTCTGGAGTTCCACTCCTCCAATTCCATTATAGACCCTCTCCCAATCCAGCTTCCACCTCTTGCACTCCACTGAAACCATTCTGATCAAAGACCTCCTTCTAGCCAAATGCCAGAACCATTACTCCATCTTCATCCTCCTTGACCTTTCAGCCACCTTCAACAGTAGCCCATGCTCTTCTTGAAATCTTGTCCTCACCTGGCTTCTGTGGCTGTCCTCTCCTGGTTTTCCTCCTACCTCTCTAATCACTCCTTTTCCTCGTCCCCCATTTAACTTCCTGTGGGAGTTTCACAGGGCTCTGTCCTTGGTCCCTTTTCTTCTCCCTCTACATCATATCTCTGGATAATCTCATCCACAGACACATATTCAACTACCATCTGTAGGCTTATGACTCAGATCTGTCTCCTTCTACCCAAACTAAAATTACAGCCTGTATGATATCTCCTCATGGACATCTAGCTGTCAGCTCAAACTCAACGTGGCTAAAACAGAGCTCAATCTTCTCCCCCAAACCCTTCCCATTATATCCCTCTCAACCACTGTGGACATCATCATCATAATACCAGTCACTGAGGCCAGTAACTTGGGCATCATCTTCAACTGACCCCCATCTAGGTCTTCACATCCAGGCTACATCTAAATCTTGCAGATTCTTTTGCATGACTTCTCGAAGATGTGGCATTTCCTATCCATGCACACATCTTTACTCTCATCATCTTAGTTACTACAACATCATTTTCTCCAGCCTTGAAAAATGCAATCTTAACCCACTTGTATCCATTTAAAACACTGTTGGCCCATCACTTTGACCATGTCACCCTTCTCTTTGCAACTCTCCATTGGCTCCCCTGCTTTTCTATTGCATCAAACATAAGCTACTTGTCTTCAATTTTAAAGCCCTTCATGGTCAACATGTCATCTCATTCAGTATTGACAGGGAGACATCAGCCAAAGACAACTTCTATCATCCACTTGTTAAATTTTCAAACAAGCACCTGTGTTCTTTTTCCCCAGATAGCACCTCACATCTGGGAGGAGCTCCCTACAAACACTAGCAAAGCTACCTCATTACCCTCCTTCAAATCTCTCCTTCAAATTCTCCTTTGAAGCCATGCCTACAATAAACTTGACAATAGTCAGGTTGCTGGTATACTGAGCCTACTGCCTATCACACTGACCGATATTGGTCTCCTTGTTTCCTTATACTCCCTCTTCTATCTGTCAGTCTCCATGTTTTGTCTCGTCTTATACTTAGATTGCATCTTTTTATTCTGTGTTTGTATAGCGCCTAGCACAATGAAGTCCTAGCTGATATGATAATGGTGGTGGTAAACAACAACAAAATATATTTTAGCTGTTTGCCTGGGAACTGCAGATAAGACCGGAGGGGAAAAAGAGGAGGAGAGTTTGTGTGTAAGTAATCTCCTCTCCCCTGAGAGATGGTCAACTATTAATTCTCAGGAGTCATCCTTTTACAGAGCATGAAACTTGAAGAGTTACTCCCTAGAGAGAGATAACTCCCTTACAGAGTTGCTGACAAGGGCAGAGGCAGAACAACACAAGAATTTTAAAATGCCTCCCACTAGCAATCTAAATGGAGTGTGCTGTGTTAGCTCCCATTTTTCCTATAAGCAGTCGCTGGGTTTTTATCTCCCTTTGGCCTGACTGAGATTCAGCCAACCAAGGAAGAACCTCCAATAGAATACCGGGAGGAATCACTCAGAATGTAGTTTGTATTAGGTGATTGCTCCTAGGGATGAAAACTAACTCCATATGAGAAAGAGGCTGTTGGCCATCATGGAGCATGCAAGTCCAGTCACAGAGAATTCATGGCTGCATAGAGCCCTAACATTCCAGTATACCATTTCAATGGTTTTATCTCCATTGAAATAAAACTTTTTTTCCACTGAAACTTTAAAATTAGACACAAGTTTTGGTTAGTGAAGACAGGGAGGGATTAAAAAATCAGAAAGCAAAAAACAGGACAAGGTCCTAGAACAACACAAAGCAGTCAGAAAGCCAGTGAATTCATCCTCCTGAGGATCTCTCCACCCCCTCCATCTCCTCAATGGGCAAATCCATGGAGAGTATACAGATGATGCAACACCTCACCCATCAATTCCTAATTCTATCCTTTCTGAGTGCAGGAGATAGGGCCAGCGAAAAGGGACACCTATGAAGATGGGATGGCAGGAAGCCACGCAGAGGCTGTTTTGCTGGGGACGGGACACTAGCTTTAGCGTCTGATTTTCAGATGTACTGAGCACCTGCAGCTCCCAGGCCCTTCTGATACTCAGATCCTTTATGAACACATGCCAATAAAACTTTTCGTAATCTAAGTCCCTTTCAGATTAGCATACATATCTCAAGCAAACTGGAAAGGTCTTCTAATTATGAGACAATACTTTTTACATTTTAATTAAAAGGGTTCATAGCAGGTATGACACTAGTTACTGTATAACCTCTTGGTAAAGATCACCAAAAAAAAAAGGTTTTCAGAATCTCAAGTGTCTCTTGAAAGTAAGATGTCAATATATATTCTCCCATATATTTTCAAGGTATAGAAAATACATTCTTAAAACAAACTATTTTCACAGCCAATAGCTGCTAAACACAAACAAAACTGCAGTTAGAAAATGTGTAAGTGAGTAATTATAGCTACCTCAGGTTAGCTCTGGTTACTTTGGCATTCTCAGTATTCATGGCAAGAGCCTTCCATTGTGCAGTTTTGGCCATTTCGTCTGATATGTTTACAACTGAGGGATCAATGCTGAAGAACAAACATACTTTTTGGTTAGTACTCAATACCTTGCAAAGCATTAACTTTGTCACCCATACCGTTCACATCAGTAGTGCCTTCTGTTATCACTTACATAGCCACAAGTGACATTTTAAGTAAAAATCACCCTAATGCAGTTAAACAGAAATTTAGAACACCAAATCCTGGGTGGTCTCCCATGTCGTAGCAGCTTAGGACTGTTTGTATGTAACATAGTAACTTTTGAACACAGCATCCCATCAATTCCAAAAATTCAAGGAATGTTCTAGGCATCAATTGCCAGAACCCTACTGATTTGTGGGAAGAATCAGAAAATCAAAAGGGGGAACATGGGACACACGGAGCCCCTGGCATCTGATTAACACACCCATAGCTTCATGCACCTCTGCAATTATCTATAGATCAAACAACTGCACCATCTTTAATGCCCTTCTAGCATAACAATCCCATACCTCATCTCCACCCAGCCTCCCAGTGGAGTTTGACATGATGACACCCTGACAGACTTATCTCCCAGACTAATGTTGGGGGGGATAGGGGGAGATATGGGGCACGATGGTGAGCACACAGCCCCTGGCTCGGGGCAGAATGAGGGACCATGGTATGGTTAGGGAAGCACATAGTCCTTAGCATGGGGGAAGGAGAGGCAGATACAGCCCCTGGCATTGGGAAAAGGGGTGCAAAGCCCCTGGCATGGGGGGGGTATGGAGAGCACACAGAACCCCTGGCATGGGGAAGATTGGGAGGAGTTGCAGGGAGTCCTTGCAACAGAGGGGGATGGCAGTGTGGCACACAGAGAGGTTGTGGGGTGGAATGCAAAGAACCCCTGCTGTATACAATGAGTCTGGCCTACAGAAGCTCTGAAGTGCGTGACCCCCTCCCACTGTAATATGAATTAGATACTTCATTTTCTCAAATCTCTTTTCCTTTAATCTTTCAAAAATCCATTATGGGTTGTTTAGGAATTATAAAAATAAGTCGTACTTTTTGTTTTTTTTAATAAAGGCTGACATCTTTCAGAGATCGGAATTGTTCTGACCAGTACCCAGGAAATAATCAGGGAAGAAAGCATAAAGGCACTATTATTCTGAATTTGATAAAAAGAACTGAGGTTGAAGTGACCTATATCATGAAGTATGAAGACCTAAACTGTCAACTTTTCCTGCTGATCCAGCATTTGAAATCGGGTGATATTTGCTAGATTGCCAATAATCTAGATGTTGCTCAAATCTACTTTTTACGTGCCCCACACCCCTGAACAAGTATTTATACAGATAGCACACAGTGTCTCAGTCAAGTCATTTTTGCCACTCTTCCCCCCCTCTTCAATCCCTCCCACAAATGCAGTCCCTTTACAGGAATGATTAGACACTGCCTGATTCTCCACTAACATGCACCTATGGATCTATTCATACCTATGCAAAGTAGGCTTGAAACTCTATCTTATCAGGACAGTAGTATTTCAAATTTTCTTCAGCTATGACTCCACAACATGTAAGACAGTGGGGAATAAGGCTCATTCTCAGCAAGAGAAAAACTGAGATAATTTATCCAAATAGTAAGCATGTTATTTTTAATTGCTCTGGTTCCAGTTAATAATCTGAAAACTATTTTATGTGTGCAAACTTATAATTAAAAAGGTGTAAAAATTATGATCTGCAAAAGACAGTTTTAGACCTCAACTTTATAAATCAAAGCAGCTGGTAAATATATGGCTCAACTAATGCCATTAGTTAACTATACTTAAACGAAACCTAACATTTCATATCATTAGCCATGCATAGTAACACACAAATATTCTATAGACAAGAACTGACCAAAACAGCTTCTTCACCCTGTGAACAGCTGGTCGAAACTGAGTCATCTGATCTGTTCAAGATGGTTATGTAAATGAATTATTAAAATGCAATTATTTAAAAAAAAAAAAGGGGACACACAAGCCCCTATATCATAAAAGGCAAGATTTGCTTCAATTCTTTCCCATTCCCCAAGCCCTCCCCAGCTACCTATCTGAGTCACAAGCTTAAATGTAAATTTGTTCACTCAAATATGTCAATTATGTTTATTTAATTAAAGCAAAAAATATAAATACTGCAAGTAATACAAAGCGATTTAAAAAACCCAAATTTCAAAAAGCAGTAAGTTGTATCATACCTGTATTTTAGGGCCTTTACAGGAATCTGTAAGAGATTTCCTCCTTCATATGGAAGATGTACAGTTTCACTGTCCACTGTCTGAAGCATTCGCTCTGCTTCCTGCAGGCCACATGCATGACATAAAATTACTCAAGAAGCAGAAAGAACAATTAGCCCAAGCCAAGGAGATTGAGTATTACACATTTTCATCAATTCAGTAGGAAAAATTACCCATTTACCTTTGAATATTGTGGTGGCAGGGGGAACTTCCCCGAGATAGTTTTCTCTCCCTCCCCTCGGCTAAATAATGTTTAAGGTAAATAAGAACCTCTAATGATGTATTTAAAAGGTTTGTTAGGGAACTGGCGATGAGAGGGTTAGTTTATCTGAAATTTTAATGGGGAAAATTATACAGGCAAAATTATTGGTAAATAAGTATCTATTATTCAGTTTTAACTACAGCCCTGTCACATGCAGTGGATGAAATCCTAGCCCTAATGAAGTCAACGGAGTTCTGTCATTAACTTCACTGGGGACAGGGTGTCACCTTATTTCTTTAGAGACTGGTGAAAATCCCAACACAACCAGTATGTCATGGTAGACATTGCTTCTGATGCTAAATTTGAAAAATCCACTGAACCACAGTTAGGTATCAAATTCTATACCATTAATATTTTTATAGTTGTCCTATTCTTTCCCTGAATCCTAACAGAGATTCTGGCAGTAACTCCTAAGGCAGAGAATTCCAAATGTTAATTACCTTAGATATAAAAACCTAATGTTTATTTAATGTAAACTACTTTTTTTTTTTTTTTTTTAAATTTCATGCCAATTACATTGCCTTCTAAATATTAGGGTATTTGCTTAGGTTTTCTGTAGCAGTTTCCTCTCGCAATTTTCAACTCACTTTTGGCCTTTTATTCACTTACCTCTTTTGCCTTTTTCTTTTTATCATCTTCTTTCTTCTTCTTACTTTCTGGCATAAGGTCATCCAGCCAACTAAGCTCTCGTTTGGTGAAACATAAGTCCATGAGCTTACGAATGAAAACTAATGCTAGCACCTTTCAGGAAATAAGAAGAATCCTTTAGAATATATTTATATGAATGTCAGAAAAATAAAAATATGTATATGCTAATACGTTATCAGCTTCTTAAACCAAGGACAGAATATTTTTTCTACTCATACAAAGTTTATCACATCATAACTTCAAACAAATAGATCTGACTCACTACTAAAAACAGATGGACCATTGAGATAACTACCACAAAACATAAATTTTTACCAAGTCTACAGCTTTTCAATTAAATCTGATGTTTATTTTAAAGAAAAGAAAGAAATCATAACTGGCTTCCAAAAAGGAGGATTTTTACTATAACCTTTTTTCAGTCAGCAAATAAACCTTGAAGAGATACATTAATCCACAGACCCTTTTAGAAAATGAATAGATTCCCAAAGATGCTGGGAAAGAACTTACCATCATAGGGAAAACAACAGCAGCTGCAGAGGCTTTAATCACCCATAAAAGAACTAGACAGGTGAGCTGAACAACTGTGAAGACGTGGACCTTCCAGAGTGGCACATAACGGAGGTAGATCAAATCAGGTTGATGTTTGGCAGGCATTCCAAACAATTTTATACGGTCAAAAAACTATATATTGAGAAGAAAGTCATCCTCAGTTAATGATTTTATCCGCGTAGAAGTGGACAGGATAATTAAAGACACTGGGAATATTAAAAATAAGATTCCTTCATTTTACAGCCGATACATGAAATGCATTAATGTAGTGTATATTTGATTTAAGTCACTACTTGTTTTGTATTTTAGAAAATGGGTGTCAATATTTAAGGATTGTTCAACAAGTTGAACAACAACAAGTTATTGTTCAACAAGTGCCCAGTGAAAGAACACATGCCAGAATTTAAGTGTCCCAGAAATAAGAGCAATTATCCAGACATAATGCTCAGTACCCGTTTCTACATCCTAATCTGACAATACATTGTACCTTTACTTACATTTCAATAAAATGACATTTTAAAGTTTCCATTTCATTTGATGTAAAGCAACTGATTTCAGATCATATTTGCAATTTTACCCTGAGCACGTGGTATGTTTCTATTCATAGAAAGGATATTCCAGGAAAAGACAATTTAAATTTAGTAGGTTTTTTAGTAGCCTTATCAAGTACAAAATGTTTTCTAAAAAAAGCAATCAGCTTGTTTAATAAAAATGGAACTTGCCTGGATGCCCCTTAGTGAAGATACTCCCATGTAAAGAAAGACACCATACAAAACTGGCATTGGAATAAACTAGGGGGGGGAAAAACAAAGTTAAAAGTTTGCACTTATAAAATTACATAGTAAAATATGGCAGTCCAGGTTAATGGAAGGTGCTTAAAGGAAGGGATCTAATTTTTCCTTTTCTTTTTTTTCAGTGTTAGGTTGACATATGTAGAGTCCGAAGTCCCTTATTTAACCAGAGAATAAATACAGAACATGGCAGCAACAAGGAAGAGGGCAGTTATGCTACTGTGCTTCAACCATGTTCAAAAGGGACTGCCTCTAGGATTAAGAAAAGTCTGCATGTCCAATCAATCCTTGGCCTGTCTGACACTGCAACCTGAGTGCCAGTTAGTACCAAATAATTTGGTTTATATAATACAGACAGCCATCTGCTAAGAAATGGATTGAGACCACCAGTTTATTTCACATAATATGCTATCATATGATATTTGCTTTTCGGTCACTAATCCAGCTAACACAAGTGAAATGAAAGGTCTCTAAAATCTCCTGAACTATCCATTCCTCAAATTCTGCAACGCCATATTTTGCTCTGATAAAGGATTGCTTTAAAGCTTACAAAAGTCAATGGGAATCTTTCCATTGACTTAATGGGCCTTGGATCAGGTCTTTATAACCCATATATTCTAATGAAGAGTATTTTAAAGGATATAGGTCAAGGTTGACTTTCCCTTCCAATTGACTATACTGAAAAGTTCTAAATGCTTTGAAGACAACCAGGATATACATGTGCATCTTACAACTAATCTTGAACACAGGCCTTTACTGAAACTTGACAGAGAGACAGAATCATGAACCGTGCCCAAGCCATGTTCATTATATATGGTGGGGTGGCTCACAGTGAGGACATTTTCCTATTAAATAGGCATACTAAGAAATTTCATTGGGGTTGAACGACAACTACATTTAATCAGGTACGAAGAAATAAAATACGTGCTTTTCATCAATATATTGAACAACAGCACAACAGCTTACAGCCAAGCATAACGGGGAGAGAGGGTAGTTGGAAGCAAAAGGGAAAGGCAATAGCCATTTAAATTAAAAAGAAAATTAGATGGAGTATTGCACAAGGAGTAGACATTCATTATTAGTTTCCAGCTGCCTTTGGCTCCATGGAAACTGAACAACTGAGTTTCATAAAAATCAAGCATTAAACGTTTAGAATTTGTAAAATGTGAAAGAAACAATATAGGTCAGATACCAATCTTCTGCATCTTTACTTCTCTACAATACTCTTAACAGAGTATTAGAGGATCAGTTTTTGAATGTTTCCATTGATAGTGCCTTAGTGACCTCTTGGTGGCTTTCCCATTATTAGATTGCTTTGTTTGGATATTTCCTACAATCTAATCAAAACTTCTTCTTTAAGATCATTGTTTACTGTAACACCCATGGTCAACCTCTAATACTTTAAAGCCATATGAATAGGGTTGGTCAGAAAACAAGAATTCTGTTTCATGAAAAATGTTGAGGTTTTGACATGTTCAAAAAAATCTGTGGAAAAAAACAGATGCCCTCACACACACCAGTAGTTAGGGAGCTCACCTGGGATGTGGGAGACTCAGGTTCAAGTCCCTTCTCTGCCTGATTCAGGGTCTCCCATATTCCAAGCAAGTTTCCTATACACCAGGCTATTACCTAGTCTGTGGGGAGGTCTCTTTCTCGCTCGCATTTTCATCAAAACTGATAGATTTCAGGGAAAAGTTTTGGTTTCATTGAAAAATTCCTAGCCATCTCTATCACTGTAAGCACTGAAAGAATAATTTAGAGATAATGCAGATGTGAACTGAGGCCCTAATATAACCTGCAGAACCTTTATTATGCATGGCGATGCATAGAACAGAGAGGATTGAGGTTGATGCTCCAATACCAAAGTGAGTTTGCAAGACTGCTAAATAGACAAAACACAATATTGTGTGAATAGTGAGAACACAGTATATGTAAGTAACTGAGACAAACATGAAATACCACAATGCCATTTTTATAGAATCATTTCCTTGAGAAGTGTACATTTAATCTTTCTCCTATTCTATATTATTGCCACTCAAGCAGGTGTACAGAGCTATCGTATCTTTCCTCTTCCTTCACTCCCTTAGCTCAGGGGTGGGCAAACTTTTTGGCCTGAGGGCCACATCGGGGTTGCGAAACAGTACGGAGGATTGGGTAGGGGGACTGGCCCCCGCCCCCTATCCGCCCCCTCCCACTTCCCGCCCCCTGACTGCCCCCCTCAGAACCCCTGACCCATCCAATCCCCCCCCCCAACAGGCCCCCCAGGACCCCTGACCCATCCAACCCCCCCCCCCACTCCTTGTCCCCTGACCGCTCCCTTCCGGGACCCCTGTCCCTAACTGTCCCCCCGGGACCCCCACCCCCTATCCAACCCCCCCTGCTCCCTTCTCCCCGGTCTCCTGACCCCCACCCCCTCCCATCCAACCGCCCTCTCTCTGCCCCCCAGGACCTCCTGCCCCTTATCCAACACCGCTGCCCCCTTACCATGCCAGCAGCAGGACAAGCTTATTGGAAAGCCTGGGAGGTGGGCGGGTGCAAGCCATGCTGCCCACACGGTGGCATAACTGCAGGGCAGGGGGACAGCGGGGGAGGGGCGAGGGTCTAGCCTCCCTGGCCAGGAGTTCAGGGGCCGGGCAGGACGGTCCCGCGGGCCGGATGTGGCCCATGGGCTGTAGTTTGCCCACCTCTGCCTTAGATGCATTAGAGTACAGACCTGCCACAAGTTAACCCTGAGCCTGGAAAACTGTAAAATAACTAGTCAGAAAAGAGTCTTAAGTAATCAAGCATTTGAGATAAGGGACAAGTGTTTATCATAACCTCTATCTTCTCAGATGTCTTTTACTCTCATCTATGCCATCATTTCTATTAACTCTAAAATGACAACTGTAAAATGAAAGTGGATTTCTTTTAATTCGTATATTAAACTTGCTTATATTATCCAATAGTAAATAATGATATTAAAATATAAAACATGCTATGTTTTAGAACAACCATTATCTCTTACCTTCAAAACAGAGGTCATGAACACAGAAAGGCCCATCAGAACAAATATCATTAACCCTGTCACGCGCTGCTCCCGGATTCCCAAGAACTTAGGTTGCTCTCCTGGGGCAGAGCATTCAGATTCTACTTTTAGGCTATTGACGTGACTTATAGACAGGACAGTTGCAGCCACAAACCAAGGCAAGCCCATTATTGAACATATCCCCAGCATAACACCAACCATGAGCAGATCAAGATGATAGCCACAGCCTTTCTGTAAAGTCAAGTAAAGAAATGAGTTACCTGCAAAAAGATTTGCAGTACATAAAAGATTTATACACTAAATGACTAAAAAAAATTCTCTAGATAGATTTCTAGAATGCCCACCACACTAGTAGCCATGTGTTTTGTTACTAGATATGAACAGGTCATTTAAGTAGCTGCAATTTAGTTTTATGTTTCAAAGACCTACACTATTTACGGTTATGTAGCCTATTTAGAGAACACTGAACAAGTTTCTTTTGCAATAAGTTGTCTTACATGCTTACAACTGAGTTCAGAATATATTCGAAAAATGAAAAAAAGCTAACTATTACCTTCAACTTATGCTCCTTTCTGTTTATGATTACTGCTGTGATTTGCTGGTCCATGAAAATGAGAATGGTACAGAGTAATGCAGGAAAAGCAGCTACCAGTAGTGTCCACCAAGGATTACCTCCAAGAGGATCTATGAGCCATCCCCTGTCTTTTTGAGTGGGCTGGAAAACAAATTTGAGTAATAGGAATGAAAGTCTATAACTGTAAATGCCTGCTATAATAAACAGGTCAAACTCAGTTTAGACTAAATACTTTTTTTAAAAATGCCTTTTAAAAGAATCATATTCAAGTTTTTAAATTAATGAAAATGTCTTGGAGTGAAGTTAGATTATGTTATGTTTGTTCTCATGCTGTCACTTGGACAGCATAGAGGTCACCAACATCATGTTCTGTCCTGAGTCTGGGTGTTACAGGATAGGATGCATGTGAGGGACAGGCATCTGTTGATGCTGACCAGCCATGTTTTAGGTCTTCTGGGGGCCTTTTTGATCCTTCTTTATTGATGGAAAGTCTAAGATTTTTCCCATAAAGAAGCTGGTATGCTTCGGAGCAGATGACCATACCATTTTAGAGCGTTGGGCGACAGTTTGAGGTAGTGGGACATGTTTAGTTAGAAAAATGGATCTCTTCATTCAACTTGAATTTGTCCATTTGAGAGTTTCAATCTTTTGTACATGCTTCATCTGAATGATATCCAACTTCTTTTCAATTTTGACACCGAGAGGTCATGTTTCAATCCCACAGGTCAAAATACTGGCCACCAAAGCATTATAAATCCCCAGTTTGTCTCTCTACTTATCAGCATATTGAGTTTATGAAGAACATTCTTGATCAGGTGCCCCTTTACTGACTATGCTTTTGCAGTTTGGGCGTCAAGTTGTTTCTTGATGCTTCCAATGTTATCAACAACAGAGCAGACCTAGGTGAAATCATCATCAATCTCAATTGGGGTGATTACCCACTAAGATGCTAAAGCCTGCAGGATGATCAAAACTGCCAATTGTAAGAAGTTTGGTTCTACCCCAATTAATTTTCAGGCCAACTTTTGCTGCTGAGCTTTCATGGATTTAGGTGCCACAAGTAGCTCATCCATTGATTTGACAACTAGTGCTACGTCCTCAGCAAAACTGGTGTAGGTGAGGATCTTACCAAGGGCTTATGCCTAAAACGCATTTAGTTAGTGGACTGAAGGAGTGGTGCAATTAGCTGCTAGGTGTGCATTATTATAACATTAAGTCATATGAGGGTGTGGTTTATGTGAAAAAAATTTAGCAAGACAAAACAAACATAATCCTTTCCATTCTCCTTGGCTTCTACACATCTCTCCTGAACAAGGGTTCATGCTACTCTGTGAGATGGAATAGCAAGGATCTCCAGGAACTTCCTTTATCAGATGAAAATTAGACCCAGAACAGAAAATGCCAAGAAATTAAAAACATACATCAATCCAGAAAAAAAATTAGCATGGAAAAAACACGCATATTACAGTGTATTTCTTTGCAAACACAAAAAAAGTCAATTTCTTTTTCCATATTTAACAGCAATTTTTTCATTTTTCCACTGTTCAACTATCCATGAAATTGCAGATCATTTAAACCTTTTTAAATGGACAAGGTTTTTGTTTCTTACTTCAAATTTCTCAGGAACATGTAATTTAGCAGAAGGAACTCCAACAAGCCAGTCAATCAGAACCATGATCACTATGGTCAGAAATACAGCAAAGTCACTGATTGTAGAGCGCACCTAGAAGGGAAAAAAGGTATCTTAAAATACAAGCTATTTTCACTGCTATATTTAATGCCTGTCAAAATGGATAATTTTTGCAACTTTAAATTAGTTCAATTTTTTAAATGATCGAACAGATCAGATTTAGCCCACAATTCCTGGCACTATCTTCTGTCATACTTTATCTGTAAATTAAAGTGACCTGTGACCATAACCCTATTGTCTTATTGCCCACCCTATTAATGGAGGATAAAATATCTTAAATCCTAGCCTCGAAGAAGTGATCTGTTGGAGGAAACAAATTCCTTTAAAGGCCTTTGGAAATGATTGGGTTCCATTAGCCTTAAAAGAAGGACCAGACCATTAAAACAGGTCCCTCAGCCCAAAAAGATGCATGTGCCTCTACCTCAAAATATAAAATACAATGGCCATCCCATAGCAAAAGTCATAGAATCATAGACAAAGGTCAGAAGGGACTATTATGATCGTCTAGTCTGACCTCCTGCACAACACAGACCACGGAATCTCACCCACCAACTCCTGTAACAAACCCCTAACTTACATCTGAGCTACTGAAGTCCTCAAATCGTGGTTTAAAGACTTCAAGGTGCAGAGAATCCTCCAGCAAGTGACCCATGCCCCACGCTGCAGAGTCTAATTTCTATGCTTAAACTTCCAATCCCATCCTAAACACTACATACCTGGTATAGCTGCATTCCATATATGATAAGGTATGATTTCACTATGAAACAATAGCCATGATGCTTTTCTGCAAGATGCCTGCACAAATAGTGATGACTTTTTCAACTTGCAAAACATTGTAGAGGCTACCCCACAGGACGCCTCCCCATATAATAGAGCTGTAGCACCAGCCAGCCAACAGTGCTATTGACTAATCTCACGGATCTCCTCTCACTTGGAGTTGGCTGGCTGCTCATCCCTTCCTTTCTAACATCTTGTTTTTACACTGTCACTCTTATTTCCAAGAGCACACTTTAGAATTTACAGTTTTACTGAGATCTGGATGTTTATACTTCAGCTAATTTGGGTTATACTGTAGGACAGTTTCAAGGTGTGGAAGATGGACTGGTAAAAGTTAATGTGCATATGTGGGTATGGGTTTAAATTTCACAAGCATCTTCCCCACTTTCTTTTGGCTAAAAGGAATTATCTTCTGGCACTTGATCCAAGCAGCAAGGATTAGATCAGCCCCCTAACAGAGGCTGAGTGAAGGGATGTTGCTCCCAACACTCTTGTGTTTGGCGATATACTTTTTCCCCCCAGGTTAGGTATCAACCCATCATCCTGTGCCAATGGATGTGACAAACCGTGTGGATGTCTAATCACTTTGTGAGATCTGACTATATCCCAATGTGGATTTGGGGGCCTCCTTAGGTCTGTGAATGTTTAAGTTACTCATTGTTGTGAATACAGTAAAGAATTTAAGAAAATGACAGTTCAGTTATCATAATTTCAAGAACTTTTAACCATTTCCAGTACCCACTGTCTCAGTGTCTATATTTTTAGTTTTAACTCCTAAATTTACAGCATTATCAGCCAATTATCAATCAATCACTTATTTCTGTCTCACCGGGAGAATGATAGCAGCAAACTAATATTCTCAATACCGTGTTCTGAACCTTTGGAAACACATTAAGTAAAAGCAAAACTGGAGTGAATTACATCATTGTATGCAAGAAGGAAAGGCTGTCATTTCAAAGCAAAATAGCAGTGAACCCTAATTACCTTAGTAGGGAAATAACGTTTGGTCTTAAACTGCTTGAGAAAAGAGGAGAGGAAAAATGTTGTAAAGAATAATATCACGGACCAAAACAGAACATCTGGAATATATGGGCCATGATGACCGCAAGCTGATCCAAGAAACACACCATGAAACTTTCTGCATTCCTACAAACAAAAACAACAAAAAACAAGTTACACTCTTTAAAATAAAGGTCATTCAAAGGAGCATTATAACTTGAGGCCTCCCCCTTAAACTCACCAAAACAAAAAATTTGCACTGAAAAAGGCAATCAGTTTTTATTTTTTAAAGCGCAAAGTCTATACTGAAGCTTTCTACATAGACTAATTACCCCAAGACTTAAGGGAGGTAGGGACCATGCATCAAATGCTCTCAGCATATGCTCCTAAAGTTGGAGAAGTTTGGAAGCAAATCTTAAATTGTTAATTTTGTTTCTATCCTAGACCAAAGGTGTCTAGGGAGGATCAAGGGAGAAATTTCAGAGTTTGTTGCTTACGTAGTAGAAAACCAGACAAACATTCTGATACTACCGTTTAGGACTGTGGATAATTCCTAAAAAAAATTTTTTAACTTGTATTTACTTTTGGTCCTAGCATAGAGTATTACAATTGAAGACTTATCTTTACATCTCCCTCACTCCCGAACCAAAAAATGATCCTCAAATGTACTTTATACAATTTTCAGATTCTAATTTAGCAAAGCACTTAAGTACATGCTTAACTTTACACATGTACTTAAGTCCACTGAAGTCAATGAATCTTAAGCACATACACAAATCTTTTGCTGAATTGAGGCCTCATATCTTATTAAAAATGAATGTTTCTATGATAATATATTAATACAGCAAAACAATTACCAATTAATATCAAAATAATCACCAAGCCTCTGAAAGAACTTGGCCCTACCTGTCAAATACAGAAGCATGCATAGATAAATGTTTAAGATTTAGATCAAGCCCTTACTGTGAAATTGAAAATTATTGGCATGGATCATAACACAAAAAAGAAGGCATCCACCTACTCAAAAGGGAGAAAATATTCTTTCATCTTTTCAATTCTCCCCTAGTGTTCTAAAAGTGTTCTGCATATACAGAATTCTAAAGAAGCTGATCCAGATTCAACTGGGGGATGAAACAAGATGAAAAATAAGTAACCCCATGTTTTAATTTTTGAGTTACTCACAGAAACTGTGAGGTTAGTCCATGTTACAGTATCCACAGATGTATTGGTCTTCAGCCACATCTGTAAAGTTTCATTGCTAGGGTTCTGAGGCTCAGAACACACACATCTGAAAAGTAAAATTAAGTATCAGTAAAGAGCTTTTCATTCTAGTTTCAGTTTGCTTTTGAACTTTTAAACTCTTAACACAATGTTGCAATTTTAAGCTATTTACATTTGTAAAAAGTTAAAGTGGCTACAATAACTTCGATCCCAAACTACTACATAAAGATGACAGAGTACAAGGCTCCTCATTATGCGCAGTGAAATACATGAGATAAGAAAGTGGCTTTATTAAAAAGAACTATTAGAAATATTTTCTGAAGATTTCCAGGAAAAAGTGTTCCATATATTTTCCTCTCAAATTCTAACACATTAAATTCTTTCAAAATTGCATAAAGCAAAGGTCTCTCTCCAGAAACAGGTAGCAGGTACTTATAAAAAAATTTCCTTATAAAAGGGACATAAACTTGAGGGGGGGAAATCACATTTATTTCTAGAACTTGGTGCCTACTATAATGAATATAACTGAACAGTTGACAAAAAACAACTGTTTTTCTTATCTGGTGTATACTGTACATTTGACAGACTTTGGTAGAGTCAGTTTCACTTTTGAACCTGTTCAGTCATTAAGTTTCACCATTGTTGAAAAGATCCTTATAAACATTAAGTAGGGAGCAGAAAAACCCCAAAACAATTTTTAAAAAAGTAAGACATCACAGGGCACTCAATCTGAAAAGAAAATTATCTTAAAACATTTAGGCTAACAGCATCCCTTTAACAGAATTAAAAAATCTGAGGTTATGAACCTGAATTTTATGCTTGAATTGCACTTCACATTAGCAAATTTGTTTGCAAGTGAAATGCATTTTGGGATACTGGCACTCCATAAAAGAACCTGCTCATGTAGCTATTGTGGGTTTTAATGGGTAGCCAGAGAAATAAAGACAAGTTATTTCAAATAACCAGAGACAGGCAAGAAGATAGTTGAACTATTTGCTAGGCTTAGAGAAACGGTTTTCCAATGAACCCGAGCCTGAAAATCAAACATAACAAGTAAAAATAAAAAATATATACATCTTGTGACTGCATCTAAAGATAGAAGGTGAATAAAAAAAATCTGAAGGTACAAAATTTCCATCCTTATTGTATAAATTTAGTCTATATCATTATTTACATTATTGAAAACTTTTTACAGTACTAAATATTTCAGTTGACAAAACTCTTTTCTCATATATGTACATATATTATTTTAAAGTTTTAAGAATTACTACACCATATCAGGTGTACAGCAAAACAAATTGATTTTACATAGCAAAACAAACTGATCTTCAGCTAGTGGAGATTTATGTCAGCGTAACTATTCAGACTGGTATAACACAGCAGGACTTGGCCCAACATGTTTAAACATTTAGTAGAGATTATATGAAATTTATACCATACCTACCATGCTTTCTCTTATATGTACCTGACATTGGGCTATCTATATGCAAAGCTGCAATTTTATGACTATGTAATAAAAACATTCAAGATGCAAAAATTCAAGCATTCAAATTATTAGGCTTTTTTTTTAAAAAGAATTCTTGAAAGCATATTATTATATATGTTCATTTAAACTTCCATTTATACATTCAGAAATTTTACTAATGGACTGTAAGGTGTTCCATTAGTATTATCCTGGTGTAAAAAAATGTAAAAAACCTGACACTTACGAATATGAAGTCAATTTATCCAGGTCATTGTGCATATTGAAGGCATAAAGTTCTCCCAAATGAAAAAGCTTTTCCAATGCTTCATAGATAAATATGATGCAAATGAGTGCTGCAAAAGCCTCCTCAGTAAATCGAGTGATGTAACACACAAGGCTGCTTGCGTCAGTTGCTACTAATACTATGCATAAAAATGAAGTCCACAGACCAATGCTGGTTCGCAGGGAAAGATAGGAAAGCCCATAGTCCCTGTTTGAAAAAGAAAATACAGGTGTTCAGTAAAATTTTAAGGCTACCTGAAACAGTAAACCATTCAACCTTGTAAAAAAAAAAGGTAAGGCACAAATTTTTGTCCCTACACTTGTACTCTCTTGTGCCTTGCTTATCCTGACGTGAGGGCAGCCTTTGTTTGAGGCAGAAACATCTGGGACTCTACTTCTTTCCTCATCCTGAGGGCTGGAGCTGTTACTATGGAGAGAGGGTGCTGGGATCCAATGAGCAGTTACGTAGGTAGGGGGCGTATGAACCCACTCTCCACCTAAAGGGTGTGGGGTATACTTTAAGGCTGTCTACCTTTTCAGCCTCAGGGTTCCCTGTCAGGGTCAAAGTCACTATTGCAGTTTAGGCAGAAAGGTGTGGTAATTCTTTGCTTTGTCTGACTTTTCCTGGCACAGGACTGGAATCCTGGTTTCCTTGCTAAAATCAACCAGTGCCTCACATCCAAGTGGCACAGAGTTTCTTTATATACTCCAAGTCCTGTTTTCTCCTCTAGCTGCAGCATGCTAGGGCCAGCGGTCTCTACATGCTGGAATTTAACAGCTAAATGTCAAGACTAAGATCTAAAGTCTTAAGTGTGCTTTCTTAATTTGCTGGTTGGGAGGAACCACAATCCACATATCTGAACTATTCTAGAAGATCAAAGAGAAAACGAATACTGACAAACACTATGGCTGAAAGTGAACGATAACTTATACAGATACACCATCAAGGAAATATATAAAAAAACACAATAAAAGACTTCCACAAGGAAATGTTGATCCTCCTTTTTTCTTTCATCTGTGTAAGATTGTTACAATTTTTAAACATAAAAGTATTTTTAAAACATTATATTTATAAGTCTGATATAGATTATGTATCAAATTATTTATAATTCCAAAAGCAAGATTTAATCTATTTAAATTTGTAACTAGAGATGGGATAGAAACAGTATATGGATCTAGATAAAATTCAAGGCAAGGGTACAAGGTTTAGATTTGTGGCCAAATCAAGACTAGGGTTCAACTGACATTTGACATTGCCAAGATCTTGCAGGCTATTCTTGCAAAATTATGGTCACCAGAGCGAAAGGCAGATATCTTCTGGCTTTTGATCCAACCCCAACACAAAGTCACAAAACCAGGTTTGCATCTGAGAATTAAAATGCAGCCCAACTAAAATGTAAAGTCGGGTTTTAGTCCATGCCGACTTGCAGATTTCCACTTTCAGTATTACAAATCTATCAGGAAGTCTGAGTTATCCTTAAGTTCAGAAAACGTATCAAGTCAATGTAAATATTACTTACTTGCAGAATTTAAATAATATTTTTTCAAATACTAGAACTGGTCCAGTGCTCCCCAGTATCGTAAGAGGTTGCCCAGCAAACAGAGAATAGGCAATCCCAGTTAATGAGGCTCCAAAGAGAGATTCTATTGCACTCTGTTTGGAGGAAAAAAAATTGCTGTGACACATTGCCTTTATGGTTAACATTTATCACCATGTTTTCACACTTATGATTTTATAAACCACCAACTTAGAAATAAAGTTAGGAATGAAAACAGTAAAACCAATATTGATATTGATGCTTTATACACATAAGTAACTTAACACAGCACTGAAATAACAGTACCATGGTCAAAAGATTTGGAATGCCTCACTCTTGAACAACTGTAAAGCTATCCATACCCATAAGAACAAGTTATTAATTCTGAAGGCTAAGGAGGAAAGCACACACCAACAATTTTAACAAACACAAGGTCTACCAAATGTGGTTAAAGAAAAAGAAAAACTGTCTTTCTCTGGAAGAAAGAAGATATTGCAGCATATCTGTATGAAAACTTGATACAGTGTGCTGTATCAAACCTGCACCAGGCAACCAAGCATTACAAAAGAAAAACTGTGAGTGGGTGTTACTGAACAATAATGGTTTACATATACATGACAATGAAAAGATGGAGTAGTAAGCCAGCATCCCACCTGGTAATGCATTTCTCTTTGTTAGGGTAAACTATTTATTTGTTTTTGTCCTAGAATTACATGCTTTACTAAAACACTTTCCTCTTAAAATAAATAAATAAAACGTTATAAACCACTACAAGAGAGAAAAAGCAGAGCTTTGGACCTAAAACATTGTTTATGTTTTAAAAAATTACCTAAGCCAGTTAAAAAATAAAATATGAAAAGACATGAGTTTGACAAGAACATTCTTGACTTGCAATTTTTAAAAAAATGCTCTTCTGTAATTATTCATGCCCGAGAAAGCTAAAACTAAGCAAACATGATTTAAGCCCTAATTCAATAAGGCACTTAAACCTGGGCTGTGAATTGCTGAATTGGGGCAATAAAAGGAATTTTGCATGCTACACATAAAAAGATGATGTATTAATTTGGCCTGTTGTTCAAGTGTTAACCTCAAACTAGTATTTTAGTTCAATCAATGCATTAACTTTGGGCTCTGAATCAGGATGGTGGCAGGGACAGGGAGTACTGTGAAGGTGACATTCTCTGGGAATGTGAGGGAGGGGTTTGAACACAAACTTTGTACCTTACAAAGTCAGCTACTGTGCTTCAACATACGTGCACAGTAACTAATTTATTATATTCATTGATGCACACCAAAGTATCTGAAGGCAGGAACAAGCCCGCAAATAGTCCCAGACAGCTAAAAAAAAGAAGGTATTTAAAATCAAATCTTAAAAAGGAACACATTTTCAAAGTTATGCATAAGAGGTACATGTACAAACCACGTTAATGTTTTTATGCCAACTGCCTGAAAACATACTTCCTAACTCTGGAGTAATAAAATTATGGCACAGTACAAGAATGTAATTTATTTCTAGAAGCAGATTTTGTACCAGCCAACGGCTTGTTAAAATTCTCCTGTTAATAAGGAAATATTCAAGTCACAGGCCTTCTTTGCAAAAAATAAAGTCCAGTTAAATAAGTACAAGTGTAAACAAGTACTACAATTCAAGTTTAAAGGTGTGCTCTGAAAAGCAGTATGGAGTTTTTTTGTATTTTGTATAATCAAAATCCTAAGATGTTTTAAGGAAAAATTTAAATACATCCTTATATTTTCCCTAAAAGAAAAAAAGTCATTTTCACAACAAAATTAAAAATAGAAAATACATTTAATAAATTATTTTAATTAACAGTCATTAGCTAATTCACATTGAAACACTGACTTTATACAATAGTGGATGTGACCATTTCCCTTTAAGAAAATTGCAAAGCCCTAGTAAGTAATTTAGTTAAAATGGCTATAGTCTGCATACTATCCAATATGGCATTACCAAGATTAAAAAGATATTTCTCTATAGCCAAATTTGTTAAGGTTTAAAATGAAGAGTATTTTCTGTTTATAAACCTTGGTTATCTCCTCTTATTAAGAATATAAAGTAGTACACAATTAGTGAAAAAACATTTGTATTTTGTCCATGGTTTAAATATACAATTCTGCTTCCTCTGCCAATGCATCATCAGCATTATCATCCACACAGGCCTACTACTCAAGGCCATTAAGCTTGGTTAGCTATCCACCTTGAGCCTCTGACTTATCCTAAGTAGGCCTACTGGGATGGTGCAGCTTTAGTGCTTACATTTTTTGAGCCAATTCTATTGTCCCTTTCCAAAAAGACAATGAAAGCTCTTTTTCAATTCATGAAGCCATTCATCCAGTAAGGCAGGATAAACATTTTTACCTTAACTGTGCATCCTCTCCTGTTCACATTTTCCACAGCAATTACCTTTTGGGGAATGTCTGCCTTGGGGCAGGCTAATCAAGTGCTGTGGATAAACTCTTCAAATAAAAGTATGAATAAATGAGACAAATGCACACAGTCACTTGCCTCTGAAGATCTAAAAGCCTGGCCACTACCATTCTTTGTACTCACTATTCTGCCTTCTGTAGCTTCTCCCAGGAGCCCTCCAAAAGTGATTACAGGAGACATACAGGCACAGTATAGGAAAAGAATCGAGGCCAGGCACTGCAGGCTTAATGCATCCTTGAAGTCACTCAAGAAAAAAGGTGCTTTCCTTTTGATGTCAAGTATCAAACCACCAAAAAGCCTAAATAGGTGAGATGAAACTCGTCAAACTGTACACTAAAGGATTCTAGCTAGTTTAAAACTATGGGCTACACAAGATTGCCAATGCCGACTGCCAGCACAAAGTTAACAATTTCATAATCCAATTTAAAATACAACACAGATTAAAATGTAAACTAATTTAGTCAATTCCAATCCAGTTAATTGTATAAAAAAGTTACGTGGTTTATACTTAACTATATATTTTAAAATGCTGTTTAGCTATTTTGCATATAATGGGCTAGACACTGAAAAGATCCTGGCAAATCACTCTGCCCAAACAATGTTTTAAGAGGTCCAGATCTAAACAAAGTGGTCATCAAAACACGTAATAAGCACAAAAAGGATATTTAAAATCCAGCTTTTAGGACAGGGGTGGGCAAACTTTTTGGCCTGAGGGCCACATCTGGGAATAGAAATTGTACGGCAGGTCATGAATGCTCACAAAATTGGGTTTGGGGTACGGGAGGGGATGAGGGCTCTGGTTGCTAGTTCCGGGGTGGGGCCAGAAATTAGGAGTTCAGGCTCCCAGCGGCACTTACCTCAAGTGGCTCCTGGAAGCAGTGGTATGTCCCTTCTCCTGCTCCTACGTGGAGGCGCGGCCAGGTGGCTCTGCACGCTGCCCCATCTGCAGGCACTGCCCCTGCAGCTCCCATTGGAGCACTGGAGGGGGCCATTGGAGCCGGAGTGGGGCCATGCTGCAGCTTCCGGGGAGCCACGTGCTGCGGCCCCCGACCCTGCTCCCCGGCTGGAGCGCCGGAGCAGGGCAAGCCCCAGACCCTGTTCCCCAGCGGGAGCTCGCAGGCTGGCTTAAAACAGCCCGCGAGCCATATTTTGCCCACCCCTGGTATAGGACATAATACTGGAGCTGAAACCAAAGTCAGTTCATATGGTGACAGGTTCTCTATGGAAAAGTATCACTAAATTCATGCTGTTGAAAATTTATTTGCCTGATATTAACTCTTGAACCTCTATAGTTTTTTTTCCAGCTGATCCAAACCTGCAATAAAATTTTAGTGAAGATTAAGATTGGTTAAGTCTTATCAGTTGTTTTTCTAATTTGTAGGCAATCCAATTTTTTAGCCAAGGATTTGAGTTTACTAAAATTTCCAGACAAGAAATGCAACGCATCTACAAGAATTTACTTTGAATTTTTTGCAGGTCTAAAAATCACTACTTTGTCCATATTCCATTGGTATGAATCTTGTTATATGATGCTGCATATAATACTGACCTCTTCTTTTAAAGTTTCTTCTGTGGGGTCTAGAAAATAGTTTAGACATTGATTTGTATCTATGCAATATTTTAAATATCTAGCCCAATATAGACAATTTCCAAGTTGCTGCTACACTCATGATAAATGCATGCTTTATAATAGTTTAAAAATTAAAAATATATTTTGAAAATTTCGTCAGTTAAAGGAGGCATCCTCATACTATGAAATCCTTCACAAGTGTGTTGAGGAATATTGCCACAGGGTTGATAATGTTTTAAGCAGGACAACAATCATAGACAAGAACCAATCACTTGAAAAGGAAAAAGGATGTGTTTTACCATGAATTTAAAAGATTTAAATGTATCATTCTACAAAATGGTAATCAGTATTAATGATTTATTGCTTGTATTTCTTTGTGATAACTAGTATTTAGGTAAGCAAACCCACCTTCCAGTCCTCCGTAGCTCAGGTCCAGCATGATGGCTCTCCTGTTTGAGAATCTCTCCTGTAGAAGTAGATCCATTTGGAAATTTAGGTATCTTCCTTTTCTCCTAGGTAAGGAAAGTACATTAAAACATTTTACTTTAGGGTCACCTTTTATTAATAAGCCTCTGATCAGGAAAAGTTTGCAAAGACCCAATACTTCCAAAATAAAATATTTTAATACAAGGTATTTGATAAATATTTACAATACAAATGTACAACATGATATGGATGATACTTGTAAATAAAGTTCCCAAAAGGCAACAGTATCTATGAATACACTTTGAATACACATGGCTTCTGAGGAGTGAATTCATAGCTCAATTAACAATACATTTTAATGGCAAGATACACACGATTCAGGTATAATAGTTATATCTAAAAATTATGTATGTATGTATTATATACTGATTACATATATGCTATATCATGTGTGCATACACATGGTAATGTAAACACAAATGCACACACTCCACCTCATTATGCAGACAGCTTTGCTTTTTATATGGACATGTAAAAACTTTGCTCCTTATACTCAGCAAGGTCCACCAACAGCACACAAATACCACAGGCTTCCTTTGTCTAACTCATATCCCACAACATCAACTCACCTACTTTCTTTGGAAACCAAAGCCCAGGCTGTAAGGAGCCCAAGGTTTTAACTTCACATTTCTTGATAAATAAGCTACATTTCCCCCTTTTAAATTTTGTCTTCTCTTTAAACCTCTCCAAGATTGTTACTACCTGACAGAGTATATGACCAGCCCCCCAAAAGGGGAGCCCCTGTCCCTCACTGTACCAGACCCTTGCTGCAGCAATTTCCCTCAACTATGAGAACTAATCAGGTTTTCTTTAGAGCACAATTTCCCACCCTAACACGCCTGTGGGGTGCAGCATAATAGCAGCACAAAACACTCTTTAGAGCAACAAGCAGAAGACCATGTTTGGGATTCAGATTCTCATTCCAAAAATAGCAGAATGCATTAATATTATCCATTTTTATTTTTCACATATAATTTACAGTGTTTTCATTTTCTAACCCAGATTTTCCCTACCTAAATTTGTATTTAATTTTTGTTTCCATTTTCCTTTGGAAAAACTGCAATAGTCTAGTTTATAATCATTAGATTCACATAACAGAACTTTTTATTATAAAAATACCAAAATACAATTTCAGAGTATTCAAGATTAGAGAAATTAATAAGATTGATTTCAAGCAAAAACAGAGGAGAGGAGATAAACAAGTTAACGTAATATAGCTAGTGTTATTTTACAGAGGGTCTAATCTTTCTCCCAAATTGAAAGGGGAAGGAGGGTACTGCTGCTCTAATAAATGTTAATTATTATTATAAGTTTTGGATTGCATTTGGAAATGTATTTTAGAAACATATCATAGACCACAATACCGTAAAAGGTCTTACCTGGGAAGGAACACTTTTTGGTGGCTCAATGCGTATAGATGGATCCCACTCTCCTGGAGGCAGGACAGTCACTTGGTCTAAAAATTCATCAATTCCTGATAACAGATCATTACGGTCTTTAGCTTTATAAGCAACATCGTGGAAAACCTTTATTGGGAAAAAAATACACACACAAATGAATGCTGGGTAAGAGCAACCCCTTAGAGGGACACTTGAGTAAAAAAGTCATAGGCAAATCTTCCATGGGTCTCAACTCGGCTTTTACTTGTGCACTTGCAATTTTGCATGTAAACAGGTTTGTATAAGCCTTTTTCAAATATTAACAACTGTGTGTGTTGTTGGTGGGTTTTGCACATGCAAATTCTTTCATATATGTGCAGAAGTGCTTCCATTCATAATCTTGTGCATATATATATATGTAACTGTGGTTCCAAATATTTTTGAAGTGTTCTTGACTAAATAATCTACAGTCTTGTTTATAACAATCAATACTTCGAAAAATCCATCTTTTCTTTACAATAGAATCATAGAATAGAATATCAGGGTTGGAAGGGACCTCAGGAGGTCATCTAGTCCAACCCCCTGCTCAAAAGCAGGACCCATACCCAATTAAATCATCCCAGCCAGGGCTTTGTCAAGCCTGACCTTAAAAACTTCTAAGGAAGGAGATTCCACCACCTCCCTAGGCAACGCATTCCAGTGTTTCACCACCCTCCTAGTAAAAAAGTTTTTCCTAATATCCAACCTAAACCTCCCCCACTGCAACTTGAGACCATTACTCCTTGTCCTGTCCTCTTCCACCACTGAGAATAGTCTAGAACCATCCTCTCTGGAACTACCTCTCAGGTAGTTGAAAGCAGCTATCAAATCCCCCCTCATTCTTCTCTTCTGCAGGCTAAACAATCCCAGCTCCCTCAGCCTCTCCTCATAACTCATGTGTTCCAGACCCCTAATCATTTTTGTTGCCCTTCGCTGGACTCTCTCCAATTTATCCACATCCTTCTTGAAGTGTGGGGCCCAAAACTGGACACAGTACTCCAGATGAGGCCTCACCAATGTCGAATAGAGGGGAACGATCACGCCCCTCGATCTGCTCGCTATGCCCCTACTTATACATCCCAAAATGCCATTGGCCTTCTTGGCAACAAGGGCACACTGCTGGCTCATATCCAGCTTCTCATCCACTGTCACCCCTAGGTCTTTTTCCGCAGAACTGCTGCCGAGCCATTCGGTCCCTAGTCTGTAGCTGTGCATTGGGTTCTTCCGTCCTAAGTGCAGGACCCTGCACTTATCCTTATTGAACCTCATCAGATTGCTTTTGGCCCAATCCTCCAATTTGTCTAGGTCCCTCTGTATCCTATTCCTGCCCTCCAGCGTATCTACCACTCCTCCCAGTTTAGTATCATCCGCAAATTTGCTGAGAGTGCAATCCACACCATCCTCCAGATCATTTATGAAGATATTGAACAAAACCGGCCCCAGGACCGACCCTTGGGGCACTCCACTTGACACCGGCTTCCAACTAGACATGGAGCCATTGATCACTACCCGTTGAGCCCGACAATCTAGCCAGCTTTCTACCCACCTTATAGTGCATTCATCCAGCCCATACTTCCTTAACTTGCTGACAAGAATACTGTGGGAGACCGTGTCAAAAGCTTTGCTAAAGTCAAGATACAATACATCCACTGCTTTCCCTTCATCCACAGAACCAGTAATCTCATCGTAGAAGGCGATTAGATTAGTCAGGCATGACCTTCCCTTGGTGAATCCATGCTGACTGTTCCTGATCACTTTCCTCTCATACAATACAAAACAATAGTTGTGCTGATTACTTTTTGCATTTCTCTCAGCATTTTACTGCACAGTCAGATCTCTCCATGGAGAATCAGAACCTCCTTAGTTTAGTCCCTGCTCTGCCACTGACTCATGGTGTGGGTCCAGATCCCCTTTCAAACAGTTTCCCTATGTACAAAATAGGGATTATACATTTTAGACGTCACCGGGATATTGTGAGGATTAATTCATTAAATGTTTGTAAATATTAAAATACCTCATCCTCACAACATTCAATAAATGAATTAGATTTACAACTACTGAACTCTGATTCAGTAACAGTTCAATGCACCACAGTCAGTTGTGTATGCCACCCCTGAATTAATACATTCAAGCTATTTAAAACTAACTCAATGTCAAAATATACATACTGATTAAATCAGGAACTTCATATTCATCCACTATATATATATCCTTAAATTTCATGTATTCTGGGTGGCGTCTTACAAAAGTAGAAAGTACAGAGCCAAATCACCCTCTCTTTAAGGTTAATGGAACTTTTGCTTTTGCAAAAGAATCTCAGACTATATTCAGTTTCACAAACCAGTGAGTGACTTTTAACTTGGGGTTTCTGGTTTCAAGTTAAACCAATACGGCTTAATTTAAAAAAAACTAATCACACTTTTACTTTGGTGGAGTTTTACCCATTAAAAATGATAAGTTTAGTCAGTATTAGAAATTGTTTGCAGAGGCAGTTCCTAAAGAGCTGCCATATGTACTGGAAGTTAATCCCTAGAAATGCAGGTCTTCAGAGGGAGAAAGAAATTATATAATTCTGGAATTTTTAAATATTCTATATTATTAAATGTTTTATATAATTCATTTGCTAAACACCGATCAAGTCAATTTTTATTCCCAATAAGCCTTTATGTTCCTAAAAATACACACCTAAAACCAGAAGCCCTAATTAAATACCTTAACTTTAGAAATATTTCTGGATTAAAATTCAAAAGTTAAAATTGCTGTTACCCAAAGAGATGCTAACATTTCAGTTAACTTACTCTAATAGTAGTGAGAATTCAGTATTGAAACAATATCCAAATATGCTGTGGGAGGTGTCTTCTTTTGAATGAAAAATAAATGAGATCCTGATCCCCAGTTCTCTTTAAAGACCTCACAGCACTGCACAGAAGACTAGACGTATTAATTCAAGTGTCTGGCAAAATTTCAACTTTGGCCATTACATTCTGCCCATCTAAAAATACCCATTCGGTGTTTGAGTTTTATACAACATTCTTAATTTTCTGTCCTGTACTACTGTGTAACATTACAATGTATTGTTTAATAGTTGCCATCTTTCATGTCAAAAGTGGCTGTATTTAAGAGGTAGGTTAAAGATATATATATAGCTTGTATATCTTTTCGCAAGTACTTTTGGGATCGTTCTACAAGAAAGGCAAGGAATAAATTTAAATTGCTATTATACATCCATTCCTCGTTTCTGTGGATTGTGTCTTCATTGTTCTTTATATAAAGTTAGTTTGGTTGTGCCATGTATCTGTGAATTATAGGTTGTAAAGAGTTCATTAAGCATAGTCTGTGAGAACATGATTTTAGACTTCTGCAATGCAAATTTTTATTCAACACTCAGGTTTGCTTTCAATGGATTGTAAATATATACTACTTGCATCATCAGTCATAAGCGTTGCTATTGATCTTCCGATTTCATGGTACTGTGGTGCCTTGCCAGCTGGACCCAGTAACAGAAACAAGAACCTGTAGGAAAAATTAAGACAGGAGAGGAGACCAGGAGAGCTGAGTTATTTCAGCTTAAGCCTTTTGTAAAAAGCCAGCTGCTCAAACCAAATCTGAGGCTACTTGTTCAAATCATATATTAGAATTCATAATTTGTAGGCTCATAATTTTGGTACTGATAAAATGGATGATGTTTTAGCTACACAAATAGAACACAAAGATTTAAATTACTGTAATTTTGGAACTATTTCCTGTGAAAAATTAAAGCAGTGTTGCCATTTTTTAAAAAGAATTTTCAAAACCAGGTAATTCAGTTAGAATCATATTGCAAAGATTAGTAGGCCAATACTATTATGCAATAATTATATTGAAAACCATTAAGTTCAATTTTCCATGCTGTCCTTGTAAGAAAATTTCCAGACAAGTTCTTTGAAGAAACTGCAATTGCATTTTAGATATAAAAACTAAACCAAACATTCACAGGTTTTACCCTTCTCCAACAATAACCCAATGCACATATTTTTTTTCTGATGGCAGCTCTAAATGAATCTGATGAAAACATGCATCAAACGATTTAGTTCTATTGTGTCTGGCAGTGTGCTGTATAAATTAGTTCATAAAAAATTATCATGAAAATCATTTCACATAATCCCAACATCAGATTAGTCACATTTTTGTCTACCAAATGTATTTAATTTGCAATTTATCAAACTGCTTTCAACATTAAGTCCCAGCAGACACATTCTATTACAACAAAAATAGTAACCTGCCCTCCCCTGGCGGGCCTCAAAATACTAATACAGGTAGATCCAACATACACTTCCTGTGCCAGTGGAGGTGAATTTCATCCTCAGTGATAAACACCAAAGTACAGAAAATTTTTCCCTTAAAGCCATACCATTGGTAGGGACTGGAGAAGAGAAGGATTATACCCATCCTTCACTTTGCATTTCCTAGCCACTAGAAAAAGAATGGTGTAAATGTATTTCATTTTGGCATCGGATTTGCAAAAACCAACATCCGTATTCACATGTAAAGACACATTAGAATATACACTCTAGAGATCACACAAGCAAATAAGTTTCCCACACTCTAGCTGTGTTTTCACAAAACCGCACTCTACACAGAGTACTCATACTTCAAGACTCAATGGACTACGTCCATTGTCATGTTAACATTGGGTGTAAGTCTTCTTAGTCACACAGTTAAAATGGTGTAAGAAGAGGACCAGCAGCTCTGAGATCCACCCTTCCCACACCCACCTGTATTGTCAGTTTCAAACTTCGTAAACAGTTCTAAAGATATTGTCAAAATATCATCATTTTTTCAAGTTTTGGGAGGAGGTTTAGATGTCCCTCATTACACAAAACTGCAACAATTGCTTGCCGTGCAAGTCAGAGATTTAAGACAGTAAGACAGTTCCTGTCCCAATGAGTTCACAATCTAAACTCTGATCTATGCTCTGCTTTAACACTGAAGTGCTGTTACTTCATTGTGTGAGTAAATGCATGTTATTCAAGGATTTCTTTACCGTGTAGGAACAGGAACCTCTGTGAGACCTGAGAGAAGCACAGCAGGGGACAGTCTCACAAAAGCAATAATTGGTCTTTCCAAAAAATCTACTTCTCCCACCAACACGTTTGATGCTTCCGCTCCTGTGGGAATTTTCCTCATGAAGTTCATATCAACCTATAATATAGAGATTAAACAATTGCTTATTTCTTTACAATTCTTATTGATAATTCTACAAATAATTTTTAAAAACTAAAAAGAGTATTGATCAAAACAATATAAATGCAAAAGAAATATTTCACATGTACAGGAACAGAAAAGACAAGCATATGATGTGTATAAAATATGTCTGTCAGCGGTATTTTATTAGTATATTGTTTTTATTGTTACAAGTTAGAACTACTATTATTTATTATATTCTAAAAACTTTCAGCTACATAATCACTTTTTCACAGTAACTTCTCAGGACAGAAATATTTTCTCTATGGTAGGTGACATTACTTGACATCAAATAGACAAAACAATAACTAAGGAGAGTTCATGTAATTATATGTAGTTTCCAGAACGTAGTTATTTTACATTTTATAAATGGTATTTTAAATATTTTTAAAGGAATTAATAGCTTTAATATAATTATCATCCACAAAAAACAAACAGCTGAAATAGACTAAAGAAACTTACATTTCTGCATATAATTACAGAGGAACATTACAAAACTGTACAGCACATTGACTCTTTAGTTTACAAACAGATACACAAAAGGCACAAGAAACTAACACTAGTTACGTTGTTATCTAGAAAACTTACAGCTGGCCTCTTGAGTCCCACACCAAGTGTGCCACAACTACAGTGCCAGGAGGCTGACTCCTGCCCAACAGGAGACAAGGCAGGTGTACAGAAGGACAGGCCAAGCAAAAATGTAAAAACTGTGACAGAGTAGGAATAAATGGCACCTGCCATGATCAGATGAGAACTACTATGTAAATTAGCTTTGCTTCAGCACAATTATTAAATTTAATTTTGCAAACAGTTTATAACTATCTTTTACTGTACAGATTAGACTGAACAGGTGAATTTTATAGTAAGAATCCATAGTGATTCTTATAACCCAAAACATTTAAGTTACAAAAGATGGGAGAGGTTAACAGAAGTACACAAGGTTTACTTCCAGAAGTAACACAACTGATGCTCTTTATCCTTAAGATTTCCATGGCTTTTACAGAACAATGCATAAAAGCCCTTTTCTGAAAAGGGGCCTTAAGTCTCTAAAGTAAGAAAAACAGAAATTGAAAAATTTAAGCCACTTTATATGCAAAAACACCCATAACACTCACGTTTTGTAAAAACTTTTGCAGTGTATCAGACCTGAAAATATTATGTATTGCTCAATCAGCAAGTACAGTGGCTTCTTATGTCAAGTTACATGAAATACTGCACATGTGAAGTGGCAAAATTATCTAACAATAGTAAGCCCAGATGTACTGCAAAAGTAGCCAAAACATTTAATGGCTAATTAATTTTAATCTATACTGGATTCTGATACTGCTGTAGTTAACCCAAATTAAGGTAGAAATAGCAACCAGTTTGGCTACCATACTGTTACATAGCCCTACTTACTAATCATTGAGAAAATATGTAATGTCATTTACCTTACTGAAATCAACAGTGCTATTTTCTCTGCTTCCTCCTGTTCCATTACCTTTAACATCTCCACTTTTTCCAGCATCCAAATTTCCAGGTGCTGACTGTGGAGATGCTAGAAGCCCTAGATTTAAACAAAATACACACTTTGAAAATGGAGTTCACAGAAAATGGACCAACCAAGACACACATTATGCAAGAACTCAATGTGGCAGCTTGCTAAAAGCGAATGTGCAAGTTAATAAACAAAAGTGCCCCATATTAGTACCTCAAATTCAACATAAACAAGTTATTTTATTTTGGAAAACAATTAAAGTTTGTTTAAAATAGTTAAAAACAGCTGTTGCCTAAATGGTGGCCATTTGCAAAACAGTCAAGAAAAGAAAACAAGAGTGACTTTTGGGGGAAGAGGACAAATGTAAAAATTTTAATCCTCACCACCAATGCTTTGTGGACAGAACCTACATGACAAAGGTTCCACACTCATACATCTGAATTAAAACAAAAACAAAAAAACAAACACACACCCACCACACACTTTAGTGCATTATCAGAAGTTGATATTTGACTTAAAAAAATGAGACTCAGGTTTTGACCATATCAGGGTTAAGACACTAGCGGTCAGCCAAACTAGTGCAACTCTCTGGGTAAACTTATGTAAATGATCATACACATCAGTGAAGCTTAACCTGGTTTGAAGCAGTTTACCCTATGTATACTATGGCCTGGTTAGACTATGATTTAGGAGTGTGATGTTAAACCACGTTAGCTAATGGATTCTAACATGTTTGAAATAATCGAGTAAAGACACAGCAACATATATTTTTATAGGGCTGTCAATTAATCATAGTTAACTCACGCAATTAACTCAAAAAAATTAATGGCGATCAATCGCACTTATAACAGAATACCAAATTAAATATATTAAATATTTGTGGATATTTTTCTACATTTTCAATATTGATTTAAATTACAACACAGAATACTAAGTGCACAGTGCTCACTTTATTTTCTTATTACAAACATATGCACTGTAAAAATGATAAAAACAATAGTATTTTTCAATTCACTTCATACAAGTACTGAAGTGCAGTCTCTATCATGAAAGTGTAAATAAAAAATGTAGATTTTTTTTGGTTACATAACTGTTCTCAAAAACAAAACACTGTAAAGCTTTAGAGCCTACAAGTCCACTGAGTCCTACTTCTTATTCTGTCAATCGCTAAGACAAACAAGTTGGTTTACATTGACGGGAGATACTGCTGCCTGCTTCTTATTTACAATCTCATCTGGAAGTGAGAACAGGTGTTCGCATGGCACTTTTGTAGCCAGCATTGCAAGGTATTTACGTACCAGATATGCTAAACATTCGTATGCTCCTTCATGCTTCGGCCACCATTCCAGAGGACATGCTTCCACGCTGATGATGCTCGTTAATAAAATAATGTGTCAATTAAATTTGTGTCTTTACTCCTTGGGGGGAGCATTATGTCTCCTGCTCTGTTTTACCCATATTCTGCATATATTTCATGTTATAGAACTCTTGGATGATGACCCAGCACATGTTTGTTTTAAGAACACTTTCACAGCAGATTTGACAAAATGCAAAGAAGCTACCAATGTAAGATTTCTAAAGATAGCTACAGCACTCGACTCAAGGTTTAAGAATCTGTAGTGCCGTCTAAAATCTGAGAGGGACAAGGTGTGGAGCATGCTTTTAGAAGTCTTAAAAGAGCAACACACTGATGCGGAAACTGCAGAACCCAAACCACAAAAAAGAAAATCAACCTTCTGCTGGTGGCATCTGGCTCAGATGATGAAAATGAACATGCGTCAGTCCGCACTGCTTTGGATTGCTATCAAGCAGAACCAATCATCAGCATGGAAGCATGTCCTTGGGAATGGCGGTTGAAGCATGAAGGAACATATGAATCTTTTAGCGCATCTTGCATGTAAATATCTCGCAACGCCAGCTACAACGGTGCCATGTGAACACCTGTTCTCACTCTCAGGTGACACTGTAAACAAGAAGCAGGCAGCATTATCTCCTGCAAATTGTAACCAATCTTGTTTGTCTGAGTGATTGGCTGACCAAGAAGTAGGACTGAAGGGACTTGTAGGCGCTAAAGTTTTAGATTGTTTTATTTTTGAATGCCCCCTCTCTTTTTCTTTTTACATAATTCTACATTATAAGTTCAACTTCCATGGTAAAGAAATTGCACTACAGTACTTGTAGGAGGTGAATTGAAAAATAATTGTTTTGTTTTTTACAGTGCAAATATGTGTAATCAAAAATAAATATAAAGTGAGTACTCTACACCTTATATTGTGTTGTAATTAATATATTTGAAAATGTAGTAATCATCCTAAACTATTTAAATAAATGGTATTCTATTGTTGTTTAAACAAAAAATGAATTGCACAATTTTTTTTAATTGCGCGATTAATTTTTTTAATCGCTTGACAGCCCTAATATTTTAACATATGCTAAACTGAATGAGTTAAAGCTGAGCCTTCCCTCTAGGCTTTAACTCAACCATCTTATGCCACACATAAAGTATACATTGCCCTGCCTATACAATAAACACATTAGAATTCGTTAGCTAATATGTTCTAACATCACACCTTTAAGTCTCAGTCTAGCCAAGGCCTAAGACTTTGACTAAACTAGAAAAAGCTTTGGAGTATAAATAGTTCATGTTAGCTAAGCCTGATCTAAACACAACCATTTGCCTAGTCAATTCAGGCCTAAACTCCTTATAAGTTTATCATTTGGCATTTTTACCTGTTTCACTTTTTTTCCAGAGACAGCCGAATTCTAAAAATCTGATCCTATATAGCTATTCCAAAGAAGAGTCAGAACCAAAAGTTCTATCATCATTTAGCGGTAAGACTGCAAATTCTCATTCTTCCATTTTATAAACATTTAAGACATTCTAATAAAACAAAAACAATGATATTAAATAGGCTTTAATTTTCTTTGTGAAACCTATACTGTGCTAGCAATTAACTACTACTATAAATGCCAATCTCAGCCAACTAAAATGGCAAAATCACATTCTTCCCTTTTGTTCTGCAATATATATTATTCATCAAAAAGGAGATAACTCATAACCCATCAATCCAACCCATGAATCACATTTAGTAGAAAAAACTCAATTTTTTAGGGAGGGTTTATAAAACTGAAACAGGGATGCAATATACCTGCTATGTGGAGAAAATAGGAAGTCTACATCTTAGTACATGAGAGGAAAAAACAAAACCTGTTCAGGTAAATACAGAAAGGCCAAATTCATGTCCTCTTCTCTTTTTCATCAATGCCCCAATGCAGATTTTTCATGGCAAGAAATCAATTAATCCCTAAAACTGATACATAGCAGAGTAGGAGGAAGGTGGGGAAATAATCTCACAGGCCACACTCCCTTGTCCTATCCAGAGAATCTGTAATATGTAAATTCTGTGGGTGTTCAGGGCCAGAGCAAGGGACAAAAGTTACTTGACTGCAACCTTCCCAAGTTCACAGAACTGGTACTCTGAATTTGATTCACTGAGGTGCACACATAAACAGTAACTGTAAATTGCCATTTTGCCCATTTCTCAATTTTGGCATTAGGATAATATTGATCTTTTTATGATTTGAAGTCAGAATTTCTCCAATTATTTACAGCCCAGGTTCAAAAAGTCTTAGTGCTAATACAGAAATCCCTATCCCGTTCAAATACAAAGGATTATTAGATTTTGCTTTTTCACAATCTTACTAAAAGTACAGATGCAAACTCAATTTAAAAATACTGTCAGAAAGATTCCAGCATTCTAAAGTGGCAACAAAAATGGAAGCATTTCCATAAAATTTTTCATAGTTTTTCTGCTGTTTTTAAAATCAACCAGTGCTAGAAAATACATAATAAAAATAAATTGGTTTCTTGTGGCTTAAGCAACATAATTAAATTATGCTGCATTCACAAACTATATCACAAGCTCAATATTGAAGAGTCCATCAGCATGTCTACATACATTTTCCTCTATTTAAAAAAAAATAGTTTGGGTTCAAATGTCTCAAATTATTTGCCTAGGACCAAGTGTTTCTCTTAAGTTTAATTTATATTTTGCATACAGTAGAACCTCAGTGTTACAAACACCTCGGGAATGGAGGTTGTTAGTAACTCTGAAATGTTCATAACTCTGAACAAAACCTTATGGTTGTTCTTTCAAAACTTGACAGCTGAACACTTACTTAATACAGCTTTGAAATATTACTATGCAGAAGAAAAATACTGCTTTCCCTTTTGTGTACTTCCAGTTCCAAATGAAGTGTGCGATTGACTGGTCAGTTCGTTACTCTGGTGTTTGTAATTCTGAGGTAATTCTGTATTTCCAGTTCAAAAGGACTCTAGTAGAAATCATGATAGAAAACAGTCCTTTCACTCATGGCATAAATATGATCCTCTTGGTAGACATTTACTGCACTGTAATTATATTTGTAAGGGTGACATCTGTTGTATCTCATTGGTTATTTTCCAAGTTCTGATCCTATTTCTCAGACTTTTGATACGATAAGCTCAACTAACCTCCCTAACGGATAAGGTTTTCCTTTCAGCAACCATCTTCATTCTCTTTATTTAAAGAGTTTAACTCAAAGCTGAAACTTAATTCCTCACAATGCTTAATTTTGAATTCCCTTTGTTTCATGGTTTAAATTGCTCACTTAGGAGTTAGCCTGTACTCCTTACTCAGGCAAGATTCCCAATAGGTTTAGTACTTTGTTACCTTATTGTGGTTTTGTTTTAATGTCAGATTGATTTACTTTTACAAAGTTAAAGTAAATGACGAGTATAAGTTCTTAATGCGTCTGTGAAAAGACAGAAATACGATGCAGCTCAGCCATACTTTGACACACTGAACACTCTACATGCTATTTATATATCTACATATATAAATATATCATATCTATATATACTCTATTCAGCCTACAAGACCATCTTGGATTCTGGGGCACACAGACAATCAAAAACATTGAATAAAAAACCCTGTTGATAGGGCTTCTCAAAAATTGCATCACACTGTTGAAGCAGGTCACTGTCCTGCCTTAAATTGTTTTCCAGCCCCCTTCCATCACCAGAACGA